ATTCAAAACATATGTATTCACAAATCAATTCTCGTTATTCGACTTATTTAATTCCGTTACTGACTAACGTGATTTAAGTCGACGATGATATACGAGAAAAGGCGATAACAATCATTTATACGATCTAAATAGGAGTCAGATACACGGGCCACTAAAATGGTGAGCCCTTCAACGAATGTCGCCGATCTAAATGAGGACAAAATCAAACTACGGGCCTCCACACTCCCAATGTGTTTGGTGCCGATTCAAACGACCGTTGAATCTGGTGGGGGAGTAATGTAGGGCCAGCGAAGTGTCACTAAGCCCTAGCCAAATCATCCGGCAGTCGGGTCATTGAATATCGAGCAAATCGTCGATCCTCGTCAAGGTCAGGGACAACCAACGCGCATAAGTTAATCGTATACCATGGACTGACCCATGCGGCAGTGGTCTTACTTTCGATTGTATCTACTTTAACTAATATATTTCTGTAATAACGTCCTCTGTGTTGTACAGTTTTCAGAGCATCTATGGTACCTTGATACGTCGATGGGGTAGTCCACGTAAGGTGCTGACTATGAGGTGTGACTTCGACATTAGCTAGTTTGTCACATCATTCACGTCTAACTCCAGTAGGCCTCCAACCATTTCGACATAGATCATCTACGTTGACGATCTACAGCAGCACACACTTATATGTACACAACTGAAATTTCTTTGTCCTTAACTTTATAATCGCGACTTGTTGGCTCATTAGCCTTTAGCACATTCGTTACCCTCATCTAATGATGACGCTTGCTAAAGGAAAAAGACTTCATTTACATTCTTTTATACATGTTTTCATATTTATAGTAATTCACTCTGAATTAGTTCGAAAATGAGAAGTATTTGAATTACTTTTCGGACTAGTAATCTCCGCAATAACACAATTTAAGTCAGGAACAACTAAGTGAGCACAAGCTAACGTATTGTATTTGGAACTCAAAATGAGACACACATTGTGTACAAAAGAATCAATGGTTCGTATAAAAAATCACACGTATGACCACTAATTACTCAAACTAATGATGTGTCTAAGTTGGCATGAAGTTATTGCTATATACCTTTAAGATTTTCCAATATTTGTTCAAATATACTTTCCAACGAGATCTGTAAATGGTCTTACTAAAATAATGCAAGTAATCGATCTTTATTTTGTATATGGTGATGTAAATAAACGAGACCAATTGTGTAGTGTCGCCAGACAGTAAAACGAGTGCATAAAATGAAAGTAAAACTAGAATCTTGATTCTACACTTGAGAAATTAGGATATATTGTGAAGAAAACTTCAGAAATATGTATTTTTGTGAATATATTCAACGGTGCCCACTTGAAGCTTAATAGAATTACCAATCAAATGTTAACGTTAATATTAGAAATAGTTCACAAAGACCACTTGTTTTCTTCGAATTCATCTAGCTTCGACTGTTATTAGTCTCACTAGTTATATTTGAATGTCTCAGGAAAAAATTGATTACGAATTTATCCCACCATAACGGAAGAGTAAGTTTTGATACCAAAGCTAAATCGTAAACTCGGAGTCTCTGGAACAAAGTAAGCAGCAACAGATCGTCCCTTAATCTGATTAGAAAGTGGTAACGAGAAGAGTAGGAGAGCTAAAAATTCTATCCATACCTTTACTCAATGTTCAGTCAAAGTATAAGAGATATTTCGGATGTTTTTGTCTCATGGATTTTGTTGTTTTTTGAATTTATAAGACGTTGGGATTTACTAGATATCGGTTATCAGGACTAAGAAAATCCAACGGAGCCCTACAAAGTATCGTCATCATGTTTGTGTATCTTTTATGTGCGCTGAATTCACATCTTCAAACATTGTTTTACTTTCTCTGTCCAATTCTCTTCCCTTCGATTCTTTTGTGTATTGCATCATACTACTTATTAATATTCAGTAAGCAGTAATGTTCTTAGCAATTTCTGCGCTTACGTTGTAGCGCAAGTTTGTTGTGTAATATTCTATAATAATTACATATATGTATAACATTTATTGTATTTATCATTATAATCACTTTCGTTTAATTCTTGTAGCAGTTATTCGCAATTTTGTATTGTCGTTAAATCCTTTTTTAAACGCGACAGTTTACAAATTCTTTGCTCTTAGATCCGTTTTTGCTTATTGATTAAGATTAGACAGCTATTTGCTGTCATTTTCACTACCATACCATATATTGCAATTATTCTTTATGTTATTAATTGCGGGAAGCCTTTTCTATTTCAGACTTACAGACGCTCAAGGCGCTACAGATGCCTCACAATTTAAAGTTTGTAGCTCATTTATTTATATTGCTCCATAAAGAACCGCGTTATAGACAAATCACTGTCTTGTGAACTTCAACTTCGCGCGTATCTCGACTGTGGGATTCAGACGCTTCGATAGATTAAACAAACATGCCATTTTCTCCTGAAAATACAAATTTACCATGCTTCTTTTTCAGTAGCAAAATACATTTATTATGTGAATTGCTCATTTTAAAAGTTCACCTCAATCTGATAATAATAGACAAAATGAAAAGTAAATTCATATAGTTTTGTAAATGTAGTTCTCATTATTATACCGAAATTTACTAGTGAACACAAATGTATGGTTCTGTCAATAAATTAGGATGCAGAACTAATAAGCTCAACATTAGATATCTGTTGTAGCTTTATTATATAGTCTTGATCAAAGTGTAATACATTCTACCGATATATAATAATGATTTTTATTTGTAAGCAAGGATGGATGGTGGGTGGCAGTGGAAATTAGGACGCGCATTTCGTCCTATTTAAGGCTCGTCTGCTGGATGTACCTGCGCTTCAGGACTCGAACTAGTGCCATAATTTTTGCCTATAAGGCTTGTGACTTAAGGCAATATCGAGGCAATCCGCTCAGGATGCACATATGACAACAAGAGACTGGTCAATTGCAGTCCTATATAACAATGGGAAGATACAAGCACAGAACACCAAGTGGATTTTCATTTGTTCTTTCATACCAGTAGTAATGGGATTAAAAATATTCATATGATAAATATGTTAACTGAAATGAAAATGAAAGCCTTCTATCATTTAGCTTCTGAATAACTTTTTAACCTATAAAGTATTATAGATACTTTGAAATATCGCAAGAACTAGACTTCTAACGCTTGCTAAAGCTATAAGTGTTAAAATATTGAAATCTAAATGATGAATTTATAGGGAGAAGCCGTGACCAGTGGAGTTCAACCAGGTCTGTTGTGAGATATCAGCTCACTGAAGACAATGGTGCACGGTGGCGCAATTTCGTGGATAAGTTGAAGTTAGACATTAACACTGTTGGATGCCGGCTCAGTGGTCTAATGGCTGAGCGCTCACGCACAAGACTGATAGGGTTCGAATCTCGCGGTGGTCGGGATCGTGGGTGCGCACTGATGAGGAGTCCCATACCAAGATGAAACCGCCGTCCAGTCCTTTCAGGTTTTCCGATGTGGTCTAGCTTCAGTTGACTCATGATTTCAACTATTGAAATTACTAAAATCTCCACAAAACCCCTTCTGATTATGGGGAAATATTAACCAGTATTATCTGACCCTGTTAATGCAACCATGTTTGATTTAATAATTTTTTTCACCTCTCATCTTCATTCCATGATTACTTCATTTTTCAATTCTTTTCAGGTTAAATATAATTCAGTGAGAATTTTGTTTTCGATGAAATCATTTACTTAACTTGTATATTCGTATTTATATTTGTATGGCAAATATATGTCTATAGAAGGATAAAAAGGAATGCATCGTAAAGTGATTCGAGACTCTAATTACCAAATGTGGTTGCGTAATAATCGGGAGTTTAGAGAACAATTAGGGCCAAGGCAGGGTGACAGGTTGGACGTATCGTTTTTGCATACAGGCTTGAATTGGTGGATCACCAATGCCTCAACCGTGAATAAGTTTTTAATTCGACCTCCCTTCAATCCAGTTCATTTGATTGTGTAGATTGTTTTGAAAGAAGAGTCCTTCAGAGCGACGTGTTCAGAGTTGATTAGGTGTTCCTATATTGAACTGATAATTGTTTTGCATTCTCCTCTTAAAAGCCACACCGGGTACTGTTCTGAGACGAGTTTAGAAAATGATCGCTTTGTGCGTCCAAGGTATCCTGCCTCACAGGAACAAGTAAACTTCTAGTTGAACATCGATTTTGCCTAAAGCGGAAGTTTATCCTTAGCACGTCTGTAAATTGTAGGCCGGACTGAGAAATCAATACAGAGCTTAGCTGAGTAGAACATCTTATTCAGGGCTTTCGAAATCCGTTTTTTACAAGAGTTTGGCATCTGCATCTCATTCAAATTCCATTTTCATAAAAAGTTTTCTTTTAAAATGTCGACACTTTATCAGAATGTTGTCTTGGTGTTAAGTCCCTATCATTTATATCAGAGATATATGAATGATACTTCCATTATTTGTGAAGAAGATGAATTTTCGAATCGATTCAATGACTGTCATCACTCGATTCAATTTACATTGGAGGAAAAGGTGACCGAAGATTCTTGATGTCCGGTTGAAAAGATGGCCAAATGGTTATACATGTACAATAGGGAGTGTACAAATTTCTATAGCTGTGTCCCATTCAGTAGAAAGAGAAACTTGATTTACTCTTTATCCTCAAGGATTAGGCAAATATGTTCTAATGACATGATAGATAACGAACTATTTCAGCTTCGACAGATACTCATCAGAAATGGTTATCCACCTATATTTATCTATAGGACTAATATCATACATTTAATAATCTACTTTCCCGTAAATAAATCTACTACAACATTGTTGAAATAGATATTCATCTAACCAATAGGATATAAAGTAAGTTTTTGATTTTAAGAAAGCAATGGCAGAAGTATCAAAACTCTTGTGATTCCTATTTATAAGCAAAATAAAAAGTATCGAAACGAACAATAAAAAATACATTCAACTTTGTAGATAAAAAAGCATCAAGTTTATTATAATTTATGAATAAACTGGTCTAATTACATTGCTATGAGACGGTATTGTCAGTTTTCCGGATTTCATTGATGTCAGAATGCAGTTTAATACTTTTGCTTGTTGAAAACTAAAAGCTACTTGAATTTCAGCTGTGTTTGATTTCGATGAAGATCCGCTTTTAGTTTGTTCATTCATTTCAGTAGATGGTATGGTTTTAGATGAACATTCAAACAATGTGTAACTCCATATTAACGAAAGATTGCCTAGATCCATTTTATTTTGCGCTTTATAATTACTTACCCTAGAAAAAAAATGAATGAATTAGTGATTATTATAATAAATAAATATGACTAACTGCTAATCTGTGAAATACTATGTGGAGAGACCTATCAGCAAAATGTATGATAAGTATGCTTAGAATCGTATTGTTTTGTAGTCACTGTTGGAATGTCGACAGTAATCAACATATTTTGTTCAGTGTTTGGGCTTATCATGAATATTTAGTATAACTAGTGGTAAGTCATAGAATAAATAATACATTGTGACACAAAGCATCAGTATTCATAAACCTAATTAAAGCCATAACCACTAAATTCTTTATATGATAAACAACTTCATGTAAAATTAAATCAAGTTCGTAATAAATCCTCCCATTTTATTGAGGATGTTTATAACATTTTAAATGTGAAGGGTAACACAGTTTAAATACTTTGAGTAAAAAATGTCAAATATCAAGACTCTGGTATTTTTAAAAGTACAAAGTCACCTTAGAACTTTTGAGTAGCTTTAAACAACCGTTACCATTTATTGTCAATATTTGGGGATCTCTCGATGAACTACAAACAAGAATGCCATCATCTCTATTAAAGACCGCAGCGAACAAAATGAAATAGTCGCTGTTTCGTATATTGTATGTCTTTGTTAGAAATATACGGCACTTACGTGACTAAATGATTGGCTAAGTAATTGAATGTTTCCAGGTTTGGGGTGGGAAGATTGACAAGGATGTCTTCAATGAGTTGACAACGAACGGACTCATCAGGGATTTCTAATTGTAAATGTAAATGAGAACAAAAATGAACCAATGAAAGTCTTATAGAATTCTAGATAAAAAAAGTTAGTGTAGAGTTAACTGAAATCGAATCCATGTCGTGTGTGATACAGATATCCACCTCAGTCAATAGATGAAGGATTGGGCAAGATCGTAGATTAATTAAAGGTAGACATTAACACCATCGATTGCCAACTCAGTGGTTTAGAGGTTAAACGTTGGCGCGCGAGAAAAAAATGTCTTAGTTTTGAGATTCTCATGCAGGATTGTGGATGCGAACTTTTGAATTGTCCCATATTAGGACGAAGTGGCAGTCCAATGCTTCCAGATTTTTAATGGTGGTCTAGCTTAGGTCGACTCATGATTTCAACTGTGAAAACACTACAAACTGCATAAACCACCATACTGTTAACTAGGATAAACACAACTAACCACAACAGCTTGTTTATCATTATATAATGACTGTTATTTAGACCTTGGGAATCGTTGGTGTTTATCAAATTTCAAATAAAATTTCTGCCTAATCCACATTTTAAAGTATAAGTTCCATAAGTGGGTACTACTAATTCTTCAGCAAATAATTCCAATATCCTAATGACTGAGCATTTAAACTTTGGTCTTTGATGTAACGAGAAGTCAAGATAGGATTTTAAAGGAATCACTAATATTTAGTGCGTTATCAATTCATATGATGGGCAAGGATTCACAAATATCACCAAAAGAAGTTCGCAGGTCAAGTAAAAAGCTTGAAAAAGATCAGAAATTCCAAATGTATTGATCAGTCTGACAAATGAACAAGAATATGTAGTAGTGGCCTCTAGTGAAGAGAATTACATCCCGATCGTAGATGATCTGTTCGAATACAATAATATTATCTCGCCAATTGTACAATATAAAAATCATGGTATCATTGGGCGCTCTGACTCCATTTCTTGCAACCTATTAAAGCAGTGTAGTTTTTCAGCACGAGTCCATAAAATCATACATCACTGTGGATAGGATGGTTGGGGACAAACTATACGAGGCCTTAAGCCTTTTCAGGTGATACAATTCAGTAAGAATAGCTCAGACTTATTCAGAATATATTTTCTAAATGCCAAGAGTAGAATTCAATAGAAAGTTCTTGCGAAAACAAACCTTCGAATGGAGACTTTATCTAGATGCTTTAAACAATTGACTATGAAATAAAAATGTGCAGACATCGGGAAGTATTTGAAAATTGTCAGAATTTTGCTTCAATTTGAATAAAGTGGCTAAAATAAATTATCCATAATAGATTCATTATTTTATCGCCCAAAGATATAAATTTACTTAATAGTAGAAACTCACCAACTGCTTGAAGTAAAGCTATAGTAGCTGTGTAATCAACCAGACTCTCTGGTAAATGTTGAAAGAACTGTTTCAATAAGCTAGTAATCACCGGTAATTCAACAAGCGGTAATCTTTGAATAGCTAAAGTACAACCTGAAATATAAATAAAATACAATTGACAACTAAAACATATTGGTCACATACCTTTCACATAATCGATTTTTTTTAAACTCAATCCTGACACTATTTGCAAATGTCTGATTTACGAAAATAATATTAAAATCAAAAGTCATTGTAGTTTTCACTACATCCAATCTCAAGAAAATTCATATGGTACTTATTGATTATTGCTTTGTGAAACACACCAACAAAAATTATGGACCTAATCATTATCTTAAGTACCTAATTAACGAGAAAGTTTCCATTTCTACATTCTACATAGAAGCTAATTATTACAATAATGAAAACTTTTTAATAAAACTATCCAGCTCAAGGAATACACACTCTTAAAAGTAAACACTTCAACTGTAAATCTTTTTATTATTTCTTTTCTTTTATTTGTATTTTCTTTCAGAAATCTTACTAAAATAGATCTGAATTATATGGAGGATATTTTTGTGCAGTACCATTTCGTGTACACTTCCTTGATTAAACAGAATTCAAAACTATATTGCTTTATATACATTAATCATTTGTAAATATAAAATTTCAAACAAATTTCAATAGTGTAATAAGAACACGATGATTAACAGAACTATGTGATATATTAGCGTAATACATTTCATACTTGTTAAGAACATTTATCTATAAAAATAAAAGGTCAACTAGACCAGAAATGGAAGGTAAGAGGTTTATTTATTTATTCATTTATTTGAACACATAAATATTGGTGCAAAGAGGCACTGAATACATATGCGCCACACAATTCGCTTGATTTGTGTGAGGGCTGTGATACTGCCCGGGTGTCCAGATCGAAGCAGGTGGTTTTCTTAGAGGGCCATACCCAGAGCCTTCAGCCTAAAGGTCTGATCCACAAGGCAGTAGAGTAACGTCAGGCAATGCAGTCCCATGGTAGCCAGCGGTTCATACGCCACTTGCTCCCTCAGGATCCTGAAGCCCATGTGCACCATTGGTTTGGAATCAAAGTTTTCCAACTTCCCTAGATGGGTCCCCCGTTTCCACTAATCCGGTTGGGGCGCCGGATATTCGCTTTTCGTCCTCTCAATTTCGTAAACAACGCCCCCGCCACGGGAGGTAATTGAGTGGGACTCCCCTGACAGTCATTGTATACGCGTGGCTATGTGAGAGTGTTTCGAGAGAGAGAGCTGACTCTCTCCACCCTCGGCTGTCAGGGAATTTGAAGGGTAAGGGGAAAAAAGGATTATAAAGAAAATAATGTAAAAACAATTTGAAACCTCATCACTCTAGATAATAAGCTAATATTACCAGGGCAAGTTTAAGGTGAGAACAAACTGTTTTTGAATACATAAAGGGGGTTTGAATCTTTGTATGGCTGAGGCTTCATTCAACCTTAGTATACGCCCTTTTACACTTTAATGTTGCCATACTTAATTAAAATTGTTTTAAATAGAAATATCAAGGACATTTTCTTTATTTCTTTGATATAACATTTAAGGTATAAAAACTATGGAAATGTACGATACATTTTAGAACATACAGAAACTGAAGGTAGAATTGACAAACATCATTTGTAGAGTTAAAATGTAATATCGACAAAATAGTACATCGAATTGGATATCACTGCCTTTTCTTTAAACAGATGGTTTAATAACCAGTTTGAGGACTTTAAAATGAACACATAAAATAAACGTTTATGTCAACAAATTAGCTTTGCTAAATGTCGATTCGAATCATTATCATTATGTTTTCTTGAGGTTTGATTTGCAGTTATTAAGTAAAAAACGATCTCTTTAATGATCACTTAATAGTACTCTTATGCAATGATTCATGAAAAAGAAACTAAATAAAAAAATATGAATATAAATGAGAGACAGTCTATGGAACTGTCATTAAAATTGCATATTCATTATTAAACAGTGGTTTTAAAAAATAAAAATATATAGAGTATTTCTTACTTTCATCAAATTCACTTTTTAAAGCCTTGATATTATCATTGGAACCGCATAATCGATAGAGTCCAACTGCTAATAAACCTCGCCTTTCAATCTCTTCGACACATGCGATTACAAAACGGGGTATAAAAGCTTCAGATTTATGCTTTTTTGTACACTCATTCTTATCGATATCATTTGGAACCCTAAAGGAATAAGATAAAATAGCATTGAAAATAAATTAGATCTTTGTGACTTGAAAAATTGTGACAATATAGTCATTGTGTATTGCTTTTATAATAGCTACAAAATTAATCTACTAACTGACTTCTTGTTAGCACTTAATGTTATATTGGTCCAGGCCTAAGTGTTGATCGAGTCCCGTAGATCAGGTTATATTGTGGCTTATAATGTAAGTGATTCGATATGACGTGCAGGATTTTTTGACTTTAGATAGTTGGTGGCAGTAAGTCCGCCTGTAGCTCATCTAGGATTACTGACAGTCCAAGAACGAGTAAAGGAGGAGGGTTGGACATTGGATCAGCAACCCCACCCCGTAGAAGAAAACCTTGCTACAAAATAAACAGATTAGACTAGTTAAACTCTATCCTCCGAGTTGAAGAAAGAATTATGACACATGATGAAAATCGAGAGTCTCTGGAAGTAACGAGGCTGATGACCCTTCTAACAACTAAAGCAACAACTTATATAGGTACATGGAATGTTCAGACAGTGTGAAAGACTGGAAGGACCAATCAAATAGCTATTGGAAATTAGAAGACACGACTTGACTGTTCTCAGAATTAGTCAAACTCATTAGACCAAAGCAGAACGGAAAAGGATAAATTGTAGAGAGATGCTGCCATACTGTGGTCACGAAGACGAAAATGCTCCACACACTCAGAAATTTGCTTTGATGCTGTACTAAGAAGCACGTAGAGCAGAGCACTTATAGGGTGGGAATCTCGTGGATCGATGATCATCAAAGCATCCTTCTAAAGAAAGAGGAAGGAAATCACGATGAATGTTATCGAATGTTATGCACCAACCGATGATAGCTAGGACAACAATGAAGATCAGTTTTATGAGAGACTGCAATTGATCATAGCGAAGTGCACATGAATGGACTTGACAATCCTGATTGGAGATCTAAACATCAAAGTCTGAATGGACAACGGTGGGTCTGAAAATATCATGGGACGAAAGGGACAGGGGAGTGGGAGGAGGATACAATAATTGTGACTGGTTTTGAAATTAATGTGCATTCAACAAAATTGTTGTATGCGGCACAATATTCCCGCTCACACGAATGCATATGCAAAGGCAAATGGGTCGAAACCCTAGAAAAGATTCAAGAAAGGAAAAATAAAAAGACAGCAACTAACAACAGTTGAACAAAAGTAGAGAAAGTCAAGGTATAAGCTGAATACACTGAGGCAAACAAGTAAGTGAAAAGGGATATTAGGGCCGATAGGCAGAAATACGTGAAAGAGCTAGCAACAACAATGAAAAAGCTGCAACAGAAGGAAATATGTAGCAACTACATGACACGATGAATAAACTGGCAAGAAATTATAGTAAACCAAAGAGATCAATCAAGGTTAAAGAAGGCAAACCAATCACTCAGATTGGAGATCAGAGAGACAGATGGGTGGAACATTTCGAGGAACTCTTGCGTAGTTCGGCTCCACTAAATCCATCGAACATCGAAGCAGCACCTAAAAACCTTCCTGTAGATGTCACCAAGATACAAAATAAAATAGATCTGAGCAAAGTTGGAAGAGGTGGAAACTTTCACGTACCTAACTGGACAGCATCATCGATGAACAGAGAGGACGTAAACTGAAGGATTGGCAAAACGCGGGCGGCATCCCTACAGTTGAAGAACATATGGAACTCAAAACAACTCTCTGGTAACTAATATCAAAATCGGAATCTTTAATACGAACATCAAGCTACTGCTCCGTACGTTGTTGTAACCTGAGTCATTCAGTGTCACAATTAATGGCATCACCATTGTGGTATTCAAGGAGTGAATGCATATTCTCAAACCCTTCTCAGTAGAAGCATAAATTATACGAAAACTTACTAGAAGTTTAGAAGCCCAATATAGTTGTTTTATTCTAGCTAAACACTTCAAAGTTGACCTCATTATTCGAGTATTGCTGGACGATAGTTGATTGTTTTCCGACTAATTATGTTCAAAAGATGTAAATAATAAAGGAATGCTAGTTGATGAAGTCAAAGCAAGTTTATCAGAGTGCTCGAACTGAATCAAAGTGTTTGACAAATAAAAAATTTAAAGGTACATGCTCTTAAGCTGATCGATTTACCTTATAAGCTCTGCTAAATGACGTCCGAATAGATTTCCACGTATTTCAGACCGTCTATTTTTATTAAGATTTACTTGATCAACATATTCCAAAGATACGGAGAAGGTTAGCTGTGATATTAAAAACATAATACTGTTTGAGATTGTTGTGAAAGATTTTAAAACATTTAATCTAACGGATATAAACTGATTATTTCTCTGAAAGTCAATAGCAAATTAACTATTTTAACAAGAATAAAAAGAATCATATCTTCTAACTGTTCAGATATTCATTTGCAAGTGGTCTTTTACAACCAAATTATTAAATCAGCGACAATCTAATTTCACAAAATGAAATGCATCTATAGAGTTTATGACTTCAGTCAGTGTAAGAGACTTGATGGTTTGTTAGTAGTTAGGTTTGGGAGATCAACTGATAAACGAAAGACAGCAAACCTGAATTCTGGTGTAATCTATATATTTCAAACTCAATCGTCACTTTGTTATAATAAGTTGATATTTGTCAGTTGTTTGTGGAATTAAAAAAAGCTCTGAAGTAACGGAATATTATTGCTTACTGATAGGTAACTGATAAATGATATCAGTATAAATCTTCACAATCAAACTTGAATAAAACATCCAACTCAGAGAAATGCAAATGTTTTTTTCGGTGTCAGTGATTAACATATGTCGTAAAATTACATTTCCAGACAACCATCCGCTTTAAATTTCAATTAAAATAATATAATTAATTATGGTTGTGAAATTGCATTATTTTGTAATGAATATTTGATCAAGAAAGTTCATTTTTAAATGTAACGTATCGTTATTGTGGTCTGTGCTACTGATGTCAACAGTTATAAGTAGTATGTATCATCAGTCGAAAGTGAAATGCCTGTCAACGAAAGGTTTAGAAGATCGAAGAAAAGAAAACGGGAACACAGAATGATTGGTGTGGAAACGAAGGAACAATGAAGTCTGAAACAATTGATTGACATTTTGCAAATGAAGTCATTATTGTATGGTTCTCAAATTTTACTACGATATTCTGTTATTTTGTATTCAAATACATTCGAGTGTTCCCACTTGTGTGTTCTCGTTCACTACAGCTATAAATTCAACTATTTCTTTTAGATATAAATAATTATATTTGATTATATAGATGTTTAGAATATCAACTTATATTCTTCTTTTCAAAACAGTAAATTATAAACAAAGATGGATAGTGGCTAACAATGAAATTTAGAATGCACGTTTTGTTCTGGATTCCACTACCAACCACTACCCATCTTTGCTTATAATGCTTGTGAATTAAGACAATATAGAGGCAATATGCACAGTATTTACATATACCAATAAGAGGCTGATCAATTGCAGTCTTAAACATTAATGAGAAAATTTAAGTAAACAATACCAAGTGAAGTAAATTATAAACTTATCATAAATGGAATAGACTTACACTACGTGGAGGATTTTCATTCGTTAATATCTTCATATCTATTCGTGAATTGGTTTTAAGTGTTTCTAGATCTAACTAAAATATTGAAGAGAAATTAGTGTAATTGGTTATTTACATTAATTTTGTTATGTCAGTTCTAATTAGTTGAAAGGGGAAAAAAATCAAAAAAACCAATTCTACCCCATAACTAATTCCTTCCGTTTAATAACAAACGTATTATGATTTTTTTTATTTAGAATGCTATCCGATTGAAAGAATTAGTTTAGTATATTCCCATTTAAAAGAGTTAGAAAAGTTTTTTAAAAATGTATGATCTGTGGTTTATTTTACATTTGAGTAGTATGAGACCATGAATTATTTCATTATTCACCAAACAGTTTACTTGATATTGTAGAGGAGGTTCTATAAGCCACACAAAGTATAGTCATTTTAAATACATTTCTTAGAATTAAAATTAATGAATAAATTCATTATTGAACATTCGATCAACTCTTCCCAATTACCTCTAACATAATCATCATTTAAAACTATTTAACATTTCTAATGAAGACCAATGAACACACTACATCGGGAAATGAAAGCAATTATGAAAAGGATTAATAGCAACTGGAAAGAACTGGAAAAGTTTGCTTAGGACAGGGTTGAATGGAGAGTGCTAGTGATCCTCCACGAGGAGTATCAGGCGTAAATAATGAACTGCCTCTAAAGTAACATGAATCAAAAAGGTATGCACAATATAACATTTGTTCGTGCTTCTATTTTAGCTTGTTCTCTAAATTTCAATCAACATTTTCAAAAAAATCACTATTTGTTCGTTTCTTGATTATCTTTTTTTATATTCATTAATTGGACAGTTATTTCTCACACCTCTCATTTACTAATTATTTCTACAATTTTCTGGTAATTAGAAGCACCTTCGATCAATTTGTAAATTATATGTAATTGTTCATTTTATGAAGTACCTGATTGTGGTAATTAGCCATAAATGTTCCTTTATTAAATTACTGGTCGATTGCAACATTGAAACGCAAAGTTCTCTTCCCAAAAATGTCGTAATTTCTTTTGCAATGTTCCAATGTGTTTGTTTGATTAATTCTACGTTTCATCAGCCCTATCTAACACTTATTAGATGCTTTAGATTTCCATCGCATTTGATGATGATACAGACCATTATTTAGTAAATAATTATAAATCCAACTAAATACCTTTAGTAAAGAACATAGTTGAGAAGCAAATTATGTTCAGAACTTCTTTAGGAACTCAATAGGCTTCATTCATTTTTAAATAAATTTATAAATTTTCAAAGAAAATAAGCCATTTCTCTTTGTAATCTAATAGAAAAATTTAGGTTTTTATTTCAGTAGTTGAGATCATGAGTCAATTGAGGTTAAAACACCATGGAAAACCTGGAATCACTGGACGGCCATTTCGTCTTAGTATGGGACTCCTCGGCAGTGCGCATCCACAAACCCACCTTGCAGGATTCTAACCCAGGACCTATCAGTCTCGCGCGCGGGCACTTGACCACTTGACCACTGAGCCGCCAACTGTGTTAATGTCTAATCCCAACTGATAGGTCCTGGGTTCGAATCCGGCGAGGCGGGATCGTGGAAGCGCACTGCCAAGCAGTCCTACAATAGGACGAAATGGCCTTTCAGTGCTTCAAGGTTTTCTATGGTGGTCTAATTTCAATGTACTTATGATCTCAGCTATTGAAATTACTACAATCTCTACAAAACCCCTTTTGATATTAATTCTTTATGTAGACATTTTTTAACAGTAAAAGTATAATTAATTAGGAAATACTTACAGGAACGTCTAATTCTGCAAACATTTCTTGATGAATGTATAATGTAAAACATATCGTCCATGCACCATCCACCTCTAAATCAAATGACTATAAATGAATAGAATATTTCTTTTAAAAAAAAGCATTTATATTTCCTTACAATAATCTACAAATGAATACTCGTTTAATCTTCAGTATCTTAATGAAATCTATAAAATAAAATTAATCAGTCAAAAGTTCTACTAACAATTAAATTAAGATATAGTTTTTATTAATTCAAACAATAAACGTAATAGGATTACTTTTTCTGTATGAGATATAGAAGGATGAATAGTGTAGTTAATAAAACGTTAAAGAATTTTAGACTACTGGGTAAGCATGTTTGAGACTAAAACAAGATGAATCTAAGTTATATGGTTTCCTTTACTTACTCTAAGCTAAAATATCATATAGGTTGAGATAAGTTTGTCATCTTGGGGATTTGAATACTTTAAGGATAGTTTTAATGAAAGTTTTCATATTATGTTGAGTATTAGTAAAATTTTCAATATTAAAAAAAACAACTGTTTTATGTTGTATGGGGACAATTTAAGTATAGATTGGTTAATATGGTCATTACTACTTCATATAGTCTAAACTCCTATACTTGGAATTTTGATAGTTATTTAAAATTAGTAAGTATTTATGTGATTTAGTTTTATTAATCAACAAGATAAGTATGAAAGATACCGTTATACTGTTGTAAAACTTATTAATCATTTTGCGAGTTTTAACTGAATAAACTCACTTAGCAATGAAAATCGAAAGAATGTTCTAGTCACTATTCAATGATATTATATACATAATTTAGTTATATTGAAGTTGAGTCACAACTTAAACATCTTACTAGCTACACTACTAATTCATGAATGGAACTTGGATGCTTTAAAAAATTTCACGGCATGATATCCTTTTTCCTAGTAATCTGGATAAGATTAACTGATAAACAAGATTGAAATATTTATCTTCCATTTCTGACATCAGATAGTCTTCAGTGAATAAAAGTAATAATTCAATTAATTTTCAATGTCATTCTTTTGTAAGTTGTTACCTTTACAAATATATTATTGATTTCATAATACAAAAAGTAATCTTCTTTAGTATTTGTCATATTGGAAAATGAACTGAAAAATTTTGATAAATAGTGGATTAGCTTAAATTATTTCTATCAAAAGGGGTTTGTGGAGATTTTAGAAATTTTCACAGATTGAAATCATGAGTCAGTTGAAGCTAGACCACCATTGAAAACCTGGAAGCACTGGACGGCCGTTTCGTCCTAGCATGGGACTCCTCAGCAGTGCGCATCCACGATCCCGGCTCAGTGGTCTAATGGTTAAGTGCTCGCGCGCGAAGCCAGTAGGTCCTGGGTTCGAATCCCGCGGGGTGCGGGATCGTGGATGCTCACTGCTGAGGAGTCCCATACTAGGACGAAAGGCCGTCCAGTGCTTCCAGCTTTTCCATGGTGGTCTAGCTTCAACTGACTCATGATTTCAATCTATGTAAATTATTTCTATCTAAACTTGTTAGTAAACTTGTGTATTACTTTCCATTTTTTATTGTTAATCATCTTTTCATGCTTAGCAATGGATAAATTAAAGATTTAAATTGTTTTTACCTGTTCCCATTGTGGATTACTTTGTTGTAAAACACGTGTACAAGCTACTTCTTCATATTGACCATATGAATCAACTTCAATACGAACATGATAACCTGAAGTATAAAACAAAATAAATCTCATATTAAAATCAACTGAATTAAATATATTCTTTTTGAAGATAATGACATAAAATTTAATATTAGAAAATCTTTTTTTACCAAAAGATTGAAGCGGTCTAGTTTCGTATTACAGGAAGGGAAAAATAAAGGGTAAAGTATTGGAATAAAAATAATCGAATGGCATGACAAGAGTATTTACGAGAACAAATGAATAAGTGTTTTAGGAGCTATCTCTAATCTAATTTAGAATAGAACGTAAATGCTATAAACAATTGACTGATCACTGGGTGGTAATCAATGTCATGTATATCAAGTCCTTATTTAGTGCAGATCGAATGCCATCGACCATGTTGCAATGTGGCCACCAGTCTTGACACACATGACATTGATCGCCACCCAGAGATCAATCAATTGTGATTACGTCTCAGTCCGGATAGCTCAGTGGTAACGTCTCTGACTGTGAAGCTGGGTGACACGAATCGAATCCGTCAGGGAGCACCAGTTCCCTCAAGATTACAGGTACACCTTGCTGACGAGTGCCAAGTAGCACGAAACCCGGGTCCAGGGTTCCCTGTCGACTACCTCCAACCACCATCCAGTCTCAGTAAACGCTACAAAACACTACTCGGGTGGTCTGCTTTAATATCTGGGCTACCCGTTCCTGCCATCTCAATATTTCAACAAGTTATTTGTTTCCTTGTTTGTTTCAACTTGTCACTAAGTCAGTTAGTTGCATAACCTATTCAGTTACAAAAAATTGCAATCGGAGACATCGTGATGGCTGGCAATGTGGATTGAAAAGAATAAATATTATTCAGATGTCGCCTTCTGAAATGTTAATATGTGACTGGTGATCGCTCAATATTTATGATCAATATCGATCAAGAAATAACAAAAAGGAAACTCGCTAAAATACTTTATGCTCAGAATTCTATATTGTACCAAATTTATAATATTGAATAAAGCTAATAATAATATTTCTGGAATAAACGTTTAGACCTCAACGTGACTGATTTTCCTCTGTTCGATGCCTTCCTTATTTAAGACTGAATTATTTTATTCCATAAAAAACTACATACTGTATATATTGTATAACGGAACTTAACTTGTGTATTTTTATTAAATGAATGTTACTAACTTTACAATTTCATTTCTTGTATACAACCTTCACCTTAAGTATTTTAAAGTTTAAATATCGATTCCGTTCTTAGATCTGTTTGTATTAGTAAAGTTTCATACATTTTATCAGTTTAATTTAGCAGAAAATGTACAAAACTTCATCTAAGCTGATATATATTTCAATTGAACTTTCGTAATTTTAATATGGAGGAAATGTCAGCACAATCTATATGAAAATTTTACGTTTCATAATAATAACCGAGTTTTTGAAATTTTTCAGTCCCTTACCTTGACTAATACTTACTGTGGCTAATTAGTTAGCTCACAGTTTCTGATGGAAAGGTAATCTTATAGTGTTTGTGATCTTAAAAGTTAACTGTCTAGTTACTACTGTAAACTATTATACTATACTATTATGGATACACATTTGAATATTCGTGCTCAGTTGGGTTAAGTCAATGTTAACAAACATTATGTACGGTATTTTAATACCGTTCTTCTGTTGCCTGTAGTTGAATAAAAACGGGTGAATGTTTCTGAAATTATTTACTAGCTAAAGTAAGTATTAAATTAATATGTACTGTTTATGTTTTTTGTAAAGTATATGTACAATCGAATATTTAGTTCCTCTAATACAGTGATTAACTAAATAGGATTATTAAAAAGCGGTTTTTATCGTATCATTTTGTGAAACGTGTTGAATTTCCTAGTTAGCACTATAAACTGAGTTAAACAAATATTTGAACCTAAGGAGCACTGGCTAGGTAACTATAAAATAGTTAGGCAATATAAAAGCGTATATTATTGAATTTAAACCTAAACACCATTATGAACACCATGTACTTATAAACCATTCATTAGAGTATTGAAAAATCCGATGTGTTCAATTACGTTCCAACAAATGTCTGAAATCTTCCTAATTTGTTAGTTGTAATTAGAATTAAATTTGATGTGTTACTGACAACGGAAATTTGTATTCTTAATAACAAATAAAGGATTTCTATTTCTAATGATGTAATTCACTAAAATTGTGCAGTAGTATTTACAGTTAATTAGCATACATAAGCATAGAATGAAACAGCTGGATGTTTAACCCTCTGAAAAATAATCAAATTTGATTTTATTTATGCTGATCAACTTTAAATACGAGCCGAAGAAGAAATTAAGAAAACAGCGATAGAGATGGAAAGGAAATACATTGTGAAAATCATCAGACTGCATCATGAGGCAAGCGCTAACGTAGGATCTTGAAGTGAAATGGTAAAGAGGAAGACTGAAGAAAACACTACGTTGAAAATCGAAGGCAGATATCAAAAGGATAAATAGCAATTGAAAACAACTGGGAAGGATTATGCAGGAAATAATTGGTTAGAGAATGGTGGTGGGCGGCCTATGCTCCTCGATGAGGAGTAACAGGCATAAGTAAATAAGTAAGTAGCTTGAAATAAGACTGTACAGCTTTAGTAAATGATATCGTCTAAAAAAGTTTTTTCTTAATCCTTAAGTGGATTATTTTTCTTATTTATAGCTAAAAGATAAACCGAAATTTGAACAGTTTCGTTATGAATAATCATTCTTGAACAAAAGTAAATGCATTAATCCCTACAAAAGTTAATCAATAGAAAGCTTATAAGGTATTAAAATAAATTAGTGCTATAGATATTACTACCAAGACTTTATCATTGAATCTTACTGTTTTTCTCATTCAATCCATCAATTCCATGTACTGTAGCTTTGATATAACCAGTTATCGGTTCATCTTCTATTGAATAAATTTATAAAAGAAAAGTTTTATCTTGGTAATCTGTTATGCTTTAAAGTCTTTTTTACTGTTAAAAAAATTCTACTATATTTTGAATGATCTTACTTTCATAACAGCTGGTTAACGATAATGATTGTTATATTTACAGTTATTTTTGTCTTCTTTTAAGTTTAATTATGAATAGCTGATAGCAAGGAATAACTGATTGATTTATAACAATATTGTACATGATACATTTGATCTTACATATAATCCAATTATACTTCTCTCACCTAAACATATTTGTCTAGCAGAACATAATTTATATTTCAAGGAAAGGTCATCAAAGGAATTATTGACATTCAACAAGTACAGCTAAACACTTTAATGCTGATTTTGAATTTCCTAGCTTTCTATGTGTAATCGATTTCGAGATATTTTACTTTTGTGGTAACAACCATAATAATCTAGTGGTTCACTATCTTTAAAATACAGTCAGTCTGGTCTCAGATGAAATGAAAGGTATCTTCTTGGATTCCATCACTCCCACAATCCATTCATTCTATTTAATTTAGATGTTTTGTCAAACAAAAAGACTTGAAGGTGAATGGAGAGTAACTGTTTAACTTACTGTCAATTATTGAGAGACCAACTCCGTTTAATTTAACCATCTAATAAAGGAAAAATCGAAAAAGCAAATCGTAAAACAATTTGACTAGTACACTTCCTAATAATCATAAAAACAATACTTCATTGATAGAAAGGAAGGAATTCGATTGAGGTAAGATCAGTTGTCAAATTCTTATATTAATTATTCGAAGTTTTTCCACTTTTCTAATGTATTCTTAGGGTTGAGTATGGAAGTAATAACAACTGGAGAAATATGAGAATAATATGAATTCTCACTTAGAAGAAAGAAGTAAGATTTATTTTTTTTATTTGGTTGACTTTATAGTGACTTCAATTTTGATTTTATAATGAAACAGCTGAGGGGATATACATACCTATATAGAACGTCTACGACCAATTTAGCTTGATTTACATTATGAGGGCAGTTTTTATCGTTGCTGAATATAATTTGAAATACAGTTTAAAACCAAGAGATGATGCATATTTATTTAGCCTTGAGTTTTGAGTTTACCCTCAAGTTCAGTAGCCGGTACACAGTGATAAGGAGTTATAAACTAGTACTATTTGATTTTCATTGAGATATTAACCGATGTCTGTCAGTACCACATTTCAGTTAGTTTAATACGTGTAAATTAGTCAATTTACTAGGTGTTATCGGATTTCCCGTTTGAAAACATGTCCGTGTTATGTGGCCAAGCTTCGTTTTCCCTGTATTGATTACTGGTCGTGTTAGATGCTTTTTTCAAGATTTACTTTACTAGTTCTTGTATTAAAGGATGACAATGTACAGTTTGTTACTGTTACGATGATTTACTTAAAATATACAGTTTTAGGGAACTGTGTTTGTATTGATGTTGGGTAAGTGAATTTTACAATTTAGACCAGTTAAAAACTAATTATTTTGCTAACTACCTACAAACAATAAGCTTTCAGATATGACAGCTGAGTCCCAACCACATCAATTTAATGCACTGAACCCATTAAATAGTAGGTTGACTATAAAAGAAGAGAAAATTCTACCTATTCTCAAATGTCTTATTTACAAAATATACATCAACGTGGGTTAAACAAAAATGGGCTTGTTATCTTTTGAATATCTCTTTACACTGACGACCTTTCTCCATACATTTTAATTAAAATGCATTTTTGTGTCTTAGGTAATTAACTATAATTATGTTTTAATTATTAGGCGACCTACTTGAATATCTGGGCTACCCGTTTCTGTTATTTGGATATTTCAACATGTTAAATTGTGCTCGTTTGCCTTAACACAGAATAATGCCTATTAGTCTCACAAGCTATTCAGGTGCATTTGTGAAACGTTTACGACATTTTGCTATACAAGTCACAAAAGAGCTCAGTCAGAGAAATCGCGGTTGCTGGCTGTATGCATCGAAAAGAAATATATTATTCAGATGTTGAGTCCTGAATTGCTAACATCTAACTGGCGACCACTCAACATTCGTCTCAACAACTGATCAAGAAATAAGAAAAGGAAACTTGTTGAAATAATTTGTGTTGAGAATTCTATATTGTACCAAAAAACATCTTGAATAAAGCCAATAATTATAATAATTTTATGAATTGTGTTTATTTTTTGAAATAATTATTTCGTTTCATTGAGATTGAGCAGTCACCACACAATTGTGAGTAAAATCACATTTATCTTTCAGCTTCAAAACGTACGTTTTCATTCTTAGCTATCCTTGCGTTACATTTAGGTTGTCAGCTTCAAACAAAACATTCAACTGTTTTTCAATTCTCAAGACTGAATTCGGGATGTGTTGGAAATTGATACTTTTCAAGTATTCTTGACCTTAAATCAAGTGTATAATACTCGCTGTTACTTTGAATCTTTGGAACTTATCGAATACTATATTTTTATTCACATATGGCTGATGCTCGATTCGGCTGCGATAATTATACAGACTGATTTATTAGGTACTATAATGTAATCTACTTCAAAGATACAATCAAGAAATCTTGTGAAACGACCTAATGAATATAATAATGAAGTAGAATTGAAGGAGAAATAGTTTGAAGGAACAGATCAAAATGAATGAACATGTAAAGGAAACGAGTGGTCTTCCAGTAAATGGATACCTGAATAAAAAATTTCTTGCTTTCTTAATTCCGTTCCTAACTAATTAGTCAAAATTATAATCAAACGGCAAACGTTTGTTAAATGTTTGATTATTATGATCAGAAAGTAGCTAAACATTTGCAGTGTAAACAATCAATGGTTGCATATACGCTAATAAAATAGCTATAAAACGGTAATATAGTGTTTACTATGACAACAAATAGGTATGAAGTACAAAATTATGTTGTTTATAAACAAAATGATCAGTTAACATCTATGAACTTCTTTATACACTCCTGTATTTCCATTGTATAATTAGACAGAGTAAGGTTATTTCGCTATTTAGAAAACCGGATTAATAAATATCCTAAGAATAATCGAGATGAATATGAAATACACTTAGTATTGACCAACAGTCAGAATTATAATCTTATAATGATTACTTAAATCCTCTAAATCCTTTATAAAACAGACGTATCGAATTTTGTATTATCAAGAAGTAATCAAACTGGAAGTTCAGGAATAATCACAACTACCAAGTATCAAATGAATCAGTGGTTTTATTATTGAAAGTATTGGCGATATTTCAATCACATTTATTTGTGTAAAAACAACAATGAATCTCTAGCTAGTTTTGACATACTAATTGTCTAAACGCTCCATGAAATTTTATGGACTATATTGAGTTGTTAGATGGTTGGAGGTAGTCGTGAGGAAACCTTGAATCCAAACTCCGTGCGATTCGAGACTCGTTAGCAGAAAATACCAGTGACTGGACAGAAGCCCAAATAACTCAGTGGTAACATCCGGCAGTTTGAAGCCAAGTGATGTGGATTCCAACCTCACTGGTAGCATCAGTTTCTTCAAAATTGTAGGTAGCCCTGTGGACGAGCGCCAACCAGCACGAAACGTGGATCCAGTGTTACATGACGACTACCTCCAACTCTTTACATTTCAGTATAGTGTGCGCGATGTTGATCCTTTAAATTAGTAGCGTCATTACAAATGGATCAATGGAATTTAATCAACACTAAGGGACTAGACAAACGTAATATTGATCACTACTCAGTAGTAAATCAGTTGAATTATCTTAAGTGTTCATAATCTAAGTTAAATTTATGTCCAGGTCTAATAACCCCACAAATATTAGTCTTAATCAAACTAAGAGCTTAAGTGTACCCATGGATAATTTGCAAATGTTCAGTTTCCTTTATATTACTTCACCCATAAAACCAGATGTCAATGCTTTGTATCTAAATTTATGCCAAGCAAGTAAAGCAATAGAGTATCTTCATAAAATATAAGAACTATACAGTAAATAGTTCATTTGCAAATTTTCGTCATTTGACCTCCTCATTCTATATGATTCTTCAAGTTCACAATTCCTTTCTATTATCCCTTCTATCCTATTCAATTCAATTCTTCTTAGCCTTTTGTTGCCAGGTTTTGCACCTCCGATTGGTAATACATACTACTTATGTCTGTCAACATAAGTAGCATACACCACAGATAGACGAAATGTTGAAATTCTTTAAATTTCAATCACCAAGATTATTTGAAATATAATTTTTACATATAATGTCTTCTGCATACTCAGTACCCAATTGTTATCAAACTATTTGCTCTAACTGATATTCATATAAATTTATATAGAGATGATAAACGAAATTAAAATGTGATCAAGAGCAAGAGTACCGTAATCAAATTTAAAAACTTCTGTATATGGTGTTCAGTATGAGATTGGCAGTTGGAACTGATTTGGTAGTCATATTTTGTAGATTAGTAAACAATGATGACTTCGGTTTAACCACAAAATGACATTAGGTATGATACTAAACCAAATCAGTTAACGCGGTATACCAAATATACATACTTCCACTTACAAACTCATTTAATGCTTCATTGATATTTGTTTCTTTTCCAATTTACTTTTATCATATCCTATACTCTTTATTAATCCCTGATTTAAGCTTTTAGTCTCTTATTACAGTTTTATCTGCTATATGGTTGGTTATGTCAGTTTCTTACAAATAGATAAGAAACAATAAAATTTTAATAATCATATAACTAATTTAGAAGACTTCTCTGTATGTATCTTATTTAAGGGTGGGAATGTATGGTGTTAATAAATTCTCTTGAACTATTTTGAATTCTTGTTATACATTCAGAATTTCCTTTTAAAAGACATCAAGGATGAGGATTTCTCTATTATTATCTGATCGGTAGTAAGATACATAGTAAGTATATGATTTGTGTACAGCAGTAATCTAAGGATTAAAAGTTTATAGTTTTATGTACTTGATATATTATTTGTAATTTTAGTTGCACTGTTGTATTTACTATCTGGATAAAGTGAATGAATATAATATTAGTCTTACATATACAATGTATTGTCATCAGTTTTTATTTACATAACCAAAGAACTTACGTGTTTATATTTCTTTAGGCGTTCGCTAAAATCTCCAATCGAAGAACTACGGCTTCGCGATGGTGAATGAAAATAATCCGTACTCATTTTTTCTGGAGTAGTACGTCTTAAAGAATAAAATTTATCAGTATTATGAGGCGGTTTATCTAACACTTGTTCTAAAGCAGATCGCCAGTGTGTTCGTTCTCTTCAGTTGATAGAAGGATATTATGAATACGACCGCTTTTGTCAGCGATTGGTAATATGAGTTGCGGTGTTTCCAAAACAAGTTTACCTTCCTGTAATAAAAGAAAAAGTACTGTCGTGAAGTGAATTATTGATTGTTTTTATTGCTAAGTAAATACCAACAATCTTTAAATAATTTTTGTAAATCTAAACCGTCAGTACAGGGTGATAAAATTTTTAAAAAAATAGTTTTATTTCGTATTTTACCATTTTATTCAACTTCTAATCTCTAATAAGTTTCCTTATTGGATGGATAGTTGTAGACATGAAATAAGTAACGAAAGTCTAATATGCACGAGTTTAAATCTAGAAAGAACTTGAGAGTAGCTACAGATGGAAACTATAAAAATATTTGAGTAAGATCTTAGATAAGTGAAGTATGTCCCCAATGATGTTTTTAGCCAAGTAAATTATTTTCCAGCTTCCACCAAAATGATACTGTGGTATGTGCTACTTATATCGATATAAGTAGTTTATAACGCTAGTCAGGGATAGAATGTTTGGCAGCAAAAGCTCAAGAAGATCGGGGCGGAAAGAATGGGAACAGAAAGCAATTAGTATGGAAATGCAGGAACACTAAAGTCTGAGACGATTGACTGATATTTGCAAAAGGAATAGGCAAGTTTGAGACAATTGATTGACATTTTGCAAATTAAGTATTCACTGTATGGTTCTCAGATTTTACTAATATGTTCTGTAGTTCGTTGTTCAAATACGTCCGATTATCCCCAATTACGTTCACGTTCACTACAACACTACTTATTCAGTCTGTTTTTAGTGGCCCTATATTCGACTCCATTTGGATCGTATGAATGATTGTTATTGAAACATACATGTTGCCAATCCTCGTATATGATCATCGAATTAAACCTCGTTAGTCAATAACGAAATTAAATAGGTTAAATACTAGAATGAAGTTTTGAATACGTTTATTTCGTACAATCGTTGATCTGCATAGGCAGTCGGGGAGACGAATCAAGGGAACTGTGTAGGGGAGAGAGAAGCGAAACTAAATGATATGAGATGGAGAAGGCAAGCCAGCCAACTCGATTTAATCAAGCATTAATCGATATTTATAGTCGAACAAAAATAAGTTACAGATATGTGATGAATAGGATAAGAAATGCACACACATACGCTCATGTCAAAACGGTCAAAGTTGATAAGTGAATAATTAACAAGGTCAAAAGGTGACTCAAGTAGATTGAATAAAATGGATGTCCGTAAGCCAGAATAAGGTATGTGGGCTTAACATAACAATCGATACAAATGTTTGACAACAGTGACAATTAATTTGTTGGGAAATTCAACTTGAAAGGCTTCCAGTTCAGTATCCAATTTGAATAATTTATCCAAGCAAAATTGTCAATAATTCGGAAAGCATCACCAATTATCCTTCAAATGGTTTTTATTATTTCTCATAGATACGTTAAAGTAAATCAATAAACTTTGTAGATGTTCCAGAATAACTTACTGTTTTATGAAGTGACAGTTCCTAGTAAGTGACTTAATAGTCTCATAATTTTTTAGGCGACTCTTTACGTACACACGAATGATCAAATAGATAATGTTTAAAAATCTTCACAGTTTATAACATTAGGGTACATATAAATATTTTTGGTTTGTTCGTATAAAAAATACGACAGTTCAACCTTCTCAATATCGCACGATACTTTCAATAGCGCGGGTATATTAATTATGTTTTTGTTTAAACTTTTAAATGTCTTTAAATAGAAAATGCAGGAGAATTAACAATTTGATATTGAGAATTTCTTTAATTTCCAAGTAATTATACCATCAATTAATTTGAAGAAAACTCTTTGACATAAGTTAACTTCATTTATTCGTTTGGATAATTAGATTCCGAGTCTTTTAAACTTCAACTAGGAAAGTTAGGCAAAACAAATGTGGAGAGAGTAAAGCTCAAATGAGAACATTCTTAATCAAATATTCTCTTTGACTTCAAAGTTTGAAAGAGGCATTGTATTATAGGTGAAATTATAATTTTGTATTTTTGTGGTGGCTTAGCTTCGAGATAATTTCCTTAGGCTTCGTTTATCAATCACCGTGATAGCCATCATTAAATAAATTCCAATGGTGTATAGATTCAGAGGGAAATACGAAGCGCCGACTACAGTTTATTATTGAATAGTGAAGATGACAAAGTTCCAAGCACATCAAGCGAATTTAAGCAGAAAGGCTAATGCGCGAGTTAACGGATACAGAGTCAAATCGGATCCAAACGAATTAATTAAAAAGATTCAAGCATGAATATACGTGGGAAAGCGAACGATTCATCGAGCGATATTTAAGCAACGAACATTTAAGGTATTGAGGGATATGCGCGTACGCTGTCACATGTGACCAAGCTTACGTATTCATACAGACATGATAGTAATAACAAACAATCATACGAATAAATAGACATGCCGTTCCAACAACACGTTCAGATACACGTCTAAACAAGTTAATCAAAGGGCTTGACAAAATTAACCCTAAACCATCCTAATTGTAAGAAAGGTGCTGTACGATTTCTAATTCATCAAATTTATATTACTATGCATATGAGTTATACAATCCCATAGGTAAAGACCAGTGTGAGGCAAGGTTGCTTATTCTCACCCTTTCTCTCTCCTGGTGATCGACTGGATCATGAAGACATCAACATCTGAAGGGAAGCACGGGATACACTGGACATCTGGGATGCAGTTAAACGATTTGGACTTCGCAGATGATCTGGCCCTTCTATCCCAAACGTAACAACAAATGCAGGAGAAAACGAACAGTGTAGCAGCAGCCTCAGCAGCAGTAGGTCTCAATATATGCAAATCGAAAAGCAGGATTCTCCGATACAACACAGCATGCACTAATCCAGTCACAATTGACGGAGAAGATTTGGAAGATGTAAAAACCTTTACATATCTGGCCAGCATCATTGATGAACAGGGTGGATCTGATGCAGATGTGAAGGCGCGGATCGGTAAAGCAAGAGCAGCATATTTACAATTGAGGAACATCTTGAACTCAAAACAACTGTCAACCAACAACAGGGTCAGGATTTTCAATACAAATGTCAAGACAGTTCTACTGTATGGGGCAGAAACCTGGAGAACAACGAAAGCCATCATCCAGAAAATACAGGTGTTTATTAACAGTTGTCTACACAAAATACTTCGGATCCGTTGGCCGGACACTACCAGCAACAACCAACTGTGGGAGAGAACAAACCAGATCCCAGCGGAGGAAGAAATCAGGAAGAAGCGCTGGAAGTGGATAGGACACACATTGAGGAAAGCACCGAACTGCGTCACAAGACAAGCCCTCACATGGAATCCTGAAGGCCAGAGGAAAAGAGGAAGACTAAAGAAAACATTACGCCAGGAAATGGAGATAGACATGAGAAAAATGAACAAGAATTGGATGGAATTAGAAAAGAAGGCCCAGGACAGAGTGGGTTGGAGAATGCTGGTCGGCGGCCTACGTTCCATTAGGAGTAACAGGCGTAAGTGAGTAAGTAAGTATACAATCTCATCCTGAAATGCATCTATTAAACTTTTATAACGGGATTTTTCGCCTCACGAAAAAGTTCTGATATACTCATACATTCGAAAAGCCAGCTGATACAAGCGAATTCAGTGACGAAAGATAAATCTGAAATTCTAATTTTCATTATTCACATGACGATCAACTGATATTTCTAATAATTATCATCAGTGGAAAACACACATTTCACGAATTACTCAACTATTCTAAGTGTGATGTGTTCTAATTGTAAGCATAGATATAAATGGCGTGTATCAGGAAGTGAAAATAACATTCTTACAGACAGAAAAGGAGAAAAAAGAGAAAGGAAAGCAGAAAGCAATCGAAATAACATCAGGAATTAAAGGACGTTGAAGTTTGTAAAGAATAGCTTAAAGAATATAGGCAAATAGTGTATTTAATGCATTACTTTCATGTTTTACGAATGCAGTAGTACGTTCGCATAATAGAGTACATCGGTTTACTCTAATCAAGTCCTCGTTCATTACACAAGCACAAATATAAATAAAATCTATAGTTTATTATGCCAAAAAGGCATCAGAAACTATTGTTGGTTGTGAAAACGGTCGACAATTTAACTGTTATCCAACCATCCGAAAGATGACCATTTCATTCTCGAATAAATTCATTTATTTCTAGTGAGAAAGAAAATGCTAGGGTTCTTCAGTACTTTTTTAACATATCTATGATTCAATTCAAAACCGAGTGAAAATAAGTAATTGTTCTTGACCAACCAACTTGCCTTTATTTAACTTAAATAAACTTAAACAGTTTTTCAGGTAGATCGGTCAACCACATTTCACTTCTCTAAGGGCAAGACAAACAAGCATTTTCCAAGAATATTATTATGTGAGCACTATTTGAAATGAATATTTGGAACCGCTACCATAGTCGAATGATAAGATACAGGCTGATCCATGTTAAACGTTACTCACTCATCTATTCCGAGTAAAAAAAATAATTAAACAAGTTATTGGACGTCTATGAAAATAATATTTGCTAATAAATTAATAGAAGTCAATAGTTCTAGTTTAACTAAACTTTTAATAAAGAAAACATTTATCAATCAACTTTCCAAAAACATAATGATTAATTTATTAGACAGTTTGTTCAACAGAAACACTGATTACATAATATATTAGTTGTGTTATCCATGTTCGTAGATTGATCTATATGATGTTAGAGATATTCCCTATTCCATATTATGCTTGCACAAAATACTAATATTATTGATTAGAAATGAAAAAACAACAGAGAAAATAAACTTATGAAATGAAAAACAACACTTACTAATTTAATTAGACTGGTTAATTTAGATGTGTTCTTGGATGAATGTTTATCCTATCAACAAATAAAGGTAGATAATCATTAGGATATAATAATTAGTTTCATTGAAATAACTTGTGAAATAACTCATGATATCAACTAATGAAATTACTACAATCACCACAAAACCCCTTATGATATTAGTCAACATATGCTCACTAGTGACTGGCTTCAAGGCGTATATCCTGGCATTCTAATGAGAAGCAGTGAGCAGTGTAGTTCAACAGGGTCTGTTGTGAAATAGTAACTAACTGAAGACAATGGTGGATGTGCAGCTCAATTTTGTGAATTAGCTGAAGTTAGACATTAACACCTTTAGATGCCGGTCGGCTCAGTGGTCTAGTGGTTAAGCGCTCGCGCGCGAGACCTATAGGTTCTGGGATCGTGGATATCAACTGCTGAGGAGTCCCATGATAGGACGAAATGGCCGCCCAGTGCTTTCAGGTTTTCCGTGGTGGTTTAGCTTCAATTGACTCATGATCTCAACTACTGAAATTCCCTTAAAACTTATTTTTTATTGTTGTTTCTAATGTACTGATCCTAACTAAAACAAAGAAGTAAGTTATAATTACGTTATTATTTATTATTTTGTCTAAAGTTTAATATGATTTGAAAGTTATTAATGTTACAGAATGACAAGAGAATTATCGTGTTTGTATTAGATTCTCAACTTGTTCTTTAATATGAACAATTACACGGTAAAAATTTTCTATTTCATTCTTGTTTAAATTCAATAACACTAAACACTTATCTGTGCTAATTAAAGTTGGAGAGTCTTTTTTGACGAATAACGTAGTAAAAAGCTGATATTCGTATATCAAACTGATGACTATTTTACTATTTACAACACATTCAGAAACTATGTTTGTTGTCTTTGGCTTGATCCGATTACAAATACACTATTTTCAAACGTACTATACAGAATAAGAAGACTAAAAGTGAGTAAAAGCTCATCGTCAGAGATCGAACCATAATATACACAACTTAAACGATTTATGTGAGTGGTGACTTTGGTTAGGTGAGTAATTTGCTTACTCAAAGTAGCCCAGAAATTGTGTATATCTCACCTACTATGTGAAACTGAGACAGGTTATGATCAACCTGAAATCGCAAGGTCTATCAGAATACCATTCATGAAAAATATTGTTAATTCAATTGACATGCCTCAGTTAATACAAGAGCATACCAGTATACGCAAGAGATTATCATCCAAACTGAATTGTCGCAAACACTTTATAATACATTTAATGACCGAAATTGATTTCAAATTTTTAAAATGACGCGTAGCTGGATAAATTTGCCGTATATTCCTTTGTCTTTCTTTTACACGTAAAGGTAGATTGACATTCGAATATTTTAGTTTTCTATCTCAATCGGCACGCTGGTAAACATAAATTTACTTTAAAATATATTCCATAATTCAATGAATTCTCTTTGTTGATTTAATTTTGTGTTATTTAATATATATATTCTAGAATTATGTTCACCACTTTATTTTTCTCATCACTTAAAGTTAAAACGTACAAACTACAATTTGTTTATTTCATGCCCACTTGTTGGGGACGATAGATCCCCAAAACTCAAATTTTGTAATTTACTTATCGATTAAATGTGCAGATAGGTCAATTGATGAACTATCGATTAAATGTTCAAATAGCAGTCAATTGTTGATTAATGTTCAAAAATCTTCCATGACAATATCGATTGTAAATATTTGTATAAATACGCTTGATTTGTGTGCTTGACTTGACTTGTTATCTGCTGTTTGTCTGTAGAATACACTTTCTACACCTTACCCAGACTTTTGATCGAGTTAGCAGAGTTGGGGACAACGGACCAGAATAGTCTATCGAGATTCTGAATCCTTGATCCGATCGATAAGTCACTGTCATATAATCGGCGCCCCTTTGAGGCATAACAATTGGCGACGGGGTAAAAAAAAGAACAATCCAAAGTCAGCCTTCAGCATCCAGATTTGTCATCAGTGTCCTTCAGCAACATTGGTCATTAATCAAACAGTAATTTTCATTACCGGTGCTGAATAAAAAAAATGACTCTCCCTTCCGATCGAGTACAGCTGCTATTTGAAAGACAGTTGGAGTTTTTAGTCAAATTACGCACGCAGCTGTTAAATCACTCATGCTTTGGAGATGCAACGGAAGTGGATGGATTGATCTCTCAACTGCACACAGAGCTGGAAAATGATTGCAGCCCCAATGAATCCCCGATAAACCGTATTTCAAACGGTACAACAGTCACTCAAGATTCGCCCAGTGGTCCAGTCCTCTCCATTCCAGAAACATGCCCGGTAATGGACTCAAACTCCATTATCCCCAAAACAGCATGTGCAGACGGTGACTTATCCAGCTCACAAACACACTCCCTGGTAAATGCTCATAGAATTGTCGCAATAACCACCCATGAAACAGAAAACAAATCGAGCAGTACACTGAATACAACTGCTTCAAATGGTTCTCATCAGTCTGCGACAGATGTTTTTGACAAATCTTATTATCAAGATTCTCTTTTACCAGAAAATATGTCAGATGCATCAAATGATGATCAAAAACTTAATACAATTTTGATAGATGCTAATTACCTTGATGATTCATTATCTACAAATAAGATTCCAAATAAATTTGGTCACAATATTTCAGAAGAATTAAACTTCGAACACCTCATATCAAGTGTCGTTCAGCCTCAAGACTTAGTCACTTTCAGTCAATTCTCTGTTCAGTGCGATAAATATGTCTTAAATAAATTCAAGTTAATTATAACGTGGGCATATGAGGATCCAACACTGTTTCGTGGGGGAGGATGGACCTGGAAAACTTAAAATCCGGATATCAACTCCGGATCTTCTAAAAAGGGGAGGAGTGTTGGGGACGATAGATCCCCAAAACTCAAATTTTGTAATTTACTTATCGATTAAATGTGCAGAAAAAAAAAAAAAAAAAAAAAAAAAAAAAAAAAAATAGGTCAATTGATGAACTATCGATTAAATGTTCAAATAGCAGTCAATTGTTGATTAATGTTCAAAAATCTTCCATGACAATATCGATTGTAAATATTTGTATAAATACGCTTGATTTGTGTGCTTGACTTGACTTGTTATCTGCTGTTTGTCTGTAGAATACACTTTCTACACCTTACCCAGACTTCTTGATCGAGTTAGCAGAGTTGGGGACAACGGACCAGAATAGTCTATCGAGATTCTGAATCCCTGATCCGATCGATAAGTCACTGTCATATAATCGGCGCCCCTTTTGAGGCATAACACTACTACTAGCTAATCTTGTTGTAAATAAATGATCTGACTAAGTTTGTAGCCCGGAAATCTGTGAGCGTACTGTCTGCGTATTTTTCTTGTTAAACCTCAAGTCATTTAGATTCCTGTACATACTTACACCCTACTTACTTACTTACACCTATTATCCCTCGTGAAGGAGTACAGATCGCCCACCATCATTCTACATAATAACTATATCCTGGGTAATACATTTCAGTTGTTATTCATCTTTTTGATGTCTGCTTCCAATCGCCGAGGCAATGTAGTCCTTTGTCTTTCTCTTTTCCTTTTACCTTCAGGATTCCTAGTTCCGGCTTGCTTCGTGATAAAATTTGGATATTTCCACAATGCGTATCCCTATCCACAACCTCCAACGTCTTTTCCCGATTTCTTCCTCAGATGGAAGCTGGTTTGTTCTCCCTCACAGTAGTCTGTTGCTGATGGCATCCGAACAACGGATATTCAGTATTTTACGTAGACAATTATTTATGAGTACTTTCGCCTGTTTGTTGATGGTTGTGGTAGTTCTCCAAGTTTCAGCTACGTACAGTATAACTGTCTTGACACTCGCATTGGAGATTCTCACTTTGCTATAGGTCGACAGTTATTTTGAGTTCCGTATGCTCTTCAACTGTGAGAAGGTGGCCATTGTTTTGCCAATCATTGCTTTCAAGTGTGCATCAGATCCTTCATGTTTATCGATGAAAAAGATAGTTTCCACCTCTTCTAGAGCTTTTCCATCGAGTGTGATTGGGTTGGTGCTCTCTGTGTTGTATTTGAGGATTTGGATTTTTTCTTTACTTTATGATGAGACCTACTGATGCAGAGACTGCTTCTACACTGCTTGTCTTCATCTGCATTTGTTGATGTGTATGGAATAAAAGAGTTAGGTGATCTGCAAAGTTCAAATAGTCTAATTCCATGCAAGCTGTCCATTTTATTCCGTGCTTCCCGTCAGATTTGGAGATCGTCATAGTCCAGTTGACGAACATACGAAAGAGAAAGGAGGAGAGTAAGCAGCCTTGTCTGACATCAATTCTCATGTGAAATACATCTGTCAGCTCTCCTTTTTACAAAACTTTGCAGTGTAGTCCATCGTATGAACTCCGGATGATGTTGACGATCTTCTCAGGTACACCTTAGGTGCTGAAGAAACCTGCACTTTATATAGAAATATTTAAATTTCATGTTAAATAACTAAGGAATTTGTTTATAAATGGTGGACCTTGATTTTACGATTAGTAATGGCTTTCAGCAAATTCAAATTCATCTGTTATTATATGAAGCTTTCACAATGGGTTACAATATATAACTAATGGATTCAACAGTACCACAGTAAATTATATTTAGACTTCTACTGACCTATTCAATGTCACTTTTTCCTAGTTTTCTTATAATCAATTTATATTTCTCAAAAAATTAGTACAGCACCTCACCTCTAGACTACGACTCATTGTTTGCCGTAAATTACGAACCATGCCTTTCAGTTCATCTAGATTTTTTTGGTTTTGTAATCGACCTCGGTCATCTAAAAATGAAGTATACACAAACATAAATTTTGATCGGATTTTATGAATAAACGGATTATTCGTTATCGGTTAGACTTTCAAGTTATCTACCAACTACACCACAAGCACAAAGTAATTCTGTAAGTGGTGTCATTAACAAATACGTGTATCCTAGACACTATTGAAAACAGTGATTTTTCAAGTTATCACTAAAATTATTTTGTTTACTGATTTTTCACAACGTTATTTACTATCAGAAACCTGTCTTCAGAAGATTATTTTATCAGAAGAATGTTTGAGTAAAAATTATTTATACAAAGTTTTTAATAGAAAAGTAATGAGCGAAATCAAACGGAGAATTGACCTCTTATAATATCTTGATGAACGATTTGATTAAATGAGTATCTTCCTTGAATAGAGGAAATTTTGGACATCAACCAAAACACAACAATATCTTGGAGTGCTATTTTATTTCATTATTATTCATGGACGTTTCATCACTAAACTTAGATATTTCGTCACCTTTAAGTGAAACATTGGTAAATCATCACAGAAGTATGGTTGAATATGAAGAGGAAGGAGGGGGATGAAAATGTCATTTATAAAAGTAGTCATATGTAAATAAATGGGCTACTTGTAGTTGTGATATGTTTAATGATATGAAACATGGTAAACCTTTTCTGTATCGTTATACAAGTACATCGTAAATTTATGGATTAAAAATCTAAGGAATATTGAAATTTTACTCAAGGATTACTCTGTTAGAATTTTTAATGATACTGTCCTACATATGAGTATGTCATGTGTGCGGTTACTCACATCAACACAAACTGTCACTCCTGTTAAAAAATCTCATCATTTTGGTCAAGCAATGAATTGTTCATATTTGTATCTAACTAAAACATTTTGATTTAAATTAATTATGAAAGAAAATACCATGGGAACACAATCAATATTGGTATTAATAGTAAGCTTTAAATAAAAATTTCACACAAAAGTTTCGTTACAAGATGTGTGAATCAGTTGATTGGTACAAATTGACTATCTTATATAGGGTCCTATTTTGAAGATTAATGAAATCAATTAGTAGTGGTAAGTGTCAGCACTGAATGAAGATCGATTTCAATTGAAGGCAAATTGATGAATATGTTAATGAACATATAAATGTAAACAGATGCTAATTGAAATAAATATTTTTATTGACGCTAAAAGTGACTGAGGAACAGTTATGAGGACTTTGGTAATAATAAATGCAAAGTAAAGGTAATTTCTTTTTGAATAGATCAATGTTGGACCAACATTGAAAACTTGGAGGCATTTTATGGCCGTTTTGTCCTAGTACAGGACTCCTCAGGACGAAACGGCCATCCAATGACTACAATTTTGCAATGGTAGTCCAACACTGATACATTCATAAATTCAATCTAAACTCAACAATCTCCACAACCCTATACTGGCAATTTCTTCTATATTGTTGGATTATTTTCGTTATAATAATGCCTACTACTTAACGATTATTAAGTCATATTATTTGTTCCGGATCAAAAGTTAACCGACTTTCTGTAATTTAGTTTACTCAATTCTTGAACATATTCTTATGCCATATGTGTTGTTCCAAACAAACAAGACACACGAAATATGATTTCATATTGTTTCTTGTAATGAGAAATCAATAGTCGTATATTAAATGACATGAAAAGATGAGATAATAATAATTCATTATAATGCTATCGGATCTTACCACTCCCAACTCTTGAATTAGATAACAAACTCATTTCTTCCATTGAAATAAACCACTTTATTTCGAGTTCATAGCTAGAAGCAGAAAATTTTCCAGATCTTTTTCTCCGAAATCGCGACTCACTCAGTGAAGAATTCTCATGTAATATCCTTTGTCTTTTTTAGAGTAGGAAAAAGATAAAAGTAAACTGAAATTAATACTGAATATTATTTTACTATGGTGAATATTTAACAGCAGTTAAGCTATACTGACTACCGGATGAATAAAATACATTTTATTATTAAATCACTTAACAGGTCAAAGTGTTTGAACATTGATGTCTTTGTGCTGACTCTTTAATATAATAAATGTCATCATTGTGTTAAGAATTCTGGTAATACACAATTCCTGTGTAATCTGTTCTTTTTGACAAAAATGTGTGAATATGAAGACTGAAACCAGTTGGAATGACTCATTCTAATACAGTATAAACTGCCACTAACTGTAATTAACGATAGAGTAGGACGTTTAAGTCTTCAATTCTGTAGGTTGTCAGGTCTACCTATCTTTTTAAACTTCCTTGAAGTTGCATTCATTTGTCAGGGTCACCTCCGACGCTGTAACTGTACAGTGTATTTCTATTAATTCATAGCTTATGAAATGAGTTTGCTTGGTTTAAGATATACTGATTTACTAGTTCTAAGTCATGTCCACCATTGTTATATTTATACGATGGACAACATTAAATATCTAGACAGAAATCTGTACAGTGTGATGTAATTTAGCATGTTTCTGAAAAGCCATGAATTCCAAAGATCTCAACACTAACATGTGATTTTGTGTTTCTTTCTACAAAATTTACACGATTATACTTTCTTACATAACGCTGTGTTACTAACATTGTAGTGAACAAGAACACCAGTGGGGAGAATCGAATGTGTTTGATACAGAATTACAGGACTTGTTAATAAAATCTAACAATCATGAAGTAAATGCTTAATTTGCAAAATGTCCACCAATTGTTCCAAAATGACTCAGACTTCATTATTCTTGCATCCTGTTTCCATTCTTTACTGTTCGATCCTCTTATCTCTCTGCTGCCAGACCTGTTCACGGCCAACATTATATACTACTTATGTCAATATAAGTGGTACACACCACAATGTTATCATAAAGTTTTGAGTCATGTTTCATTCTACTAAACGATTCATTTAAATCAGGAAGTACATTATTCGATATTATTTTGTTTGTGAATGGGTAATCATTAAACGAAATTAATCACTTCGTACTTGTTTCCTACTTCCATTCTGCCCACAATTACTGGCACTTTTACATCAATATTTAAACAATAGCTTAGTTGCTATAAAAAACTCTATTCCCAGTGTTTCAATGGTTAAATTTTTAACACCACAAAAGAGTATGTAACACTAAATGTTTTATATACCACCCCATTTGAACAAAGATTCAACAATGAAATTATCTGAGTGAATTAAATACTTCATATATTACTCTGAAAAGGAATCACTAAACTTAAGTTAGCCTTCGGCTTTATTCAAAGACAAAGTATGAGCTTTCGGTTTGATTTCAGAAAATGTAGCTAGACTATTTATTTAGACTATTAAAATTATCATTTACTTGTAAAAACCACCAGAATCTTGAGTGGCACGAAAAAGAAGGTCAATTATGATACAAGATTGGTCTGAGAACATTTATTGTCATTTGAAAAGACAATGTCACCGACAATTTTATTGTTGTAAACGTCTTAGTAGTGTCATTATTATGCATAATTTTCTATTCATTCAAGTTCTGATAGCAAACACAGTATTTTACGAGGCAATAGTCTCTGCTAACTCACACATCACGACCTTATTTCGTTTTTTAGTAAATCTTCGTGCATGATTTTAGGAGTTGAATGCCGACCTATTCCGTGGTACATTGAGTCCTGTTGAGAAGGCTTTACGAGATGCTAAGATGGATAAGGCCCAGATTCACGAAATAGTGTTGGTTGGTGGTTCCGCTCGTATCCCTAAGGTGCAGAAGCTGTTGCAGGACTTCTTCAACGGGAAGGAGTTGAACAAATCTATTAATCGGGATAAAGCTGTGGTTTATGGTGCAGCTGTGCAGGCAGCTATTCTAAGTGGTGACAAGTGTGAGGCTGTGCAGGACTTGCTGTTGCTTGACGTGACTCCACTGTCACTGGGTCTTGAAACGGCTGGAGGTGTAATGACGGCTCTGATTAAGCGTAACACAACAATTCCGACGAAGCAGACTCAAACGTTCTCGATGTACTCAGACAACTAGCCTCGTGTGCTTATCCAGGTGTTCGAGGGTGAGCGTACTCTGACGAAGGACAACAATCTGATTGGCAAGTTCGAACTCTCAAGTATCCCACCTGCTCCTCGTGGTACTCCCCCTATTGAGATGACGTTTGATATAGATGCGAACGGTATCATGAACGTATCTGCTGTTGACAAGGGTACAGGGGAGCAGAACAAGATAACAATCACAAATGACAAGGGTCGTTTAACGAAAGAGGAGATTGAACGAATGGTAGCCGATGCGGACAAGTACAAGGCTGAGGATGAGAAGCAGAGAGATCGTGTTTCTGCGAAGAACTCGCTTGAGAGTTATGTGTACACAATGAAACAGCAAGTGGAGGGTGAGCCTAGAGAAAAGATATCTGAAAGTGATCGTCAAGTGATATTAAGTAAGTGTGAGGATACAATTGGTTGGTTGGACGTTAATCAATTGGCGGAGAAGTATGAGTATGTAAGTGAGCGGGAGGAGTTGGAGAAGGTCTGTGCGCCGATAATTACGAAGGTGTACCAGGTTGGTGGTATGCCAGGAGGCATGCATGAAACAGGTGGTGCTGGTGGTGGAAGTGGTAAGGGACCAACGATTGAGGAGGTCGACTAACCTGTAATTGTTGTGATTAATTATTTGGTACTTGGATGAATTTGTATTTTATCTGTAATGAATTTTGACTTTTGATTTTTACTAGTTGTTGGTTATTTGGTACAGGGTCAGGGTTTCGTTACTGGCGAGTAGTGCACATCATTGTCTAGTGTTTGGTCGCTCAGTGTAGGATAGTGATCGCTCTCTGTCTCGTCCCGCTTTCTATGTTACGAAAGGCTTGTTGAGTGTTGAGAATCCGGATGTGCGCGAAGTTGCATTTACGTTGAGTTTTCTGCCGCGTTTCGTCCCTCGTCGACCACTCGAACGTGGTCGTCTGTGGGTTGGGACAGTGTAGACCTTTCAACCTGAGGTGCGATGATACAATCCGTGTACAGCAAAACAAATCTCTCACACTCTGACACTTAATTGTATGGCAAAGTGGTTATCTTTTGAGCGATCACCTGTGAAAATTGGAATTAAAACAATGTTAATCTGTTTTTGTTTATTCTCGTGCAACGCAACCAGTCAATGACCACGTAGAGCCTATACGCATGTACATCGGTTCAAGTTGCCATACCCCAATAGCACAGAGAGATGAAGTTGTTGTCAGGCCAAATCCTAGAATAGTAGAGGTAGTAACAGTATCAGTGGTAATAGGTAAGATTGGACATCGAAGATATGACTCGAAAAGAAAATATAAATTAGCAGAATAACGACAAAGAATGGATGCACCTGAGCCGTTCCAAACGATTTAGAGCCATGTCATTCAACGTCTCCAACCATTGATAACGATAATCATGTAACCCCTCGAACAGGTAGTACTTATTAACATTAGTTAAATTCATTTGTCAGTGATTTCATAGATTGATGTCATGTTTTGGTTTGGCCGCCCCTAGCTTCCTTCCATATTACTCCTACACCAAAAGACATCGCCTCGTCGAGGTTAGCGGTGGTTGGGCATACGTAATACATGTCTCAAATACTTCCGTTGAAGATTTGCTACCTCATCAATCGATTTCTCATCTTCATCAGAGGGGAAATAGATGTTGCCTAACATTTATAAATCAAATATTTAATGTAACTGTTGTACTTAGTAATCTAGGAAACATTTATATTTGAATTTAGCTGAAATAGGAAGAATATTTAAACTATTAATGAACCAGAGTTGGACTGAAAAGATTAAATAGTTATGTGTAAACTAAATTAAAGTTTTAAGGAATAAAGAAATATCTTATAAAGGCTTGAAAAAAAGAATTCAACAAGAAAATAATCAAGGAGAACTTTTTGTAAAATTCTACTTATCTAACTGTTTCAAGAAACATTTATTCTAAATCAAACAATTCAATCAAGTTTTTCATTATCTTAATTTATTTTGTTTATTCCCTCTCCCTCCCTTCTTTCCTCCCTCCCTCCCTCCCTCTCTCTCTCTCTCTCTCTCTTATTATATATATATATATATATATATATATATATATATATACATATATATATATATGGACAATCGCAACTCTTCTATCTTTTATCTTTAAAGAAAATGTGCTAAGTTAATTTCTTTCTTTAACTGAAATAGAAAAAAAAAGAGAACGAACTTTATTTCTTACTTTGTGACAAAGAAAGTCTTTTGATGCTATTGTTTTTGTTCAAAATAGATAGGTGAACTACAATTTATATAGTTACAATGAACCTTTGTGTGTAATAACTAATGTTTTCAAAATTAACACATTATCTGTTAGTCTTCAGAGTTTAGGTAGCTACTAAGTTGATTAACGTTTATGATATCATTTGTATTATCCTGTTGTTATTCAAAACTTCATTTGATTTGTCATTGTTGTAATACATTTACTCTGAGTAAATGTTTATGATAAACAATATCATAAACTCAATATTTCTTATTCAAAGTATGATCCACAATCATAGATATGTCTATAATGAAACTAACAGTGATGATATTAGTTTTCAAGTTCCTAGTAGTTCATTTGTTTTACATGTTATTGGTATTTAGCTCATTTATTTATTTGATTTTCAAAATACCAACAAAATTATAACTCAAAATACTAAGTAACGAAAAATTATAAATAAAATTTTGTTCCCTCTTAATTATAATAGAGTTTGATATTTTGACTGAATGTGACCACATTCCAGTAAATTAGTATACCTAAATGTAATAGTACAATAATCCTTAGATAATAGTCTTAATGTTGATATAAATAGTGTAATTAACTAAATTCCATTAAAAAACTCTTACCTTGAACCCATTGTAAACTTTATTTTTGCGCAGATAAGTACATCTTTAAACAGGAATAGGTAACGCAATTTACGACTATTTGTTTTAGAAGTAAGTTCAACCACTAAACTATGCATAATCAAACGATTGGAATCCTCTCATTTGAGAAAAGAAATCAAGTAGAAAAGTATGAATAAACCAATTAATAAAGTATAATTTATAGGGGAAAAATGAAATTAATTAAACTAATTGTATAGGATTGACCGAAGATAAATTAGAGTCAAATTAAATGTTTTATTATTTTAATACAAAACTTTATATAATGTATATCTGCATAATGCAGATTCGCAAATAAATCTCTGTATACAATCAAAATATTTCACATCGAATTGTATCAAATAGTAGTCAACAACTTTCTAACAAGAATAAATAGTATATAATGAAACAAACAAAAACTATCTACTAAGTTAAATTCACTTAGTATTGTTTTACTTGTATCTTCCCAATGTTATTTAGGACTGTAATTCATCAGTCTCTTGTTGGCATATATGCATCCTGTGCTGATTGCCTCGATATAGCTTTAAGTCACAAACTTCATAAGTAAAGATGGATAGTGACTAACAGTGGAATCCAGGATTCACATTTCGTCCTATTTGGGACTCGTCAGCTAGGTGTACCTATACTATTATGTTTCTTTAAAATAAAGTATTTATGTATTCAAATAAAAATGGTGTTTGTCAAATAAAATAAATACTATGTATATATATATATATATATATATATATATATATATATTATTATTATTATTATTATTATTAAAAGTTTCCTCGTTAAACTTCACTATCCAGTATTTAAATGAACCCATTTGTTCTGGAGCTTAGTTCTTATTAGTACTTAAGATTTATTAGATTATGATTTTATAGTTGAATAATTGGAAAATTCAAAATTAGTCTATTACCATGACAACTGGCTATCATAATTCAGAGATGCTCAATATATATTAGAAAGTAATTATGGATCCATGTACTGCTAAATTAATTGTGATTACCGGAGTCCATTTAGAAAAGTGTTTTACAGAGTTAGTGAAAATACTGAAGTGAACCTATTTGGTAGTAAAGGAACTGTTAAATCATACTAATGGCTAAATGTGTTATTTCTACTAGAAGATTTAAATTAGGAATGAACATATCGTTTTAAATAGTAATAATAATTGCTTTATTTAATACTATCTGTTTAGTAAAATATAAAGTTTTGATTACAAGATGATGTATAATACTGGTTGTAGTAATTTACAGTTGTGTAAAAATGTACATTACACTACTTTTTTGACTTCATACCATATCATTTACTGCTCTAACTAATGAGATAACTTATTTAGGAATGTCAGGTGTTGATATATTTGATCATGCAGAGAATTAACATATTCTCCCTGTTTGAAAAAAATGTTTTCTCGTACAATTTTCAATCATAAAATAATTTTATACTTCCTAGAATTTAACTTTATCATGTTCAAAATATAAGCTATAAGGGAACGACATTATCGGAATAGAAACCTATGACTGTATAATAAATTAATCTCTGTTTTTACCACTCTGGATAGTAAATCAGTACTACCAGGGTAATCACATTTGTTTTTGTGTACTTTAATATTTTTCCTTTGTTATGACTTACCCTTAACCTGTCTAGTTGACCTTTTAATCTCTTTTTTTTTCAGTTGACAAGCTTTATCTATTAATGACCTTTAAGAAAACAGTACTCTGTCACTACATTATGAAAACTGGTTTTAGTATTTGTTGTTTAGATAACCTAAAAACTATCAGTCTTCCGACATTTTCAGCTTATAATAAAGTCTATTCCTATAGTCCGTCCTAACTTCATGATACAATAATAGCTTATAAAAACCAGCAAATTATTAAGAATAGATCAAAATGTTTAAGCAATTAGTTTCAACCTATCATTAAATATGAAGATTAAGGTGTAGATTTTAGAGCTTATCCGTGAAACTCCATTAAAGTATGGAAATGAATTGAAAATTTAATTCTGTCATATGATAAAATACTCTTCAAATAAATATTGTTCACCTACATTTATCGTCTTATCTTCTATACTATTATTTGAATTCAGTGATTCCTCCAGTAATCTTTTATAAATTCTTTGAAGTTCAGGATAATGAGGTGAATCTGTATCAAGTAGCAGAACTAAAGTCTAAATAAAATAGTAATGTATATATATTTAATTAAATGATTCTTTTTCTTATAAATCTAATAGATTCTGATAAATAAACAGGCTTATTGAAGCTTCTGAACAATTCCTGCATTGTGAAACGGCAGTAGTTCCTAGTTATAATTCATATGTATTGGTGAACTGAGTCTTCCAGTTAATGTTTAGGACTGCAATCGATCAGTCATATATATCCTCTGTATATTGCCTCAGTATTCCCATTAAACATGAGGAATTTAAGGCAGAGATAGATGACGCTAAACAACAGAATCCAAGATACGTGTTTCATTCTATCTTGTACTCGTCAGTTGGATGTACCTGCATCCCAGAGTTGATGTTTATTTCGGGAAACAAACTCTACACCGTTCGCTTCAAATCTCATCAGGTTATCTACTGAACTACTGAGTCTAGATAGACATCAGCTTGTGAAATGACGTGAATTTTAGGTTAAAAGCACTGGATTCGAGTTCCGTAGTTTACATTAACTCTGAAGTGAAGGTACATCCAGCTGACGAGTTCAAATAGGACGAAAGGGACGTCCTGAATCTCATTGCTAGGCATCATCTATCTATGACTAAATATTTTTTATAAAATATTTTAGAATTTACTCCAGAAATTCATGATGGATATCAATTAATATTCAGTTTATCAGTGGTTTTTGAGCTATAATAAAACTTATAACAATTGGTCTATTACTAATGTTGATTTCGGTTAAGTTTGTCGTGCTCTTCTATCAACTTATTTCATAGTGAGTGGCATTGGAACGGTAACAGTTTTTCAATTTATTTATTTATGATCACTATCACGCCTGTATAAACGTTTATGCCTAATCACATGTGACAGCCTGAACACATAATTCTCACTTTACCTTGAATGTTACTCGCTTAAATATCGCTCGATGAATCATTCTCTTCCCCATGTATATATACACTAGAATCTTATTAATCGTCTTGCCTTGCTTCTCTTCTGGTTGATTCGATTTGACCATAAATTAGCCTCCGTGTTCGCTCGTTCACTAACATCAGCTTCTTGCTCCAATTCGCCCTATATAGTTGTAACTTGGTTATCTGTGCTGTCTAACAAATAAGCTGTACTCGCAGCTTCTTACTGCCTTCTGGATTCATACAACATTGATTTATTTAATAACGGTTATCACGGTGATTAATAAACAAAACATAATTAATTATCTCAAATCTAAGCCGCTGCAAACTTTACCATTGATTTAATATGACACAAAATTTTTCAAGCATAATAAAATTGGTAATATTTAAAGTTTAAAAAGCGAATCGAGCATTTCTCATCATTTTAGAGATGGATTGTGTGAAAAGTGGATTTCAGAAACAATTATTCAAATTTGATTAAGACAAAAAAGGTTTCTTTGGGATAATATATATTAATTCAAGGAGTATCTTCTATATAACTTGGAATAGATAACAAAACATCCAATGATATCTTATATGGTGACGTTTATAAACTGTAACTTAAAAAATCATCAACTATAGCTATGTAATCCCTGGACAAATCTACTTTAAAATCTGAGAAACAGTAGTTTAGCCTTGCATATTAGAGAGTCTTCCTAAATTCTTAAATCACATATACTGATATGAATTATGACTAATCACGCGAATGGGTTTTGTCGATTGCAGACACGATAAAACTAGGCTTCATAAGAACTGTAATAAAAAAACTATATTTCTCTTTTTAGATTGCGTCGATTTTATTAGTTATTCTAAGACGTTATTGACTCCGACAACTATGGATGCGACTGTAAGTTGTTTTGACTATTGAAAAACTATAACTGATTTTATTTAATTAGGAAATCCAGGAAAAATTCATTTTACAATTTTTAGAACTCCTTGTGCATTTAACCAGTACTCGGCGAATAGGCATTATATATTGGATGGTTCTACTGAAACTGGTGAGTTTTTTATATTCATCCTCTAATAACCACAGAAAATATAGTATTTCGTCGTATTAATTCTATCTATTTATTTGTTTTGAAGAAGCCTAGATTTTCAGAGTTAACGGGAAAGGCATTTTAACTATTTCTATATCCTACTGATTTTATAAATAATAATTTAGTAAAGTAATGAAGACGGTAATCTTGAATAAAGTGATGTATTCGTAATATATATTGTGGCGCAAACACATCACACTTCTAAGTTCAACTTCATCTTTTGGTTACACTATCGAAAGTCATAGAAGGAACCAACTGACTGAAGTTTAGTTATCGATTTGTTTTGATTGTAACACTAAAACTATGTTAACAAATTTGACCATGTTATTAGAATAAAATTAATATCCTTGATGTTACATCTATTTATCTAAGTCAAGTCTGTATTGAACTATTTATTAACTCAAATCAATGTAACTTGTAACATACTTTTATGTTTTCAACAGTCTGTGTAATCCAAGTCGTTGGCTCCTGAAGTCTAACTTGAAGAAAATAGATGAGAATTGAAAAAAAGATATCAAAGAAACTTCATTTATGGCTTTGTTTCCACAGAACAGTTACGCGTGACATATATTTGATGAAATAAAACTAATACCTAATTTTTTTAATTTCATTCCTATAACCTAAAAATTCTCATTTAAGTCAAGTCTTTCATCACCTGTACCTTCAGTGAGTCGGTATTGAAAACTTTGTAGTTATGAGATGGTGGAGAAGATTTGTAGCTCAGGTGGATGATTTTGATGGAGTTTTGTTCTCTGAGCTGGATGGTTTGGCTATGGAGCTTCCACATTCTTCCGAACGACATCATCAGCACAAACTTCAGATAGAAGTGAAGTGTTCGAATTTCTCCATATGTGTTCCACAGCTTGTTCTGTGCACCTCGATGTTGATTGGTTCTTGTTGACCTTAAATTTATCATTGTTTACCTCTTTGTTTTTGTTGTGTCTCCCATTGATTTGATTTTTGTTCCTATATTTATGCATGAATTTCTTGATTGGTTGATAAATTGGATCGATTTCAATATGTTTATTGATTGCTGATTGCCCTGAGTGCCAGGCTTCTAAAAATTCTCTAGTGTTTTTGGAGTTTCCTCTGTCTAAGATTTCTACATTTTTTCAATCGAATGAGTGTCCGTAGTTATCCACGTGTATTGATATAAGTGGAGAGATATCATGGCGTTTGGCTGCTAATTGATGTTCATGTAGGCGTAGGTGGAGAGGGCGTCCGCTTTGTCCTATATAGTGTTCGTCGCAGTTGGTACAATTTATTTTGTAGATGATGTTTGATTTGTTTTCCTTTGTTATTTCATCTTTTGGTTTGCATAGGATTGATTGTAGTGATTTTGTTGGTTTGTGTGCCACACCTATCTCGTAGGTTGTCAGCAGTCTCGTTGCGGTTTCCGATATTCCTTGGATGTACGGTAGGGTGATCCTTTTGTTGATTTTTGTGCTTGACTTGGGTTCTGATGCTGTGTGCCGTTGGTGCTTTTTGATGAAGTTGATTGAGTAGCCGTTCTTTTGAAATATGTCCTTCAGGTATTTCTCTTCATTTTTTCGTGCTTCCAGTGTGCTGCAGTGTGTCCTCGCCCTCTTGAACAATGTGTGTACGCAGTTGATTTTGTGAGATGTTGGGTTGTTGCTGTTGTAGTTGAGAATTTGATCTGTATGGGTTGGTTTCCTACATACTTGAGTTTCCAGTTTTCCTGTATCAGTTCTAGTGAGCGATATATCCAAGAATGCTAGTTGGTTGTTTGACTCCTGTTCCATTGTGAACTTGATTTCATTGAAAACGTTGTTGATCAGTTTGTTTGTGTTTTCCAGTTCATTCTTTTTGACGATGACGAAGGTGTCGTCTACGTAGCGAATCCAAATTTTTGGCTTGATCATTGGTAGTATCGTGGCTTCTAGTCTTTGCATCACTGCCTCTGCGATCAGTCCTGATATTGGTGATCCCATTGGTGTCCCTTTCGTTTGTTCGTAGATTTTGTTGTTGAACTGAAAATATGTTGTTAGGCATAAATCGATGAGTTCCAGTAGACTTTGAATTTGAAGCTTCGTGTATTTGGTGAGATTTGTGTCGTTGTTGAGTAGCAGGGATATAGTTTCTTTTGCTAACTGTGGTTCAATTGAGGTGAACAGTGCTGTTACGTCGAAGGATATCATGAGTTCGTCGTTGTTGATTTGAATATCCTTAATTTGGTCCAAGAATTGTGTTGGGGATTTGATGGAGTGTTTGGCTGAATCTACTAGAGTATTCACTCAAACTTTTTCGAACTCTGTCAGTCATGTTTCAACACAATTACCATTGTTAGTCAATGTTCTAATACATCCTTCTTCGTGTAAGGTGCTCATGAACTAGAAAATATTAACAAAATATCAGTTGCCACATCCTTAACTTAGTGATAAAGTCTCTGTTTATGATGTGATAACATTACCCCAATATATATTGGGGGCATCAGTTTAATCAATAGTAACGACAAACCATGATGATGAATTTAAACTAGCGCATAACAGATTACTATCTCTAAATAACCACATATATTAACGAAAGTAGATTTGAGTAACTCCATAAAGAATAATTAATTTATTTAAACACAATCGCAACTGTAATATCTATTACGGTAGCTTGTGTTGAATATTTGTTTAACAACAGTACGTATTTATTTATTTGTTAAACCTGATGTAACCTATTAAACTTCATTTCCCATACTGACATGTAATTATATAATTTTAAAAATATTATAACAGAGTAAAATGTTTCGAATATGATGCCCTAGTCAACCTTAACTATGAAGAACAAACATTTACCAACAATAAACCTACGAAAGATTATTAGAAATGAACTAGATAAATATTGGAAGTTTCTTTTCCTCATACAATTCTTCAGTAAGAGAAATAGGTTGTATCTACTGTTAGAAACAATCACCAAATTAACTGTATACTTTGTATAAATTAATAGATTTACATAACTGAAAATTAATTGGACAAATTTTACTATTGCACAGTTTGTATCATAAACTGATCATAGTTAAACAGCAACTAAAGACCAGTAAGTAATAGACATCTGTATAAAACTTAACAGCATCAGGGATCCACGATTTCATTGAGTATTGAACTCACGTCTCACATGGAGTACTTAATCTTTCAACTATCGAATTCCCACTCAATACTTCACATTATTTAACTTCGAACAATTTTATCATCTTGAGGATTATTGTGATGAAGTAGTAATTAAAAACAAAATGAGATACATTCTACAAGGAGATAAGACGAAAAAAAAGAATAGTTCAGCAACTTACACGAATTCAGTGATTTCTGAAATTTTCAAAGATCAATATTAAGTGGAACAATCAATTTTTCACATTATACTCAAGTTAAAACAGTAAACACCTATTAGTGATAATCATAACAAGTAGAGATGATTAGTTAACCAAATAACATTATTATTATTGATTTAACCGCTAGTGATTCATTTTAAATTAGCAATTAAATAAAGCACTCAGAATACATACTGGATCATTTCATTATAATGACGGTTAATTTATAATATTGATTTAATTTACATGCGTAACTTCTATATAAAGTTTCAATTTGAGGCTTGAGAAATTAATTTGAATCTACTAATTAAGTCAATCAGTGGAACGATAACCAGGTTATGTTTTCAATTAAAATCCATACCATTGAAGAAAAAGCAAACGATTAAACACTTCGTCCAAAAATGATTTTATTTTCGACGATTTCATTTGTAAACGCTATGAAATTGGGTTACACATGTTTGGATCCTATCAATAGAACTAGCTAACTTAAGATTATAGAACATACTTTGTTGATAAGTACCAACTAACAAGAAAATTTGCTTCAAAGTTCAATACAATCTTTCTCCAAACATTTTGATGGAGTTTTGTTTTGGATGGTTTGGTCGTGGAGCTTTCATCATTCTTCTGAACGACATCATCAGCACAAACTTCAGATATAAGTGAAGCGTTCGAATTTCTCCATATGTGGTTCACAGCTTGTCCTATAGGCCTCGATGTTGATTGGTTCTTGTTGACCTTAAACTTGTCATTGTTTACTTCTTTGTTTTGGTTTTATTTCCCATTGATTTGATTCTTGTTCCAATGGGAGATACAACCAAAACCAAATTACATGAGCTACAAATCTTCTCCACCATTTCTCCAATCATCTAACAAGAACTCAATTCTTTTCAGTTTATACTCTATAGATTTTCAGTTTTTGATTCCATCAAAATAATAAAACTTTGTTGTTCTCCTTTTGATTGTCTATTTTTTTCTTCGTTGAATGAGTTTATTCTATTTATTAATAGGTCATTTTATTTTTTAAAGATCTTTTGATGTGTTCTTTCTCTCTGTCCTTATCATTTATACCGTATAATTTCATTTACAAAACATTTTTTATCATCACATAAGTAGTTTCATTAACTCATTCCAACAATATATCAATGTTCATTTCATTTAATTAATGACTCAATTGTATTTTTTTCTTTGATAAAAACAATGGTATTCTTCAAAAAAGTCAATTTTTATTATTAAATATTTATATTTACCAGTATATGAGTTGTGGAGATTATTAAGTTTTCGATTGAGATCATGAACCGATTGATGTTAGATCACTATTGAAAACCTGAAAGCACTGGACGGCCGTTTCATCCTAGTGTGGGAACCCACAGCAGTGCGCATCCACGATCCCGCTCGCGGGATTCGAACACAACGCATTCAGTCTCGCGCGTTAACACTTAAACTACTGACCAGTGAGCCGGCATCCAATGGTGTTAATGTCTAACATCAAAAATCCACGACCATTGCGCGACCATCTTCCATTGTACTGAGGTAGATACCTGACTCTAATGGACACGGATTAGCTCCACTGGTCACGGGTTCTCACTAGAACTCCGAGAATTTTCCCACGAAGCTAGTCACTAGTGAACACATGGTAATTATCAGTTTTAGGGGTTGTTCAGATTGTTAAGTTTTTGATTGAGATCATGAACCGATTGATGTTAGACCACCATTGGAAACCAGTCTTGCACGCGAGACTGAAGGCCTTGGGTTCGAATCCCACAAGCGGGATCGTGGATGCGCACTGCTGAGGAGTCCCACAATAGGATGAAACGGCCGTCCAGTGATTTCAGGTTTTTAATGGTGGTCTAACATCAATCGGTTCATGATCTCAATCAAAAATCTAATTTTTAAATTTGTCAAAAATTTACTAAAGTTATTATTATTTCTTCAATAAAAATAAAATTATTTAATGTTAAGATGTAGACATTGATAAAATTAATGACTTTTCATAAGATTAATCATATGTTATGTATGCTACTGATATTGACAGATATAAGTAGTATGTATCATCAATCAAAAGTGAAATGTCCCGGAGGTGTGTATAAGTTTAAGAAGATCGAGGAAAAGAGAACGAAAACAGAGAGTAATTGGTTTAGAAATGAAAGGATGATCAAGTCTGAGACAATTTGTTGACATTTTGCAAATGAAGTATTTACTGTGTCGTTCTTACATTTTACTAAAAGATTCTGTAAGTTTGTATTTAAGTACATTTGATTGTCCCCCAGTGGTGTTCTTGTTCACTATAATTCAACTGATAGAAAATAACGTTTGAATATTAGCTAGTATTCAGATTCACGGAGTTGAGTCTTCAGCAGAAATGTGTGTGTTAGTAAGATAATTTTCATTTGAAAGCGTAACAAACTAAGGAAATTTCGATAAATCTGATCTGGATGGTTTGATTGTGGAGTTTTCATTGTTCTTCTGAACGACATCCTCAGTACAAACTTTAAGTAGAAGTCTCCACCATCTCAAACTGAGGTATTCATGACCTTATAATAAGTGTGGTACTATTGAGCAATATTCACAGCAATCAATAATTAAAATCTTTACCTTTAGTTCAAACCTACTTTAATGTTACTCATCTAATGATAAGCTTACTACTGAATAACTAGATATTTTTTTGTAATCTTCAAGTGCGAGTCTGTTGTATGCTGAAGCAATAATATTGGGTGTAAGATAATAGGAGTGATAATGACATTACCAGAAGACAGTGACATAATATGGAAATGTAAACCATCGGATTGAATCGCAACGACGTAAAGAGATAATTGTCTTAATAAAACATATAGGATTTGGTCTTGATTCCCTATGTAATTATGAATTTCCCCTTACTGAATAATCATACTCTATGGAAAAATATATGACTGGCGGTTCTTTGTTTATGTTTAGTCTTCACATGATTTAAGTTCGTAGTAAAAATTAATTGTAAATTATTTCTCTGTTCTTATTAGACTTTCACTAAGTACCAAATGACAAGTATTCTTTACTTCATAAATAAAAATGATATATGTCCGAATTGTCTACTGATACATATATATATATATATATATATATATATATATATATATATCAGTTGGTTAGGTTGTAAATCTTCATCGACTGAGATGGTTGAGTCATGTATTTCTCATGCCCAATCACTGATTACAACAGTGTGCAATGCTGACTGGTGTTGGAGACCGATGGAAGAAAGTTAGGGGAGGCCAAACCAAAACGTGGCATCAGTGCTTTAAGTCACTAACTTCTGATCTGAGTTATGTTGGTATATGCAGGCTACGTGGTTGAAATCCGCGCAACTATCGTAACTAATGGTTGGAGACCCTGGGTGACATGGCTCAGAATCGACCACAATGGCGTAGGTGTATACACCCTTGATCTGCCATTAAATGGTGAGATCAAAATTTCTTTATACCTTTCTTTCTACGAACTAATTCTTTCCTCCTGTACTTCATCCTTATATGAAATCCTTCTTTTATACATTACTACCTTTAAAGTAACTACTTCTATGAATTCAATGTTCATCTTGTCGTGATAATGACGTGAGGCAACTTGGACTGACGCATACATGTGCCTGGTCTTACGTTGTAGCTGACAGACCATATCTATGTGTATGAACGGATATGTTAAATTGATTCAATTCTAGTTAAATCCGGATTGTATGTGACATTTCGAGTAATAAAGTTTTTACTTCCAAACAAATTATTATTATTGTTAGAATTTATGCAAAATTTAATACGTGGCCATTCTCTCATTAAACATAACAAACATATTGCATACAATGCTTAATGAAGATAATTACTATTACGAAACATTAATCAGTTTTATTCGCAGAATTAAAGAAATAGTTTTGATCATATGATATAGGTCAATGCACAAAACATTAATACAAAAGAAATGTAATTGAAACCCAAATAAATTTTCTCAGATACTTTGTTATTGATTTAATATGTTAGTGTTCTAACAAATCAGGCTAGTTGACAGTTAACAGCTTAAATTCTACATTTCTGTGTTTGATTCTTTAAAAATATGATGACTGAATTCATATTATTAAATTGTGAATTACACAGGAACCCGCATCATAAATTTTGTTATAATTCTAAAATTTTTGTATTGGGTATTACAATATTATTGTAGCAGTTGGTTAACCTTTGTCATAAAATTAGAGATTTTGTTAGTAAAATGAATTGGTAAATTTAAATTATTGAATAAGCTCTCGCACTCACGTGCAAGACTCATAAGTCCTGGGTTCGAATCTCGCAAGGCGGGATCGTGGATGCGCACTGCTGAGCAGTTCCACAGTAGGACAAAACGGCCATCCAGTGCTTTCAGGTTCCCCACAAAAACCTCTTCTGATATTGATCAACATGTGCTCACTAGTGACTGACATCAAAGGTATTTCCCGGAGTTCTAGTGAGAATCAGTGAGCAGTGGAGTTTAATCGGTTCTGTTGTGAAATAGTAACTCACTGATGAAAATGGTGGATGTGTCGGTGAATTTCGTGGATTAGTTGAAGTTAGACATCAACGCCGTTGGATGCCGGCTCAGTGTTCTAAATTCTAAGCGTTTTCGAGCGAAACCGACATGTCCCTGATTCGAATTTCGCAAGCCAGAATCGTGGATGCGCACTGCTGAGCAGTTCCACAATAGGACAAAACGACTTTCTAGTGCTTCCAGGTTTACCATGGTGGTCTAGTTTCAATTGACCCATGATTTCAACTAATGCAACTGCTATAATATTCACAAAATCCTCTTCTGAAATTATCATTCAGTTGGATCTCATCAATACGTAGTCAGATTGTTTTCCAATAATCTTGACATTAAAAAAATCAGCTTAATATCGTTTTAGATACCATTAAGAAGAATTGCATAACATTTGGTTGTTGGTTCCTTACAAGAAAATTTCTATATTCAACAATTTTACTTTCTATATACTGTCTTTCACACAAAGAAATGATTCAAAAATCTAAAGATGATATTCATCCCAAATTATGAATTCACTTGAGATATTATCGAAAAATGGGAACACTGGGATAGTTGTTTTATACATGTGTGCAACTCTTTTCAAAACTTAATAGTGGTGTCATCATTAAGAATTGAACCAGTGAATTAATACATAAGTGAATGCTTAGTTATTAAATCATTAAGTTTGTATTCAATATTATATATCTTTTTTACTTCATTCCTATGGCAAATTAAAAATTCAATGATCCCTTTTAAGATTTATTATTCATGAAATAAATATGTCATTGTTATTATAAATTAAATTATCAGCTTTAGTTTCGATAGAGTAAAGGACTTGAAAAAAATTTACCATTCTACAATTATACATTATAGTAAATTGATCATGCTTAAACATGAAACATTTATGTTATTTAGGCAGAATGTTCATATAGATATAAATAAGAACAATAGCTTGTTGTTTTCTTTATGGAATGAAAAATAATTTATGATAATTTCTATTTACTCAAATATTCCAGAATGTTAATTTGCATAATTTATTTTGTAAAGAAAAGAAATTCTTATCATGCTCATGTAAAAAAACAAAACAAAAGGAAGCGTTATGAATTGAAGTTTAAATTCACTTTTAAGAAACTTTTATAGATGATCTGTCGTTTTTTGAAAACTTATCAGTACCTGCAATGATGTTTAGTTGTTATGGTTTCAAGTCTTTGTAGATTTTTATCGCTGAACTCACGAATTGATATTAGCTAGATCAATTTTAAAGACCTGTCTTCATGTGAAACTCCTCAGTACTATGGATCTACAAATCCGCAAGCTGGAATCGGATACAGAATATTCGATTGTTCTAGTGAACACTTAACCTCTAGACTACTCAGTTGGCATCCAACGATATCAATCTATAATTTTAATCAACCTGTGATCTCGGATGATTTTTTATCCATTGCCTGAGATGAATAACTGTTTCACACCTAACAATGATCGAACTTCATTGGTCGAGATTTCTCATCAGAACTCCGGGAGTAACATATTGAGCCCAACACCGTTGATTGCCGGCTCAGTGGACTAGAGGGTAAGTGTTCGTGTTTGAGACCGAATATTCTGGTCTTGATTCCCGAGTGCGGTTTCGTGGATGCAGATTGCTGAGGAGTCGTACAAGGGCGAAACGTCCATCCAGTGCTTTCAGATTATCAGTGGTAGTCAAGATTATTTCGTGATTTCAAACTCAATAATCTCTGTAAACTCTTCATACTATGTAGATTTGTCTAAAAGTTAAAAATATACCCAGTACACAATTTGGTACTTACAAAGACTCAAGACCTAATTGGATGACGTGTTAGGGGTTCTAAGTGAAAAGCACTGCATCTGAGTCTCTATGTGAAGGCTAACTCTGGAATTCAAGTGTATTCGTTTGGCAAGTACCAAACGGTACGAAGTTCACATCATGTATTCCACTGTTAGTAGCCATTCAACTTTACTAAAATCTAATAACTTGACAAGGATATCGAGGCAAACCGTTCAGGATGCACATATGTCAACAGAGACAGGATATTTGACGTTCTCATGATCAGCAACAGAAATACACAAACATTTTACCATTCAAAATTAGTGCCATATGATAGAAAAATGCAGCTAATATGTATTTGTAAATGAATATTGGTTATTTATTATTCGTTTGTCCAAGGAAACTGAACAAGATTATTCAAAATCAGTTAATGGTACATTCATAAATCAGAAGAAGGAATGATGAGATCATTTGAGACGTATTTTTCATAAGTAAACGAAATACCTAGGATAGTATTATAATCTTATTTACCATTTCTAAGTATGTAGGCGTTTTATTCGATCAAAGAAATCTGATTTAAATGCATTAAACCCTAAAACATATTTTATGGCATCAACTACTTGCTTGTCAGCAAACGATTAAATGGTTAAGAAAAGAAGTTACTTGAACTAAAACATAGAACTGTCCTTTCTCACTAAAAGGATAATAAGCATCAAATCAAAATCCACAACGCATCGTTTGTTTCACATCAGACCTCACATAATTTACTGAAAAATAAAGGATTACTGTTCTTCTACATTGTAGGAACCACCGAGATCTAACCCCAAAAAACTTAACCTGGTACACGACAATATCACTTTATATTTGACCAAGTTAGTCACAACAGCAATAAATTTTAAACTCTCATCTGGAAACTAATTTTACATTTATCTGTAACCTTATACGATCTTGGCTTTCGACTTTTATTTGGAGATCTTTACAGATTCAACACAGAAAATAACTTCTCAACAAAATGACAACCAATTAATTATTAGGCCAATGTTTTAAGTCCACTCCATTAGTGTTTTAATCTAACCTGCCGTTTGCTGTTACTGTTATGTGGTCCTGAACAATAAAATTAACAGCGATCAACTTTAACTATTACATTCTGTGAGTATTCGTTCAAAAAGTAACAACGGATAAATCCTAATCACAAGTAACATGTAACTTAAAAAACGATTTATATTCACAACATTGATTCACCATAATGATCGGATTTATATGATAACATAATTCGATCACAAAATAGCAGCAAATGTAATATTTTCTAAACGGTAGTAGCAGTTAAATTCTAAACGTTGCTACTAAGCTAAACGACCCAAACTTGTGGTTCGATTTGTTTAATATTAGATATTTAAAGATAAAGCACAGGAAAGAGACAACCACTGAGCTTTTCTATTAGATCGGTTAGTACTTTATGAATTGCATTGGCTTACATAACATCAAAGATTTAATATTTTGAATGTATAATGTTTACACTACAAACGATTATGATATTCAACTTACACTATCTAGAGTATCTGATTTTTCAGGTTTTAAATTTTTCAGAAGTTTTGAAATTTTGCTAACATAATTTGATATTTCTATTTGACGATTGATCTGTATTATAATTAAAAAGGTAGAATATGCAAATAACTCAAACTGTTCTGCAAATACAATACATTTCAATGCTTAATATATGAGATTGTAATTAAAATTATGTAATATTATGAAATGGAATCTGTGAGAAATTAAATTTTACTTTCCTTTTTCTTAAAAAAAATCTTCATAATAGTGACATTTTACTTTAAGCATATATTAAGTTCCACAGATTGAAATCATGAGTCAATTGAAGCTAGACCACCATGGAAAACCTGGAAGCACTAGACGGCCGTTTCGTCCTAGTATGGAACTCCACAGCAGTGCGCATCCACGATCCCGCACCCCGAGAGATTTGAACCCAGGACCTATCAGTTTCACGCCAGGCGCTTAACCAACTAGAACATTGAGCCGGCATCCAATGGTGTTAATGTCTAACTTCAACCAATCCACGAAGTTGCGCCATCGTATACCATTTTCTTCAGTGAGCTGATATCTCACAACAGACTTGGTTGAACTACAGTGGCAACGACTTCTCACTAGAACTCCAGGAGTATCTCTTGAAGTCAGTCACTAGTGAGCAGATGATTATTATCAGAAGCGGTTTGTGGAGATTTTAGAAACTTCACAGATTGAAATCATGAGACTAAACGGCCGTCCAGTGCATCCAGGTTTTCCATGGTGGTCTAGCTTCAATTGACTCATGACTTCAATCTGTGAAATTTCTAAAATTTCCACAAACCCCTTCTGATAATATGTTAAGTTCCCAAAAACATGTATTCATCTGATCTATTGTATTTTTATAACAGAATATACAGTCATCTATAAACTATAAATTACAAGTAATGATTTTGCTACTAAATAGTTGTACAATAACATAGATTCATCAATAAACTGAAATGAAAGCATGATATTCCATCGTAATTACTATTGTTTGCATGTTATTTATTCAAATATTAACGTCCAAGAGAACGACTTTTTGATTCAATGTTGACTTCTAACTTTTTGTAAATGATTTCTCGAAAGATAACTAGTTCAAAAAAATTCCTTATGTTTGAAAACAATACATTTAGCTGGAATAGCGGTTAGTATACCAGTAATAAATATTTTCTAAATGGAACAAGTAATAACTCATGAGTAACTATAGTATTACAGATCTGGTACTCTATTTAACTGTTTGTGTTGAATCCCTATATTCTTAATTAATGATATCAATGACAATTTCCTTCGCACTGACTAAACTTATAAGATCCATTGTAAAAACAAGTACACATAGAAAGTGTATACTCTCTGTAAATTAGAAATTAATGTGTTTCATTTGAACTTATGCAAGGTATCTATATTTATCACCTAGGTTTATCTAATCTTATATGTAAGATCAATATTACCAACAACGACAACAAAAAAAGAAAGAAAAAGAAAAAAAAACGAACTTACTAACAATTTGAATGGATCAAGAAAGTTTTTATAATTAATATCTCCATTTTGTAGACAAATTTTTAATCCATGAATAAAATTTTTCTGTATAGTTTCAATTGAATTAACAGATGATCGTATTGTTATGACTTCATTTGTTGTACGTTTTTGTTTAATAAAATCTAATGACTGTTAAAGAAAAATAATAATAGTAATAATAATCAAATAATGATGTACAATTCGTATCAGAAGGGGTTTTGTGGAGATTGTAGTAATTTAAACAGTTAAGATCGTGAGTCAATTGAAGCTTTCAGGTTTTCCATGGTGGTCTAACTTCAATTGACTCATGATCTTAACTGTTTAAACATCTTTATACTTTAATACATTTTTTCTTTTATACTTAATGATATAAATGATTGTAACTAATTGTAGATTTAGTCTTTCTTGTTGATAAGGTAGTAGTGTGTTAGATAATAAGTTTACAAATTCAGTTATTCATTATAATGATTGTAAATGACTAACAAAATAATTAAAAGTTTTTTTTTATAAATGAACAAATTAGGGTGTTTGATTTCAGGATTGATAGTAATAGAATAGATTACATTAGTTGATAAGTACAACTTCAATATAAGTTATGTAACAAAGAATTTTAAGTTGAAGAATTGACTATAATGGGATTTATAAAATATTTAATAAGAAGTTTAATATTAACAACAAGTAAATGATCATGAAGGGAATATTACAGCTACATAAGAAAACTCATCAACTAAATGAACCAGTATAGGGCTCTTAATTGATATTACTAGTTTTTCTTCCACTTAGTCAGGTAGGAAGATGTTCAGAAATATTGTGATGGATTTGCGTAATGGTTCAACTAATGTGACTGGTTCCAAAAGAGAGATGTTCGTTATTATTTCTGGTTCCAATTGTCGGTCGGTTATAAAATATGGTATGTTGCACTGAATGTTCTTCGTACAGCTTTCCTTATTCGACGTATTAATTATTAGTTGGAAGACTTCTTTAGTAATTTAAACTTTAGGAAAATCGACTTCTTTTAAGAAACGTGGTTTCTCTGACTTTGTCTTGTCTGGTGGTATGTGCTTATTGATAAACTTAATGGATAAACGTTCATGTTATGTAAGTCGTGGATAGTACTCAGCTTACCTTCAATAGCATCATCAAAGCAAGTAATTTCCTCATTGTGTTAAACTCATCACTATGTTACTTTTGTAGATGAGACTTAAAGAATTGTAAAGGAGAGTGTATTGACCGATTGATGTTGATTTTAGATATACATTTCTTTCAAATGCTCCATTCAATCTCCTTGTTAACGAGATGTCTAAAAATGACATACTTCCATTACATTCTTCTTATGGTATCAACCTGGTAGTCGGGTGCATGCAGTTAAATCTTTTAAGTAGAATAACTTCGTCCATTACATTATTAAGTAGTTTAGACGTTTCGTTTATGTGGCGGAACTAAAGTGGTAGCTGGTTTATTTGATTCTTAAGTCGGCTATCCTCTAGTTTTACCTAAAAAAAAGTCAAAGACAAGTGGATCCAGTGAAGAACTCGTTGTAAATCCATTGGAATGGCTATAAAATTCCATGTCGAACCAATAATGCATGTTCATTGGGTAACTGAGGATTAATTTGTTCGGCGTAGAAATACTAGTTCCGATTCTTTATTGCATTCAGTTCACCGCATATATTATAATCAATCCTTCAATCACATTTCAAATTTATTATTACCCAACTGTTATTAATATTAGATTTCCTATCTGAATACTTTATTAATTCTACGAAAATACTATGCTCAGCCCTGAAACCATACACCCCAATTCGTTCATTTATTATGACTTGATTAATTATTATATTATCTATCTCTATCATTTAATTGTGTTTGTTAATCATTTGAAATTATTATGACGAACAATTGGATTTGTAAACTTATTATTGAATACTACCAGTTCACTAGTTATTACTAAACAAATATATATATATATAATTTAATAGTTGAATTCATGAATTAATTAAAGCTAGATCATCATGGAAAACCTGGAAGCACTGAACGGCTTGGTTGAAGTGAGAAATTAATACCATTGGATGTCAACTCAGTGGTCTACAGGTTAAGCGTTCACAATAGGTCCTAGGTTCGAATCCCACGAGCGAGATCATAGATGCGCACTGCTGAGGAGTCCCATACTAAAATGAAACTACTATCCAGTTCTTCCAGGCTTTCCATGGTGGTCTAGCTTTAATTAACTCATGAATCCAACTATTAAATTACTAAAATCTTCATAAAACCTCCTTAATCGGATTAAAATTTATTCTTAAATAGATGTAAAACCTTACAGTTTATTCGAAAATAACATCAACAGATGAGATTAATATAAAGTTTTGCTAATAATCCTTTATTTTATAAAATGCTTGCTAATTTACTCCTTTGTTAAGTTTTTTTCAAATTTATTGATTATTTATTTCAATGGTTAAGATCATGAGTCAATTGAAGCTAGACCACCATAGAAAACCGCAAGCACTGGACGGCCGTTTTGTTTTATTATGGGACTCCTCAGCAGTGCGTATCCACGACCTCGTACTCTGCGAGATTCGAACTCAGAACCTACTGGTTTCGCGCTTGAGCAGTTAACCAACTAGACCATTGAGCCGGCATCCAACGGTGTTAATGTCTAACTTCAACTAATCATGATCTTAAGCATTGAAATTACTAATAATACCCACAAAACCCATTTGAGATTATTTATTTGTAAGTTATTCTCAATGTTCAATTGATAATATAATTGGATAGAATATATCTTAACATAATTTTTTGTTTTCTACATATCTACAAAATAAAATTAAAATGGTTACTAAGACATAGATTTATCTAAAAGTGACTATTTAATGCTTATAAGTTAATAATGTTCAATTCCATTTATTGATCATAGAGTATTTAATAATTAAAATTATACTTTTAATAATTAAGTTCTTTATTTAAATGTTACATTTTTGTGCTTTGTATCAAGGTCATGCATCCATTCAACTCATAAACTCAAATAAACTTTAATAAATAAATAAATAAAGAAAAAAAAGGTTTCCAAAGTTATTGTATGTGCTTATCAACTACATATTTGTTTACTAATAATAATCAATGTATATCTATTCAATAAGGAAAGAAAATAATAGAAGTTGACTTTAGTCTATACATTAAAAGCTTAGAATATTTCAATATTGTCGATTCAGTTCATTATTTATGATGATCTTTAAACTGAACTTAATCACTTCTGTAAATATTTTTAGGTAAGTAATTACATCATTTCAACTTAATACATAAAATGAATGATAAACAGTCAACTTATGTATCTTTTCTATTTTACATCTACTCTTAATAACTAAAAGAATAATAATGAGCTATTCTATATGTCATACAAACATGTATATTTTGATGGAGTTTTGTTCTCTGACTTGGATGGTTTAGTCGTGGAGCTTTCAACGTTCTTCTGAACGACATCATCAGAACAAACTTCAGATATGTATCTACACTAATATCTTTGATCAATTAAATAATCCTTCATATCAAATCATAGAAAAATGTGTAAACTTTTACCGTTTTAATTTCTTCCAAAATCTTTAAATGTTGACTTTCATGTTTATGAAGGTAATCCAAATGTGAACGAATTTTATTTGTGGTTTCCTATTAATTTGTCATTAAAAAAAATTAAAATTATTGTGTTTTATTCAGAGTACTAGAAATGTTATTATTGGAAATCGAACTCACAAAATATTTCGTCTCAATCAGTGACTGATCATAAAAGTGGTTAGGGATTTTGAACAGATGATTAAAGAACTAAGTATATACTGGTTTTTAAAATTGATTGATCACTGGGTAGTGAACAGTGTTGTATGTGCCAAATCCTTCTTACTGAAAATCAAATTCTATCGACCAAGTTGAATTGTGGTCATCAGTCTAGGTGACTCGAGATTGCATGCACTATGTTGATATGTTGATATGATAGAGTTTCCATATGTTGATATGTAAGATGGTGCATTCGTCAGCAAAGCGTACCTGTAACCTTGGTGGAAACTGATGCTCCCTAGCGAATTTAATCTCATATCAACCGGCTTGTCAGTCATACACGTTGCCGTTTAGCCATCCGGGATGCGACTGTCTCCCTGTAGATACACGAGTTCCTGCCGACCACCTCCAGCCACTACCTTACATTTTAATATAATAATGTTAGATTGCAACGTGATGAATAAAAATCTATCCGCACTAAGAAGGACCCGATACACACAACATTGGTCATTAGCCAGTGATCACTCAGTTGTAAATACTTCTCAGTCCTACAGAAGGTTAGTTCGACTCAATTTTTCTACTACATTATTTTGGTCTTCACTGTGATCTACACATATCTACTTTCAAACAAACGATCTTAGTTATTGGGATTTCTTCAAGGATTTATTAATTCATCTTATTTGCTGTTATTTACTACACTCAGAGAATTCCAATTATAGCATTCATGTTTTTCGAAAACAGTTTGTTGCACAAAGTTAAATTAAATGAAGCATATTTCTAAATTTGAATTTGTTCTGTATTAATCTGTATCTTCTAAGTAGTACATATTCATGATTCTACACTATGTCAAACGCAAACCACTTAGATCTCACAGCTAACAAGATATCATTTACTCACTTAACTGGATTCTGACCGGCCTAATTTTCAAATTTAATCGATTTGCATAACAATTAAGAAGTGTAATCATCTTGATTACTCGATGAAGCTGGAATAAAAATAGACCCCATCTCACGCAAATATGATTGTATGGATGTCAAAGAACAAGAATTATTTTTATGCTAATATATGAATATATATCTCGCGAGGCAGGATCGTGGATGCCCACTGATGAGGAGTCCCACAGTAGGACGAAACAGCCTCCCAGTGCATTTAGATGTTCCATGGTGATCTAGCTTCAACTGACTCACGATCTTACCTATTAAAATATATGGAGACTCTCAAAAAATAATTGATACACTACGTGGAATGTTACTAGAATTATTTTTAAAATGTTACCTTTATGTCCATATAATCTTCATTGTTCAACAATTTGATCTGTTCGCTTTCAGTGACTAAATTTATAATTTGTGAAGAAGAAGGAAATTAATGAAATTATAATCCTTATTTAATACTTGAAATATCCAGTTACACCGAATAAAATCGAGTAATTATCATTTGAGTGGTAGTCGGTAATTCATTTCCTAAATTTTCAGTTGCCTATACTTAAATTTACGTTGACATTCTAACTGTGATTCCTACATATTAACTATGGTTCTCAATCCGAGATTATTATCCAGTAAGCTAAAGTGTCACTATGATTTCAAATATTAATTAGTGAGAATATAAAAACGTTACTTTTTACAATAACTAACAAATTGATTTTTTGGTACAATCTCGACTCGTTACACCATCTCCAAAACATAATTTGAAGAGATGTTAGTGACATTCTGATAATACTACTAGTACTAAAATCAATTCCCTTTATTATTTGACTAAACCTGAACTATATAAATCGAGAATTAAATATACAGTCGGCTCAAATAAGAATAATCACTTATGAAATTTATAGTTTATCATATATTAGTAGAAATTATAAGGCATTATGAGACTATGGAATTTCTGTAGTGATTTCAGTAATAATTTCTGATGTGAATCACCACAGTTTATTAGATAATCAAAGAAATAACTATTTCAAACATTATACCGTGCAAACACATGATGAACATGTGCAGGGATTCTTCTTTCAAGAAATTTAGAGCAATTAGTCAATTTGATAAATTTTGATAATGTAACATTTATATATAAAAAATAGAAGGTCAACAAGACTGGAAATCGGGTAAAAGGAGACAAGGATAATCATAATGTGGATATAATTTGAAACCTAATCATTCTGGATAATAAGCCAATATTAACAGGATGGGTTTAAGGTGAGAACAAACTGTTTTTAAATATCGGTTTAGGAGTTATGGAGATTGTTAAGTTTCTGATTGAGATCATGAACCGATTGATGTTAGACCACCATTGAAAACCTGAAAGCACTGGATGACCAATTCGTCATATTGTGGGACTCCTCAGCAGTGCGCATCCACGGCTCGCGGGATTCGAACCCAGGGCATTCAGCCTCGTGCGCGAACGCTTAACCTACCGGACCACTGATCCGGCATCCAATGGTGTTAATGTCTAACCTCAACCAATCCACGAAGTTGTAGCGACCATCTTCCATTGTAATGAGGTAGACACCTGTTTTTACCCGACACGGATTATCTCCACTGGTCACGGGGTGCGCACTACTGAGGAGTCCCACAATAGGACGAAAAGGCCGTCCAAGTCTTCCAGGTTTCCAATGGTGGTCTAACATCAATAGGTTCATGATCTCAATCAAAAAATTAATAATCTCCACAACCCCTAAAAATGATAGTTACTATATGCTCACTGGTGACTAGCTCCGTGAGAAAATTCTCGGAGTTCTAGTGAGAACCCGTGACCAGTGGAGCTAATCCGTGTCCATTAGAGTCAGGTATCTACCTCAGCACAATGGAAGATGGTCGCGCAATGGTCGTGGATTGGTGGATGTTAGACATTAACACCATTGGATACCGGCTCAGTGGTCAGTAGTTTAAGTTTTACCGCGCGAGACTGAATACCCTGTGTTCAAATCCCGCAAGCGGGATCTTGGATGCGCACTGCTGAGGAGGCCCACAATATGACAAAACGGCCGTCCAGTGCTTCCAGGTTTCCAACAGTGGTCTAACAGCAATCACTTCATGATCTCAATCAAAAATAGTAAATCTTCGAGAATTTTAAAGGGACACGTAATTTAAGATTGTTTAAAGACATGTAATCACATAATATGTCAATAGTTTTTTTCAAAGCCACATTTGTGAACAAGGAATTCACATCAAATGAACACATTGTCTTTTCCTTGATATTAATATCACCTAAATGATCGACCAATTCAAAAGAATCCTTCAGAGAATTCTTTCATAGACGTCTTCGAATAGGGTCCAACAATTTTGTTAGCCATTTAGCCAGGTTATGTGTAGGTGATCTGCACATTGATAAAATTAGACGTAATGGAATGTTTGGTTTGTGAATTTTAGGTAGTCCATATAAATGAGGGTACTCGTAACCCATAGGTTTTAGAAAATTAAATTCCTCTTTATTAATAATATTCATGTGTAGCAAGTTTTCTAGGTTCGAATTAACTCTTCCCTCTAGTTTGCCAACACGTCCAAATTCAAAATCAGGCATAAATTTACTTTTATCACTGAGGTTGGATAACATCTTACTTTTATATTCACATTTATTCATATAAATACGCCTGATCCTTTATCAAGTTTCAACAAGACAATGTCAGGGGTTGTTCGTAGTTCTTTTAGTGATTTAAAATGCTGAGAAGTTAATATGCTTCTCTGCTTTGGTCCAGCATTAGGAAATTGGTGTGCTATATTCACCAGTTTGAAAAGGTGCCTATTCAACAGACTTGATAGTACTTGTACAAATGATGCCATTGGTGATGATGTTAAGTTGCTAAATAAAAAAATTAATGGAAAATGGCTATCCCCTGAAATTCGTAAATAGATAGAAAGTCCATGGTACAGAGAGACCTACTGTAGGCTTGGTAGAAAAATAGCCTGTCTACATCATCTTTTCATTTAGAGGTGATTCAAACAGCCTTTTATTGAAACAAGGGCTTAAATCAGTCATCAACAAGACGTATTGCGCAGCAAAGGTCATTATCAAAGAAAGAGCAAGGTGCATGCTTCATCCAAAACGTAAAAGATATGAGAACGATTGTAACATCCCACTGTGTTTATCAATTTAAATGTGTGTGTGGTTACACACATAAGGAGACGCTATCGTGATCTCAAAATTAGGGTGTGTGAACATGTACCAAAATGCACTTGAAATTGTTTTACTTGAATCTTCCCATTGATGTTTTTGGACTGAAATTGATCAGTCCCTTATTGGCATATGTGCATACTGTGCGTATGCCTCGATATTGCCTTAATTTACATGCATTATAAGCAAAGATGGATAGTGGCTAGCAGTGGAATCCAGGACGCGCGTTTCGTCCTGTTTGGGACTCGTCAGCTGGATGAACCTGCATCTCAGAGTTGATGTTCACTCTGGGACTCGAACTCAGTACCGTTCGCTTCAAACGCCATCGCGTTATCCACTTAGCTACCAAAATGGTTGCAGAAACAAATAGAATCAAGTGACAGATAATTCCCATTTCAACATTAAAATTAAAACACGAAGTTCAGCGAAGGGATCTCTTTTCAACGAATTTATTATCAAGCTGTACAATCGTATATATATGAAAATTTTGTTTTTGTAAAAGTACTAATTCCGTGAGGAAATGTGAACACAGTTAATATAAAGGTTATAATACTAGATTACGTAATATGAATAATAACAATAGATTTAGTGAATATAATAAGATGATTAAAATGTTTTTATCATAATAATTAAAGGTCATAGAGGTGTGAAAAATAAATAAGGTGATATGATGAGCATTTACGAATAAAATAATGAGAATATAAGACATAAGTAAAGGGGGGGAATGCAGTAATAATAATAATAATAATAATAATAATAGGATAATCAAAATAATTAAGGCCAAAGTAACGATAAGACGTACTTCTTTTGTACGCATAGTTCTGGTTTAAGCTCCTGAATGGTAAGAGCATCAGCTATTTTTTAAGAGTTGGATACGAAGAAATCTGGGTAGATTTGGACAAATCATATAAACAACCTTAAAATCAGATTGTGGATCTGTAGAATGGTTATGGTTGATTAGGTGTTCAAGTATAGAACTCCTAACTGCTTTCCTTTCACCTTTATAGAACCAAGCTGGAATATGTTCCCGTATCCGAATTGAAAGCGAGCGCTGGCTACGGCCAATGTACCTTGCTCCACAAGAGCAGGTGATCTGGTAGATGCACATGGAGGCGACCAGACGTGGAAGCTTATCTTTTATGGATACAGAAAATAAATTTCTACTAGTGAAGGTTATTCGCAGTTTTGCCGCGTTAAATGTTCTTCTAATAGTTGTTGCTAGATGATTTTTGATTACGTCTGATGTTCGGTCACCTTTAAATTCCAGACTTATATAAAGGTTTTTTCTTCGGAAAGGAACAACTAGAATTCTTGTTGTGACTACTTCTATTCATATTCTTTTCTATGAACCGTTCTGGGTAACCATTCTACGTCAAAGTGTTCTTGAGGAATGCGAGTTCTTCGTTAATGCATTCCATACTGCATATCTGATGTATGCGATAGCATAAAGAATGGATAGGGTTTCTCTTCCTACCTAACGGAACCCAGCTACATATATACGATTGTACAGCTTGATAATAAATTCGTTGAAAAGAATCAAGTGACCCAATAAGAGTGGAGGATAAACATTCATCATCCTCTATTGGTAAACATATAATCAAAACAGGTCTTAACTCGGCTTTTGTGATGCTGTATAAAAGTGTAAAAGGACGTTTACTAAGGTTTGTTGAAGCCTTAGCCATTCGAAAATTCAAACTCCCTTCGTGTATTCAAAAACAGTTTGTTCTCACCTTAAACCCATCCTGTTAATATTGGCTTATTATCCAGAATGATTAGGTTTCAAATTATATCCACATTATGATTATCCTTGTCTCCTTTTACCCGATTTCCAGTCTTGTTGACCTTCTATTTTTTATATATAAATGTTCTTAACAAGTATATGTGTGATCAGATTGTTCGAAATGTATTACGCTAATACATCACATAGTTCTGATAATCTTCGTCTTCTTGATACATTATCGAAAAGTGATAAATACTTTAATTTAAAAGCTTAGTGAGTAATTCCCTGAAGTTTTAATAGATCGGTATCATTACTAAGGTTTGACTTAATGATTTTAAGTAAATTGATTATCAGGTAGATTGTTATTGTTAAAATAATATATTTGTAATATTCCAATGAGTAAAAAAATTACATTTTACTGACGTTTCGTGACTCACTGTAAGCCACTTCTTCAGAGAATAAACAAATAAAATTAACCCAAGCTTCGTTTATTTTTTCTCTGAAAAAGTGATTGACATTGAGTCACGAAACGTCACACAATTTAAAAAATAATTTTTTTCTATTCATTGGGATATTACAAATATATTATTTTATCAATAGATTATCAGTAGACAGTAACTAGATTTTATTTCCAACAAGAATATCAACAATGTCAATTTGGTACATCTAACTGGTAAGTCTTAAAATATTGGAATAAACTGTAATTTTCTATGTTTCTTATCCTTTGTAAGAAATATCTTGGGTTATGCCGTAAATGTCTTCAAAGAGATCGAATTCATCACAATAATGCCTCAGAAAAGACACTAAGGAGAAATATTAGTTAAGAAAGACATGAAGTTGAAAAATCAACTATTACATACAATCAAATTGCATAATTTAATGCAAATGCTCTTGAAACAGTTATCGGAATAAAATTAGATATGTAAGAACAGCTGACTAGTTTATGTACGCATGCTTCACTCCGAGCCTGTTACTCACAATGAAGCATAGCCGCCGACAAGCATTCTCCATCCCACTCTGACCGGGGCCTTCTTTTTATGTATGCATAGTGATCGAAATTTTAACAAAAAAAATTTATCAATTTTTTTAACACCAAACATTGTCACATTGACATGTTCATGGCTTATTTTAGCACTTTAACATGATACAACAATTTATAAAGCCTAATGATGAAACAATTATTTGCCTCAATATTATTATTTTTTTAATATGTTTAATAATAAACTTACAAGATTCATTATGACTAAGTAATTCATGTATGGTTTTATTCTGTGAATCAGACAATAAATCTAATGGTAACAAGTCAACGTTGACTGGAGTAAATTTCAATGGAATTGGAGCATCTGGTATAGAAAATTGACGATTCACAGATCTAAAAATTTATGAAAGATTGAATAGGAATTATGAACTTTAAGATTATACTTGAATTTCTTTGATTTGAATTTGTATGAAGCAGATCTATGTTATTTAAACTATAGTATACACAAAATAAAACTTGATTGAGATTAGTTATTAACACCATTAGATGCTAACTCAGTAGTCTAGAGGTTAAGCGTTTGCGCGAAAGATCGAAAGTTCTGGGTTTGAATCCTGCGAGCAGGATCGTGGATGAGTGCTGCTGAGGAATGCTATAATAGGCCGAAACGGACGTCCAATGCTTTCAGGTTTTCAATCAATCGATTCATAATCTTAATCAAAAATTGAAATATGGTTCGATTTAATTACTTTTACTTAACTACTCAAAAATTTGTTTATTTAACTATTCATCTTTTTGTATTTACTTCTTATTTTAAATAATAGAAATGAAGTCTAGAAAATTTTCGTTGAAAATAAACTTGTCATTTGTTCATGGAATACAAAATGTTTTCAGACTGTAAACAAAAATCTTTTTCCCGTTAATATTATATACATGACTAATCGTTTACTTCTACATTGGTTATGATGAAGTGGATATCGTTGACTCTGTATTGATTATGCTAACTAATTTATTTATGTGTTTATTGTGTTGTTTTTTTGACATCATCACCGTGATCCTTTTTTTTAATATTTTAAAATGATAGGACAATGTAATCTATACCCTCGTTAAAATATTACTAACAATAAAAATAATTATCCATTATTCTATTATTGCTTATTATCAAGCAAAGTCTCAATTACCATATAGTGATTATTTAAAGCATAGAGCCCCTCTAGAGCTACTGCCGGTCCTAACCCGTATAAAGGAGGTATGTTTGGCATGGGGTTAGTGACCCCATCCGGTAAAAAACTAACTCGCTAAAAAAACGCTAACCAGAAGAAATTATTCAAACCAGTTATATATATATATATATATATATATATATATATATATATATATATATATATATTGCATAACTGTTGTACATTGTTAAGATTTATTTCAACTGATTTATTGATTATTTATAAATGTCATCATTATGAATGATGACTGGAGTGTACATATTTGTCAAAATTACATTGTATCTGTATTAAAATAAATGAATCTTAGAGATTATTTTTTTCTTTATAAAAAAAGGAAAAAAAAACTCTCTTAATCACATGGTTAAAGATGTTGTGCTTTTGGTTTAAACAAACAAAATAAAATCAATGAATTACTTTGGCAAATAACAATCAAATTCTGTACAATAATATTGATGATAATATAAAGAATTAAAAAAAAGGTTATATTTACTTGTCTTTATATCTTCCCATAAAAATTTTTGATATGCTTCTAGGTCTATAGAAATTCATAGAAACAGAATAAGACTACGAATTTTGTTTTTTCTCAACGAATAGTATGTCGGTAAGATGAGAATAAATTTATTTTTATGCATATCAAATATCTACAATGTAAATATTTTAGTAATGGTTAATACTACTTCTTATTCTTATAATAATTATTAGTGGATTTTAATCAGTCTCCGTTAGTGAATCACTTCAATATTGATATTTAATGATAAGATTTTCAAAAAAAGTTAAGATTATAGTTAACACGAGTATCATTAGCAAAAAACTATTAATCTTTACTAATTATCCAGTATAGGGGTTGTGGAGATTATTAAGTTTTTGGTTAAGATCATGAACCGATTGATGATAGATTACCATGGAAAACCTGAAAGAACTGAAAGGCCGTTTCGTCCTACTGTGGGACTCCTCAGCAGCGCGCATCCACGATCCCGCCCAGCGAGATTCGAACTCAGGACATAATAGCCAGCCATCTCAACTGATGAAGTTTCACCACATCATCAATTGATTTGCCATCCTTACCTAGTACCCGTTTCCTAACAACTGCGTTACTTACTCGATGGTCCCAGGATATACGAGCAATGTTTCGAAGACACCTATGATCAAATACTAGTAACCTACGAATATCCTCTACTCTTACCGGCCATGTTTCACTGCCATAAAGTAGGACGGAACGAACTGCTGCGCAGTAAACCCGTCCTTTGGTTGATAGACGGATATCTCGCCTACGCCATAAATGACGCAAGTTGGCAAAAGCTAGTCGAGCCTTCTGTATCCGTGCTGAGATTTCGTCACACACTAAACCACAAGGGCTGATGAGACTTCCAAGATAAGTGAAGCGGTCGACACACTCAACTACTTCACTCCCTATCACTAGTTCGGGTGTCGATGTAACCCAATCCTGAAGCAACATTTTGCATTTCGAGGGAGAGAATCGCATCCCGAACATGCTTGCATTGTTGCTTAGAGTGGTCAGAAGACTCTGCATTTTGTCAGCGTCTTCACCAAATAAAACTATGTCATCAGCATATTCTAAGTCAACAAGTGAACCTCCTGGTAGAAGTTCAACCCCTGTAAATTTAGATGAGGAGAGTGTTATCTCTAAAAGTACGTCGACCACAAAGTTGAACAAGAATGGGGAGAGTGGACAGCCCTGACGAACACCACTTGAGGTAATCAATTCTGATGACAGTTCGCCATAAGCTCTCACTCTACCAGTTGTGTTCGAGTAGAGAGCCTTTATAAGGTTAATGTACTTCTTTGGTACTCCTTTCAGTGACAAACACTGCCATAGAACCTCACGATCAACAGAGTCGAATGCCGCCTTAAGGTCGAGAAATACTACCATTGTGGGGCGTCTGAATGTGTGTCTGTGTTCTAGAACCTGACGTAGTGTGAATATCTGATCTATACAACCACGTCCAGGTCGAAAACCAGCCTGGTTTTCTCTAGTCTGCTCTTCACGAGCTTTGATTAGGCGTCGAAGTATTATTGAAGCTAATATTTTAGACACTATATTAGTCAAACTGATTCCTCTGTGATTGTCACAAGAGGACTTTTGTCCTTTCTTATAGACTGGCACAATCAGTGATTGAGACCAGTCAGATGGGATTACGTCCAGTTCCCAAATTCTACCTAAGACCTCAGTTAATCTCATTGCTAATACTGGACCACCATCCTTAAAAATCTCAGGAGTAAACCTGTCAGGGCCTGCTGCTCTCCCTCGTTTCAGATTTCCTATGGCTTTTTCAACTTCGTAAAGGGACGGAGGACCTACATTAACTTGCCATTCAGGTTGACTGGAGATCGTGGGAAACCGAAGTGTGGCTGAAGGCCAGTTGAACTGATCCCTAAAGTGTTCTGCCCATCGATCCAATCTCCTGGATTGAGAATGAATAATATGTCCATCTTTCTCTGAGATTGTTTCGCTAACGGTCGGGTTCCTAATTCCGGTTTCCTTAACGAGTCTGAACAATTGTCTGCTATTACCTATTGCCGCTGCCTTTTCCATCTCTCTTGCTTTCGCTACCCACCACTGTTCGCGATCATTGCGTAGACTTCTTGTCAGCTTGCGCTTAAGCTGACTCCGCTCTTCATTATGTTCAGAGCCAGGTGGAATGAGTTTCCGAGCATCTATCAGTGAGATAGATGCTGCTGAGATCCAGTGTTGCTCCCTAACCTTCTGGTTTACCTTACTAGCAGATATCACTGCTGTTTCCACAGCTTTTCGGATATCATTCCATGCTGCATCGGGGTGGGCATCACATACATGGCTGCCTAACTGTTTTCCTAGTTGTTCCTGAAATATACTCTTAGCTTGACTATCATTAAGTAGGCCCTAAGAGGTTTCCTTGCAGCGTCTTTCCTACGTCCAGTAAGACGCAAGCAAATACGCGCTCGCACTAGAGCATGATCTGAATCTAGGCATGTGCTCCAGAATGAGCGACAGTCTTCTATCGAGCCCCTCCATCGGTGGCTGATAGCGATGTGATCTATTTGGGTCCAACGTTGGGACGAATTAGGGGGTCGCCATGTTAAAAGATGTTTTTCCTTATGCTTAAAGTTAGTATTTGCAAGGAACAGGCGGTTATCTGAGCATAGCTGCAACAGACGGTCGCCATTATCTGTTCTTTGAGCCACGACACCATAAGATCCACCTAGGTGTCTTTCCCTATCGCTTAGTTTACCTACTTGAGCATTAAAGTCACCGGCCACTATTACTACATCCGAGCGCCTAGCTTTTCGGAGAAGGTCCGAAAGCTTTCTGTAAAACTCATCTTTTACATCATCTGAGCTGCAGTCAGTGGGAGAATAGGCAGAGACGACGAAGAGGCAACGACGAGTGTCCCTATCTTTCCGGATTCTTACTGTTCCGTTCAGTCGGACAGCGCACAAACGACTGTCTACTGGGATCCACTCTAAGAGAGCTAGTTCTGCCCTAGGACTCAATGCTATACCTACGCCGGCGAGGCCACGGGAAGCAGAATCAGGGCTTCCAGATACACGAAGCGTAAATCGAGTCGGTTCTTTATTTTGGCATGGTGAGGTCAAATGAATGACGCTACTTGGATCCTGTATGCGCGTTTCGGAGACGCAGCACACATCGATGGCGCGAGATTCTAAAGTTTTAGCTAAGGAAGCCTGCTGTCCTATTTGGCAAAGTGTTCGTACGTTAAAAGCTCCTACGTGTAGTTTAGAGCGTGGTTTCAGGAGACCAGGAATGGCGTTCCACGTACTCGAATCGTTTGCCCTAGCGGTGCGAGGTGATAAAGAGACGTGAGGAGGGTTAGTCATGGAGATAAGAGAGGTATTAGGAGGTGTAGGAAGGATTTGAATGTGACCACCTTGGTCTCTTGTGCTGTTACGGGTATGAGGGCTGATGTCACTTCCCGGCTGCCCACACCGTGGAAGGGTATTTCTTGAGGAACCTGAAAAGGAAATTGGATTAGTGTTGGTCTTGACGACCTGGGAGCGTGACCGCAGAGCCCAAGGGACAACTGCTTGAGGCCGGTCGCGCACGGCCTTTTTGTGGAAGGTTTTTGACGTGTTAGCTCCGTTCTTCAAAGGGCCTTACCGCCGGAGACGGAAATCCGTGAGGTAAGGTGAGGTGTGACATTTTTAGGGTCGACCTTTTCTAACCCCACCCCTCCTTGTGGGAAGGCAGCATCGCTGTCATGCTGGTTGTCCGAAGGAAACACCTTACTGCTGTCACACCTCTCTACAGTCAGCAGTACGACTTCGCCCTCAGACCTTGAGTTGCTGCTTTTAGTCTTACCGTTCACCAATCGACCTGCCTGGCATGGTAGAACCTACAGGAACATATGTTCCAGCCAATATAGCTCGGTTGGGTCATCACGATAGGCAAGCCCGACCACCGCGTCAAGGTAGCAGCTTCGATCGGGACAATTGAAGCTAAACCACCATGGAAACCCTAGAAGCACTGGACGGCCGTTACAACTGGATCTGTTATGAGATAGTAACTCATTGATGACAATGGTGAATGTTTCGCTCAATTTCGTGGATTAGTTGAAGTTAGACATTAACACCGTTGAATGCCGGCTCAGTGGTCTAGTGGTTAAGCGCTCGCGCACGAGACTGATAGGTCCTGGGTTCGAGTCTCGCAAGGCGCGGTCGCGCATGCGCACTGCTGAGGAATCACACAATAGAATGAAACGGCCGTTCACAATTGCACTACTGATCAAAAAACAACTACTATAATCAGTAAACGTTTGCCTAATGATGAGTAGTCTATTGAACTTCATAAGTCAATGACTTGATTTGTCGATCACACATTTATTTAAACATATATTCGGCAGATTAAAATAAAATGTAACACGATATTATGTTTAGCTTATGAGACCTACATTTCCGAAAATATATGTTTACCTACAATGGTTAATTTTCGAAAGACGGTATTTTACGATTACGATATTTGAAATTGAATACCTCTAAACCCCAATCAGGGAAACTCAGTTGTCATTATTTAAAATTACTTGTAGTGAGATAGATTTCCGCAAAATGGGATATTTGAATCATGATGACAATAGTTAAAAAATCTTCATCGTCTAGAGTTTTTGAATCACAAGGGTAACCTTCACCATTGGTAACTAGTGAAGTTGGGATTAAAGTATTCACCCTCTGGAGCAAAGGGTAATGTTTATTTTATGTCACAAAGTAGGCGGAGATGAAAATGGAAACAATGTATTTTGAGCCAAAGGCCTCCCAACAAACTTAAAGATATCTGTAAGGCAGCAGAAGCATATTACGAATGAGTTTCAAAAATAGAACCCAATAGCTGTATATTCTTTCCTAGTTTTCAACAGAATTCCAGCTGTTATAAATTCATAATGAAAACTATCTTTAGAAGAAAAAAAACATTGAGAATTTCTATCGAGAAATATATAGAACTACAAAACTTCCAGCCCTGATAAAATCAGTGGCAACCAATAAACTTTTGTTAAAATAACTATACAGAATTTCAGAACAGTTGTTCTAAAAAGCTACACAAATAACCACCTGATAAATTGGTTGAAAATTCAGATACATATATTTCAAATATAGATTCTAGTAAATTATAATAAAACGTAGTTAAAAACGGTCTCCGTGATTAAATTCACTGCCTCATCTCTGTCCTTCAACCAGTAATACGAGAATTTGTAGCCTAAAAACTATAAACCCTGAATCACATTGGGCAAATACATCTGTAAGATCCAAACCTATAATTTTTATTGAGACTTATACAGCAGCAACCAAAACCTTTGCTTGTTAGGCAGCACCAAACGTCATCCACTTGAAACACCTAAAGGTCTACAATTTATTTCGTGAAGTAAAATATTATCTGATGAGTCTTACTGAATACAAGACTCAATACACAAATTTCACTTTTCCCAATATGTTTTTAAATATATAAACATAAAACATGAAAACATACACTTTTGATATTTTCATTGTATTTAGGGATTCTAGAGAATGAGATGAAGAGCTTTTCACTTCTGTTGAATTTCTAAATAATTTGAATTGTTTACCATTGTCATTATCACCATCTAGCGGGCTTGAAAATTCCTGTTTAGGGATTGTAATATTTTCATGTTTTTTCTTAAATTTACTTTCAGTCTCTTTATTCGATAATGTTGGTATGTCAGAGGTACGTTTAAATTCGAAATTCATTGCCGCCAAATATGTTTGTTTAATGTTTGAATTTGACGTCGTATTTTTCTAGAATTCTATGCAAAAAATAGAACGGTCAAAACTTGTCTCATTATGTTTATAATAAATATGTTTTCTTTAATATTTGGAACGTTCCACACTCATAAATACGTGAGTTCATACAAGTCAATATTACCAATGTGTTGAACTTTTTCAAATTTTGTTGAATGCATGATTTATATTACATAATTCGAAACCCGGGCAATTACAGATAACAATATTCTTACACCTTCATAAGTATTACAATCAATGAACAAAGTGATTATATCAGAAGGGGTTTTTGTGAACTCCTCAGGAGTCACACAATAGGACGAAATGGTCGTCCAGTGCTTCCAGGTTTTCCATGGTGGTCTAGTTTCAACTGGCTCATGATCTCAACCACTGAAAAGTGATTATACTTGAGCAGTATAAATAGACAAATAAATATCACTTGACTGAATGACTAAAATTTTACGAAACATCATGTTAAAATAAATAAGTGAAAACATTTTAGATTATCCTTCCTTATTAGTGTCATTCACTGCTTAAATATTGATTCCATTTACAGTTGGCAATCACCTAAACAATTACAGAGAAACAGGGAATTAGACCACTGTTATATTCTAATTCAAGAAAATCAAAATGTCATACCAAGTCTATTTCATTCAGGAAGTTTAGGGTTTTTCTTTTAAATAACTTATTTACGAAGTACTACTGGGTGAGAACAAGAAAATAGGCACCTAAATATTAAGACTTAGAGTTTCTGCTATATTTAGAGACAACATTCGTTTCTAAACCTATTCATTCAAACAATTGTCTGAAAATGTGAGAGTTAATTTTAAAAAAATAAAAGTCCAATAAGAAACACATGTAACATTGCCAAAAGTGACCTACATTCTCCACATAATCATCGATTTTAAACAGGTTAAGAAGACATGAATAATCAGTGTGAAACAATTGAAAACATAGGTAAACTAGATTCTATAATTCATTTGAAACTTTGATTTAGTTAGAATGAGACATGGTATGCTAGTTAGATATTTTACCTGAAAATGTCTTGTTCAAATTCAACTTCTGGTTGAATTTTATAGTACTTGAAACAATGCATCTATATGTGTATACTCTTTTGTAAAGGTAACATTTGATTACTGAAAATATGTATTTGCATAAATTGTGTTTCTCAAAAAGAACATAACGGTATATGAAAACATTTAATATAATTACGTGGTTTAACGTTATTTAAGGCTACTCATAGTAGCTTATAGTAAGTAGTGGGCTATTCATAAATGATTTATTTTACCAAGAAACATAATACTAGTCATCCTTATCATTATGAGATATTGATGTTTTTATTCTTAAATTAACAGTTATGAAGTTTCGGCAGATTTTTGTAATGCTGATTAACTATTTTTAATGAGTAATGAAGTACGAGTTTGACAAGATTTACGTAAAACATTGTAACAGTAATCTTTTTAATCAATGGTCTAATACTTAGCAAGGTATTTGAATTGAATAAATATTATGATTAAGCAAGTGTTTAAGACTTCAGAACTTTCGGTAACATTTCATACTTGGATTATGCTGCAGTCTGGTAATAATTCGTGCATATAAACTAATGAGTGCTTGAGACTGATGACAATGAAACTACTAATGCACTACTGCTTGCTATGTCCTATTATAGTACTGAACGGTATACGTTCGTGACCAATAAGAGTTGTGATTATTCCCAGTCAACATTTTGATTGGCGAGTCTAGAAGACGAAATCGATTAAGTTCTTAGTCATAACAATAACGCTTTATGAGAAGCATAACAAGTTATTTATATAAATAATCATATAGCATGAAATCAAATTAGTAGCACTGTCCAGAGCCTCAGTTAATTAGTCAGTCTTAATGTAGAACCTAGTATGTATGTTCATCGGTTCCATTAATATACAAGAGTTTTACTAACCAGTCAGTAAGCAGACTTCAAAATCCATCGCGTTATACACATAGCTACTGAGTTCAGATAACCCCTGGCTTGTGCAATGAGGTGAGGTTTAATTAATTTGTATTGGTTGTATGAATCTTCCCACCAATGTTGAGGATTGCAGCTGATCAGCCTCTAATCAGTTAGGAAGATTCAAACAAAAAACACAAATGAAAGTGTGAGATCGTTGATCAGAATAAATATGTACTAATAGAACTACAATCTCTGCACCCAGCGGAACACAAATGAATAATTCTTCTCAGTGTCGAAGTGACTGACATACAGTGTTAAGTTAAATCGATTTGTAGATCGATTAAAATTACAAAATCAATAATCAGAACAATACATATGATATAGAGTGATAGGTACAGACCAAATCATTACCCAAAGATTGCGTAATAAATCATTTAATATGGATTATGTAAGAAATGGTAAAGTGGATCGAATGTTGATTAAATTCTCCACTTGTTCACAAGAATAATAATAATAATAAAAATAAGGAAAGATGTGTAAGTGGTAGTATCAATCATAAACGAATTAGGTAAACGCAAGTTATAAAACTATGGAGGAGGAAGTCCCCCTTCATTAGTCCACCCGAGAATCATACCTCCTTCAGGAATTAATTTTAAAAGGTGTGCAATTTTAAAAAATCTCTCTTCACCATCTAAACTGTATTACGAATCATTCAAACTGCAAACAGGCTTACTACTTTTCCTACACTACGCTTGTAACTAAACCATATTTAAGTGACTATTAACACAATTAATGTCTACACCTTCTGAAAGTATTTGGATTCGTTTACCATAGGGGTTTTATACAAGTGAATGGTTGTCTTCAGTGAAAGTATATTTGTTAAAAACGTAAATCTTTGGATATATATTCAGGTGAAATAACAACTATTTATGACTTACCAGTTTTTAAAATTCTGACATCATTTATCTCCGCTCAAATAACCTCCAGTAAACATTGTCATTAGAGTACAAATGCATAAATGAATCTGGATTTTGGTAACTAAACTCTTAAGCATATCCTGATCATTCGATATTCTTTTAATAGGTCTAGTATTATTAATTATGCATACATATATGTAAACAGATGTACAATGTATTTGCAGAGATGTGCTTATAGGCTAGAGGTAAGTTTTTTTTGTTGACAATTTACTGAATCAACTATACGTGGCCTTGAATATGTGTATGCGTGTTTCAGAGTTGAAAAAAGTAAATTATTAATTGCTATAGAGTAAACGAATGCACTAAAGCTAATCTAAACAGTTTTTACTTCTTTTTTATTGATTTCCAGTTGAAATATTTAGTCAACATACTGAAGTTTGTTATTTGAGTGCTAAATAAATTCTGGTTAGAGATTAAGTCCATTAAAAGCACACTTTTTCTCATGTTGATATAATGATACGCCAATTAGTATCTGTATTTAAACACGTGACTTTGGTGACCTTGAGTAAATAAATCAATAACAACCATTATTTGTCAATCAGCTGTTTTTTTCTTCAAAATTAAGACCTTGTCACAAATGCCATGCGTATTCCTTTATAAACAATTAAATTATCTCTATGATGACGTTCCAGCTTCATTAAAATGGTTCGCGATTATGTAAAGTTTTCAAAAGAAAGGTTACTTAGTTGATTTCATCCATAATTTCTTCATATTTTAACCGGTCGGTTATATCGTTGTATAAATTCCCAAATAATAAGCAGAATCCGATAAATATTGAAATAGGATAATGAAGATTGTTCATCAGAGTTAAAACAGACAATCAAGGTAAATATACTGATATAAATACAAAAGAATATCTCGAGTTGTAGAAGTGAGTCTAGTTAGTCAGGTGTTTCCGTATTCATTCGAGTCAGGGAGCAGAACATTGAAATCTGTCAGTCATAGGCACATAAATTGATCACACCAATAAACAGTCAATACATTCCCACGACTATATCTTTTTCATTTAAATTAGAACAAAAGTACGTAATTGAGTAATTAAATTCATGAGAACTACTGACATTGGATTAGTATGGCACAACAGTTCAAATGGATGCTTGATTTAATTATCCGGGAAATGTCAACAATCCATAACCATAATACTATGAAATATCTCCACTTATTTCTAAACATTTCTCAAATTTTCTAAAAGCTAAACCACCACATAACGATGCAGGAAAAACCTGCAATGACTATACCTTTATTTGTAATTTAGATAAAGCTGTTCCACTGAATGATCAATGTTCTATAGACCCAAAGACGCTGTAAAATTGCTTGCATTCGTTGAGCGTACTACCAAGAAATTTAATCAGCGATTGAGTAAACATCTCTCTGTGTGTAAGCAAAAATGGATGGTGGCTAGCAGTGGAATCGAGGACGTGCATTTCACTCTATTTGGGACTCATCAACTGGATATACCTGCATCCGAGAGTTGATGCTCACTCACTGGGATACACATATGCCGTGGGGCACCGATCAATTGCGCTTCTTAATATCAAGGGGAGAAATTATAACAATCAGTACAAATGAACTTCTCTTCGTGGTTAGGAAATTTTCAGACAAAAGACTATACACAACTCTATCTTGGCGCACCTGGTTGACAGTGGTTATGCGATAGATAAAACCAAATTATTTGGAGCGATACATAGTATACTTGGTCTTTTCCCTATCGGATCCAATGTCGATGACCCTAATTTATGTGTCGAGAAAACTCTCGTGAAACTTATATGCTCTGCTTTGCTAGCTAGAGGCAGTCAAACTAAGATGTGGCTTCAATTAATAAGGTCGACTGTTGGTTGCAAGATCACCGATAGCCGCAAATATGGCTAACCTGTTTGTTCATTGATTGGAAACGAGAGAAATCTCAAATTGTCCCTAATCACCTACAATCTCGTTGAGATATATAGATAACCGATTTATCACTACGAATGAGACTGAGACGAATTTTCTAAAAACGTCAGCAGTATATCTATTAACACCAAGTATACTACAGAAATCGGATCCACTAATCGCAAACTGCCATTTCTTGACTGTTTGCTTGTGAGGAAGAGTGATGATTGTTTAAACATTGTTATATTCCAAAATCAAACATATTCCGAAACATATCTAGACTACAAGTCATCACATGCTCCTTTTACAAAGGTGAGAGTCGCTACGAATCCGATAACAGAGTTCAGAAACTCGTCTCAGAACTAATTGATAAAGAAGCTGGTTTGGATTTAGTTATGTGTACTTTGATGAACAACCAACCTAGGGACGTTTCAAGAGGAATGCTTAGGGTCAGAAAGATGAGCGAAAAGAAAAACCAAGAGAATGGATCAACACAGTTAATCGTCAGAAATCGGAGTGACCCTAAAGCACTACAATATGTGTTTTTGTTGTTGAACGAACAATACTTTTAATTCTAAACTAGTAAGGCTCTAGGATACAATATGAAAGAAATAGCAAAATCGAGTCTATGTGACCAAATGTAACGACTATGACGATGTATAAGTGAACGAGACATCACGATGGCTCAGTGCGCGGGTGAAGAAACACAAACTCTGCCTAAAGCTCAGAATGCCTCAGAAACTAGGAAACAAGTCGGCAAAAGGATTATATTCAATAGAATCGAGACCCACAACAGACTTCAGTGGCACAAGAACCCTTTTAAAGGGTTTGTTTCGTACAAAAGACTATTAACAGCTGAAGCCCTACATATATAGACAAACTCAAACAATATACGTAGAAGAGATAGAATACAATTAGTTTCCCGATGGCAACTAGTAATTAATAGATCAATTTGTATTTTATTTCACTTCTTCCATTATGTGGACAATAACTACTATTTTTCATTTGTTCTAATCAGTTAATTTGTCAAATATACAATGAACGACCCGCTTGTTTAACACAACAACACAAATTTACATTTATTTCTCTAGTCGTCCTCATTTTATGTATGCTGCGACATGTTGAATTTATGACATCTATCAAATCACTGAATTACATCAACAATCATAACCAGAGGGATATGAGGTCGGTTAATTTTTATCACATCAAATCTACATAAACACACATACACATGCTGTCTTATTACAATTTTCCATACTTTTCATACCAAGTGACTCGTACGCACCACAACAAATCCCACTTAAAGCATTGTTCACATGATTGGACAATTTGTTTAGCATACAATCGACCTGTGAACTATGTATTTATATTTGATTATCTTCTTTGAAAAAGCTTGGACTAGACTGACGACCAAAACTTCAGATCCATTTCACGTCCTCGTTAATCACGTACAATACGGTGGACTTAGTGGTGTTCTGCAGGGAATCTTAGTAAACTGTATAGTTCAGATACTTCGAAACCGACATAAAACAAACACAGTAAATCACCTTTTCTCCTCAGTATCATGGTTTATTTACAGTATTGAATTTATCGGCACTCTTACCATCATAAAAGATATATACAACTACTATTGATACATTATATGTATTATTCACTTTACACATATCCTTGACAACCATTATCATTTCAATATACCTATCTTACTCACTACAATTATATTCATTCACTGGATAAAATACAATATCATCTAACTAGTACATTTTTACCCACTAAAAAGTCTATCTGTAAAGATATATTTTGAGATAACTCAGTATATTGAAATAAGATCTAAGATACAATATGATAACATCCATTATCTATCCACTATTCAAAGATAAGTAATATTGAAATAATGGGGAACGCTTGCAGCTCCGATCAATCCATTTGGTAGTGTTATGTACTTTCATCAAATGGATGATTTAATTGCAAAGCATTTATTATTGTTTGAAAATCTCCATCAGAATATTCTACATGATGCAGTCAACGACGACAATAAAAAAGACCCTACAACAAACCATCCAGCTCAGAGAAAATAACACCATTGTAAATAATGGTGTTCAGAGTGAATGTAATACCATTTTACTATGTATTAACGTCGTTTCATCATTGATCGAAACAAATCCAAGATTTATTTCTTACAAAAAGTGATATCATTAGTTCAATTTATCTATCCCATAGTTTATATGATTAATAAAGAAACATGGGGAAAAAACAACCGAACAAACATTTTTCAAAGGTTCTCTCAATTAATTAATTGAATCACATCATAAATTAATAATTAATAATAACTTCTCATTAAACAAACAACTTATCAAGGAAGTAGTAACTAGAAAAATAAAACATTTTTTTCACTAATATTAGTTGATAAAAACAAAATTACAAGGAAATAATAATGTTTTATGTTACAATTCAAAAGGATGTTGCTACAAATCTGTTTTTTTTTACTATTCCTTGTCTCTGTTTATGTGTATGTATGTGAGTAAACTGTGTACAGTGTTAACTGGTGAACAGGGTACCATTTCGACAGACGTTGAACGTAATAAAGATGGTGAGAGATTAAGGGAACTTTTATTTTTAAACAGAACATCAACTAAATAAACCATCACCACATGTACTAATAAGAACATTTATCCAACTAATACGAGATCAGTTAATAATAATAGTAATGATAACGAGGGAGAAAAGTAAATGTTTTTCTATTCTGTGTATGTGCATATGTGTTTACAAGCGGATGTGTTGAACGAAAAAAAAGAACAAAAACAATAGAAATCTAGTAAGTGAATGAAGAAGTGAGCAGAAAAAAATCAATCAGTTCGCTCAAAATGAATGAGGATACAGACAAGAAGTTACATTAATGATTTGTGAGATTTAGTTTATTCTGTTCGTTCTTTTTACTTATAAAAACAGATTTTTTAATCATAAAATATTTATTAATAATAATAATAATATAATAAACTAAATTCATACTACAAATGTAAATATATACATGAGTAAAGCAGAGATAGCACCAGCAGCGGGTAAGGTTACCAACCATGCAACTAGAATGTTACGAAATATACCCCAATTAACATTGTCTCTAGAACGTGCACGTCCAACAAATACGACTGAACCAACTTTACAATGTGTAGTTGATATTGGCAGACCAATTTTACTAGCAATTAATACAGTTAGGGCTGAACCAATTTCAATACAAACGCCACTGATAACAAAATAAAAGAATAATGATACTAATGTTATTAATAATAAAAATAAACAATTCAGTGAAAATGTATAGTAAAGAATTAGTGAGTTTTCTTGAACTTCCATTTTCATACACTTACGCCCGACCTACATATAGTGTATATAAACGAAACCAATCCAACTATTTCTACAAACGCCGTACCAATAATAGTTGTGTTCAATAATGACAAACTTCCAGAAGTTCCAATGAGAAGGCATGACTAGTCAAGTGTGAGACAGTTACCCATCACAGGAAATGAATTGATTGTGGTTGCACAATATCGCTAATTGATTGCAGTTGGTGTAAACCATTAGATGCAAGCTCAGTGGTCTGAAGGTTAAGTGCTCATCTCAAGAAATTAAGTTCTTAAACTTGGTCCTCTGTAAGGTTTGGTAAGAATTTACATCGATTACATCCCACCACCACAGTGATCCAACATTCTTCTTTTAATTCGTGTTTTTACTTACTGTTGTTCCATCAGAGAATGAATCTTATGACCTTAAATAAAGTGTCAGTTGTGAAAAACGATTTCATAGATCAAGCAAATAAAAACATTCGAAAACATATGAAAAATGAAATATAAATTACAACCAAAACTATTCAAATTGATCGAAAGATGGTATTTAACACATAGAATATCTACAATAAACATATTTCTGCGCAAAAAGATCACCAACCTACCTGGAAGGTGATATTTTCGTCAGATCTTCACCTAATGTTTGAATAACTCGTCTACCCCATATCCAAAGACCAACTGATATACCAACACCACCATAAACCAAAATCCAAACATCTGTAGTTTTTGATGAATCAACTGACTGTGTTGTAGCAATAAGCCATAAACCAATCAACGGCCCGATAGCATTACTACATAAAAGATAATTCATAAAAAACTTACACGTTAAGTGAATTGTTTGAAGATGGACTTCATGTTTTATAATGGGGTTAGCAGTGAAACAAGTTTACGACTACTATTGATTTGAATGAGTATTCTGAAAATGATTATGACGACTATCCTTCCTCATGAAAACTTTGTATGATTCGAATGTTCACCACGGTATCTTTAAATAACCGAACGGTTGACAGCATATAAACATTATGTTAGTTTAGCCTAAAGCGGATTTATACTTTGATATACCAGAAATTCATAAAAGATCCGTAATCCAAATCTAACATACAAGTATCTCATTTCATTTAAGAAAGCTTTAGACCCTGACGTATTCCACATTTCAATTCTACGAAGCATAGTTCTTATTGAATATGCTTTCTCGTTTAAAAATGTGATATCACAAATGGTGTATGAAAAAGAAGGAAATACATACATGTCATTCATTTTATGTAAAAAGATGTGCAAACGTTCAGGATTACTGTGATCTCCTAAAGGATAAAAAATATTACGTGAACAGAAAAACAACGAAACCATGACAGACAACGGAAGCTATTTATGGAGACGTTATTTCATTTAATCCAAACTTTGTAAAATACTAACATTTAGTTTTGTCTCTAGCTTACTCTATGAACCATGAGCTTTCGTTTGATGCATGATTAACTACCACACCCTTTTTTACACTGATTTGCATTGGGAGGTGGCGATCGGAAATAAATCGAGTAGTGTTCCTGAAGAGGCTTTGTTCTCTGAGCTGGACGAAGCTATATGACGGGAAGAAAAGTCGAAATCCGATTGATTTACTCATTATGAGTTCTGTTCAACGTTACTTCCATTTGGATTCAATGTGATGATTATTCAGGGTAGTATTTGTTTTGTTTTCTCGTATGATATTTTATTATGTATAATATACGATATTCTTGTATTCAATTGACATGAACTATGCTCAGTATCTGATTTGTTATAAATGAGTATTCATATATATATGTGCTTTCATCCTAATTATTATTCAAAGTGTGTGTAAAATTAATATATAAATGTGAGTGTATTTTCGACTAGGGTCGTCGTCGTGTTTTGGGGGTTAATAATTCATCACTTATACCAGTCTTGTGTTTTTGCATGCGCGTCGTGGGAATTGCAGGGGTCTCTCGTTTCGCGTATAACTGATAAGTGTTTCCAACACATCAATCATCGACGACCAGATATAAAAAGTAGCATTCCAACAACAAGACATATCACGAAGACATTCGTGGAGAAAATACAGTTGTTCTCGAGTAGAAGCCTGCCATTTCCAGAAAGTCTCTTAATCCGATTGACTCGTCTTCTCTCTCGCTTGTCCACCAATCACGTCATAAGATGGTTTTCGTCCCTCTTCTCAAGGCTGTTAGTTTTAATTTGGACTCATACATTTCTAGCCTCAAGATAAAACCAGTTAGCCTCTCGTGTCAAGGTCTTAATCTACATCGAGGCACGTTCTCACCCGTATATTATTCGGTAGACAGATCCAAGACGTAACACGAACAATGCTGAAATTAAATTAGGTTTCTTCAAACAAAAACACAGAGCATTATCAAGTACCTAAAATAACCTCTTCGATTTCTTGTTAAAACTATATACCAGTGTCAAACAGAGATTATAAAAATCCTCTTTCGTTTTCAGAAATTGCAGACGATTATTGCTTAATAATAATAATAATAATAATAATAATAATAATAATAATAATAATAATAATAATAATAATAATAATAATAATGGATATCAGAATGAACATCATCACAAATATTTTCCACTATCTTCTTCTCAAAATGTAAACTGTTCTAATTAGCAACATGATTATACTTTACAAATCATGGATAATGTTTTATTTACTAAGGAAATATTTTACTGTATTATATCTATTTCAATAAAAACAGAATTCCTGACAGAAAGCAATATTAAGAGCTTTAAAATTCATCATCAATATCTTTAATAGTAAGTCTTTATGACGTCCAGACGTATTTGTTATCAGTTGAATAAATTAGTTACTACTGAATAACTTTGCAATGACAGATAGCTACAAGTGATGTGAGTATGAACAAATAGGACATGTTCAATCATTTCAATTATTCTTTTCCAGCAATTTTTTTCTGATAATCCTACACAGTAGAAACAAAGTGTTAACACTGAATAAATGGAAGAGAGTAACTGTCAAACGATAACTAGGAATAATTTAACCATTGTGAAAAATCAAGCTTTCTAAACTGGTCTCATCATAGATATTATCTTTGTAATATCTAGAATTTTCTAGATTTTATATTTCATCTCCTAAAATAGCGTCAACTGATTTCATTTCGTAAACAACTACCAAATAAGTATAAGATGAACAGACTGTAACGTGTTACACCATTTCTTGAAACTCTATTCAGTTTATGAATGCTAATATTCCATTGTGGAGATTCAACTCATATTTTATACCAATTATAACTAATCTTAGGTTCTGATTACTGAATATACTTCAATGGTAGTAATATAAGTGAATTTTTCCTATATACACAGTTTGATTTATTGAAAAAATATGTTAAATATCCATACCTTACATCATTACCACCATGAGCAAATGATCCAAAAACAGCTGTTAAAATTTGTAAAGAAGAGAAAACTTGAGCTTCAGCAGGACGATCTTTAACTGAATCGATAGGATCTGGTTCCTATATCCAGAAGAATGAGTAATAATTAAGTGAAGATTATATGTAGCAAAAATATTAACAATGCATTTCATGTGTTATACGTCACAATATATAGGCTTAAAATTGGTCTAATCATTCAGTTGAAACAAATGATATCATGCAAAATACTTATTTGTAGAATAGTTCAGACTGCTTCTTTTGAGCATGGTTTCATTTATTCCCACAAAAAATAGACCTAAAACATAACTCTTCAATTGCACTGTGAATACAAGGTATCCAGAGTAATATCCACTCTCTGTTCATCGCTAGTTTGGAAAACAAACGATTCACGAATGCAACAGAAATAATTAATACGATCTCTGAAGTTAGAAATTTCTCGACTTTCATTCATCCAAATACCGAAAAACTCCCATCATATTGAAACATAAGTGAACAAAGAATATACAAATTAATAATCCAAAAGGTGGCAAGGTTTGGGAGAAAACACAGCGTTTAAAAATTATAGCATGTGAATTTAGGATTATTTGCAATAGAATATAAATAGTATTTAAACAAGGAGGAAGATATGTGATAAAAAACGAATCTAATAACCACAAGTTACCTTGCAGCACATCATGTATCTTTCACTGTATGATGGAGTGACCCATATAAACTTGAGTCATAAACATAATCAAACTTTCAGCTATATCATGAATTAGTACGATAGACTTCTATAAACTATTAGGTGACCATAAACTGACCTGTGCATATTTAAATTTAACGTTACTGATCATAGTGTATTCATTTGTCGTTTTCGTATATATGCACTTGTTAATTATTTACGGTTAACTTCAAACAGTTTTATGTGTACTTGCCATATGCGTTTCTGTTGTCTCTGCTTTAATTGGTCATCTGTAATTCATGTATTATTCACTCTATATAAGGATGAAGTCATTCATTGTTCACCGAATAAACTTTTTCAGCTTCTCCTGTCTGAATTTCCATGACTATGTGGTATTAAAGCGTTTAGTCGACACAGTATGTACGAAGTCAAGTAGGATATACATGTCACCAGGATCAGTGTCGTTCAATCATAATGGAGTCCATTTACGGACACTGGGATACAACCTTGTAGGGCTCTGTGCAATGATCGAAACCACTGACTGGATAAACCATCGAATTTTAATGATTTAATGTACCAACCTGGTTGGATGTTCATTTGTGCTAGCCTCCTGATATGTCTCAATGAGAATAGTGAATGCTAACTGCTGGGATCCATTCATGGATTAACACTATACATACATTTCTATTGTATAATTGTTAAGTAACTAAACTATGCATATTCACTTTCCTCTTATTGGTTGATATACAGTAACCATTCAACACTATCTAGTAATTTAATTAAGGTGTATGTATATCCCAAAAGATACAGTAGTAAAGGGAGATAAATACTAAATCACGATACTCACTTCACCAATTGTAGATAGGTTAGGAGGAAATGATACATTCATTTTACCATTAGTTAAATTATGACTACCATCCGTGATGGCATTTTGATCATTTGGTGAATAATCCAAAACCTTATTTAACTGATTTCTTTTATAAACTGTTTCATCTGGATTACTTGGTTTCACTTCGAAATCTATGGAACATATGAAAGAAATGTAAAAAGAAGGGAGCACATATAAAAATCCCATACAAATAAGAATAAACTTAGAATAAAAATGATGTGACATGATTAAGTTTGGGAAGATTTAGGTTTGTCAAAACAAGTAAATTTATGTCAATCATTGCAACGTATAACCAAATCAAATAGCACTAGAAACGGGTTGTTTACATTTATATACATTCATCCATTAACGTTTACTAGGTTCAGTGTAGTCTCCATAACAAGTAATAATAATAATAGTAATAACAATAATAATAATATAAAGATTTCACTTTGGATATAATCATGGAAAAAATTTATTATTTTATTTACACTATGAAATTATCTTGATTTCTTGAGAAGCCAACTGTGTGTCAGTATATAAATCAGGCCAAATAAAACTTAGCAACACTTAATTTCACTAAAATATCTGTTCTTTAAAACAAGTGATAAACTGATAACGATTTCACATGAGGTCACTTCACTTTACTCTAAATAAAATGAAGCCACTTATTATACATAGTTTAACCGTTTCTATGTAATCATTCCTAACAACATTCTATAGAGAATAAACATTTTCTTCACTATATTCCTATTACTTATAAGTAAATTAACGAGTTAAATCATTAGAAGTACACAGTAAAGTTAATAATTAAGTTTAATGTATCATTATTCTAATAAACAGTGCACACTTCTATACAGTTTCAGAGAAGTTAATAATAATAAGAAGAATAACCAGTGTTACCCACAACAAATAATGTGAAAAAACATTTTGACAGAAATATATACAATAAAATTGACGTATTCATAAAGTGTTCTACTCAAGAGAAAGTGTTCTAAATTATGTCTACATTTTTGTAGAAACAGATTTCTTCACCGATGAAGTGAACAGTGTGTAACTAATCCTTTTTATTAACAACTGACATTGAAATTTTATACCGATTACGCAACACTTAAAGAAACAGTACATAGGGTGAACAGTCGGCTTATTTTCTTTTAATGATGTTGAAACACTTTTGCTTAGACGTTTGAATTTCACAGAACTTGGTCTCATTCAGGTTAAGTAATCGCATTTTCTTAAAATTAACTATTTACACGTTTGAGAAATGTAGTTTACACTTACAATCAAAATGTCACTATTTTTAAACAAATTTAATCTACAGGAAAATACTTCATTTTCTTTCATCCTGTAAATGTGACAAAGTAGACTGCAGCTTATTTATATCAGATATGGTCTAATCAACCAACCACTATCAGCATACGTAGACGATTCACGCTTGTACTGAAACTGTGAACCGAAGTTGAGAGTTCGCCATATATACTTAACAAAGAGGAATGACGATATTTAGAAAGCATTCAAATATGGATATATAAGTGTAAGTGAGCATAGTCGTGGAGCCCCATACTACGATTAAACTAACGTTCAGTACCCCCCCCCTGGTTACTAATGGTATACCGACTGAGGTCAAACTGTGACGAGTGCCACCTTCAAATTAAACCAATCACCATTAAAACCCACTCAGTAATACTTTCGTTTCCGTTGATATTATAATTATGATCATTTAGGCGATCTTTAGAAAGTTACTTATTATTCCATACACTCCAAAACATACTTTTACAATTATTGAGTGATTCCCACTAACCCAATTATTCAAACTTATGTAAATCCTTTTAGGTTTCGTACAACTGTCACACAGCTCATTTTAGCAAGTTTCTTTCTTTGTATTTTTCTATGCTGATCTTCAGGTGGGCTTTCCAACATATATCTATAGAAAACATCAATGATAGCATCCCATTTCAGCTCTTTGTTTGTGTGCTATGACTAATCTTATATCTCAACACAATCGTAAATCAATAGAATCCATGAAATACTATATCCACATATTTCTGTTTTAACTAACAGCCTGCTTTTATCCAAATTCATAAGGATAATCATAATAAATTACTGTCACAAACAGTAAAAATTTTAACTTTACAAATTATATATAACTATATATCTGCATCTAATCTCCATGAGACTTTAACCATGAAAATGATTAAGAATTTCGTGTCAATGCAACCTTGGGGATAACGCAAGTGAAGCTTCATTTTACAAAACAAAACTTACGACTTGAAACTTTATTTTGATTTTCTAATCCCTGCAATACACCATTATTTTCATTAGTAAATCGTCCAAGTTTGTCTTTGTCATCTGTATTTCCTCTGGCAACATTGTTTCGAAATCCAACCACAGCCTCTCCCTCTGCATGAGGTACATACGTATCCATATCAATCGATTCATGATTACTGCTTGAAAGTTTGGAAGATTTATTATCCTCAACAGATTGATACTTATCGTCTACAGCGACAGACAATTTCTTTTTGCTCTTACGGGAACAGTAGCCTTTTAAAATATGTCTACTCGATTCTCCAGCTATAAAAATACATGAACACCGAATTAGCCGAATATTTTAGTCAATGTAAAAATTACGTACAATCTGTAAGTTGTTGTAAGCGAATCTATAGCGTCAATGAAACACAATTACATGTTACTACATTTATCACACATTAAAGAAAAATCGAAACAGGTTTATTATCGTGTATTAGTCAGGTTTCATTTTTGCGAAATTAAAACACAGTTCTGTAAGAATTTAAAGTCATAACACTCAAAATGAAACATGAAGTTATAAAGCTGTTTAGTTCATTCTTACTTCCGAAATATCTTAATTATTAATTCGAAAAGACCTCTTAAATGTATACACATTTATAGATCGGATTATAAAATAATAAATCTGTAAGTGTTATGTCCCGATAAGAATAATGAATGGTAATTTTTGGGATCCATTTATGGACCAATACTATGAGTATATTTTTATCGTATAATTGTTATGTAACTAAATTGTTCATATTAGGTCCCCTTATTATGAGTTTTATTTTGATCTATGAACTATTAATATACGATTTACCATTCTTCAGTTATGCCCAGTCTATCAATTACTATCTCTCTCACTCACAGCCACATTTGGCTAATTCTTGTACAAATGTTCTTTCATGTTTTATGGTACATGTGGTCTGTCTGGTTGATGTATAAACCCAGTATGCTTGAAATAAATAATTCATATCACAGAGGCTGAGATTGGTGTTCTGGATTTAACTGGCTGGGCCAGGCATAAAGCAGGACCAATCAGGACTCTAGGCTGCTCGCACGTGTTTTATGCGTCACTGGTTCGGTCGATAATTCGCTGCTCTCTGATTGGCGGTATCGTGGCGTTATACAATAGACAGGGCATACAGGTTCACAAGTTATAACAATAAGAAGTCATTCCTTATATGAATTGTTGTCAGCTGAACGCAGGCAAACAGTTGATAATATCTGTGATTTTAATCTCAAAGTAAACTATCTTTGACCAACAGTTAAGTTCATTTGATCTTAATCTGCGATAATTACGTTTCTCCTTCGAAACGTATTTAAACATTTGTACAGGATTGTTCTGCACTATATTTACATCTATTTAACTATTTCCTAGTTTCAATATCACCTTAATTTCTCAGCTACCATACGAACTACTATCCACATGTAGTATAGCATCTTATATTTCTGTTACTCTTCTGCAGAAAAACAATCATTCAGTGAAATGCTTATTCACAATGATCACGTGATTTAGCTGGCCTCAATCAATAGTCAGTGATATAATCTAATCCAGAAGGATGGACAGTTATATCACTGAACTATTTTAAGTCATCAGATTTATCAGTGATAATCCAAGATACAAAAAACCTACGGGAGATTCTCCAGTTTTCTCACTAGGACCCTTCAATCCTTTATCATGAAAAATAAAATCAGTTTCCGTAATCGACAAAGATAAACGTCAAATGTTCAAAGATAGAGGAATTGAGTAAGAAAAACAGTAACCTCACAATATAAGTGGTTACGTTTTACATTTATATTTTGTCGACGAAATTAACTGGTCAAGAAAACAGAAGTTTAATTACTTTTCTGAAAAAAATCCCATTTGATGATATAGATTCGTATTTATTCTGGTTATTAGCTTCTCAATGTAATGCTTAACTTATTCAGTCAGTAGCAGTGAGTATATTCTGTAACTAATCAGTTTTAAACAAAATAATTATTTGGAAAATACTGTTACAACGGGTCAATCGGAAATCCTCAAATCATAAGTGGTTGTGACTGGCCAATAAATACTTTCGTTTTCAAAGGATCACACACAAACCTTTTGGTACACCTCATTACCTATGGAATATACACATAAGTGCAAATGCATATGAGTCGATTTCACCAAATCAACTTCCATTCTTACTACCCATATCATCTCTTGAGCAGTCGGGTTCGCATATGGAAACACTATGGTATCAGTATCAAGTCACGGACACCGCGCGTTGCGACAAATAAAGTGTGGTATTTGTCACTTAATCCTTTCTTTATCTCTTTGACACAGCAAACAATCACTTATTTGAAATGTGTGACGTCAGATGAGATTCAGCTTCCTTTAATTCGTTTGCTTATCCGTTTATGACGTTAGTGATTATGAAGTCACACAGATTATAAATAAACTGTCCTGTCTGGCTAGTTCAATTGCTCAACAAGAAAAATCAGTGATTATTGTTTAACGAGCATCAAAGCTTACTTACTTACTTGCGCCTGTTACTCCTCGTGAAGGAGCATAGGCCGCTCACCAGCATTCTCCATCCAACCCTATCCTGGGCAATCCTTTCTAGCTCCGTCCAGTTGTAATCATCCTTTTCATATCTGCTTCTATTATCCGACGCAATGTGTTCTTTGGCCTTCCACTTTTTCGCTTCCCTTCAGGATTCCAAGTTAGGGCTTGCCTCGTGATGCAGTTTGACGATTCGCGTAATGTATGTCCTATCCATTTCCATCGTCTTTTCCTAATTTCTTCTTCAGCTGGAAGTTGGTTTGTTTTCCCAACAGAAGGCTATTGCTGATGGTATCCAGCCAATGGATGTTGAGTATCTTGCGTAGACAGCTATTTATAAATACTTGTACTTTCTTGATTGTGGTTGTTGTAGTTTTCCAAGTTTCAGCTCCATACAGTAGAACTGCCATGACGTTCGTATTGAAGACTCTCACTTTGATATTGGTTGAAAGTTGTTTTGAATTCCATATGTTTTTCAATTGTAGGAATGCGGCCCTTGTTTTGCCGATCCTCGCCTTTACATCTGCATCTGAACCTTCTTGTTCGTCCATGATGCTTCCTAGGTATGTGAAGGACTCTACATCTTCCAGAGTTTCGCCATCAAGAGTGATTGGATTACTGTTTTCCGCTTTGAATTTGAGGACCTTGGTTTTCCCTGAGCATCAAAAAGGCTTAAGCGATTATCAATAAAACAAACATCAGGAGAAAACCTTTAGCATAAAGTTATTATTTTCGTTGATACAGGTGCCGAAAACTCAGAGGTTAATAGAGGGACATTTCACATAAACCTTGGATCCTCAGTGGTATGCATTCACAATCTCACCATAATCAAAGCACACGAATCACATTTGGTGACTGGAATATATAATTGCATAATTCAACACAGTCTACTCTCTGTCCATTTACGGCAAGCTAAATCTTACAGTCACAATAGAATACATCAGATTACTAGAGTAACGACTTACTTAAAATATGTCGACGAACCAAAGGTACCCAAACAAACTTCACAAGTAGAACAGTGATAATACCTAAACCACAGCTAATTATAAATATTCCATAAAGAGGTATCCTATCGAATTTCAGCACTACAAAAGAGGAAAAAAACAAGCATGTGTATATGTAATTCAGATAGGGTTAGTTGATAATCGACTGTTCATACAAATGTAAGTAGATTGGAGACTGGAAAAAATACACAAAAATATAAAGTAATTAATTACATCCATAATTATTTCAAATATCAACATATTTTCAATAACAATTTAACTATTATATATAAGAGAAGCAGTTATTGTAGTAATCTAGACGGAAATATACAATTATTATGAAAAACATAGGATATTTATATTAAATGAAGTTGATTGAAATGGTAAAATCATCATACCATGTTTATTGTATAGATTCTAATGGACTTCACGCATACTATGTGTACTTATGATTCTTATCAACACCATAGTAGTATAAACACTCTTGTCATTTTAAATTTGGTATCAATCACAAATTCACACTATCAGTTATTCAAGCTTATATAGAAATAGAACTTGGAATATTTATCAAATACCAACATACACATCAATCCACATATTGAGTAGAATTGAACGCATAAACCAAGAGATAAATAAAAAGGAACAATCTAACTGTAATACTTTAAATTTATGTACCAAACCTCTATATAAAATTATACAGGTTATTTAATTCAGTAGAGTAAAATGTTTCTAAGTTATTTGTTAAACAATAAGAATATCAGAATCAACCAACTTCCGTCCATGTCTTCTTTCATAAATTATTGCCGCGCTGTTAGTACGCTGATCAATAACACGGAAGATAAACACTTACAACTCACTTGTAATATTCCAATACAGTCGTTGTCAAATTCAATGGGAAAAAACTAACACAACTTAGGTAAAATCCGAATTAACAAAAGTAAGGAAGTGAAATACAGTGATAATTTGTTTTGTAAATAAAAACCTTTTTTCAAGAAAAAATTGACAAACTTAATTTAGAATAACATAACTGATATTATTGTTATTTATCCAAGTATTTGTTTGTGTGGATAAAAATGATATTATGATCAATCGACTTTGATCTTTTTACCCAAGGTATTGATGCGCGTCTCTTTCCCTTTAGGACTCTATTGCTCAATGTGACCGAATCCTAGTGTTGGTTTTTTACTCAACAACTCGAACCCAGTACTGCTGGCTTCAAACACCGCACGCTCATGTTCACTTTAATATTTAATTATTTACTAAGGTGAGTTGACAACACTGCGACAAGAATTATAATAAACTAACTCGTATACTCCATTCAACGTACCTACTTTGCTGACTTTCATATAAATACCGAAGAAACATTAAAAATACTTTCGCTTGCATTAGAGCCAACACCATAAACTACCAGATAACTGAAAGGTATATTTGTCAGAGCAATTCTAGATTAATTCATTATTCTTACTATACCGGTCGTATAGTTCAATTTTGTGCATAGAAATCGCTACTTATATAAACACTTTAAACCGATCCACTATACGGAAACTTGATTCGAATGGATAAAAGCATTGAAAAAACTAGTTAACTTGTCTCAGTCAAGTGCATTTTGTGCTAGATTTAAGTAAAATGTCCAGAAAGCTACCATCAAATAAGTTCTGTAGTGCATTTTAGTAACAATCCACATTATAAAAATATCCGCGAAATACATCAATAATTATTTTTATCACTGACAAATTATCAAACAATTTCAACACTTTAATAAATATCTATTACAACAAACGTAACAACTGTCGTTTTAATGAAAATATCGATGACAATTTGCGGCTAACGTACGCGAAGGTCCTTCGTAAAATATTGAAAAACTATTGACCAGAACCACTGTGCCGAAAAAACCTGGGATAAGTTTAAGTGCAGGTTCAAGAGGATCTTCCTGTAAAACAAATAAATAATTAAATAGACAATGTTAAACACTCCAAGATACTTCGTTCCACAGATAATAGGATACATCTATATATATTTACAATATCCTCTTACAATAGTAAGTTTATAATTCGATAGACAAATAACAAAAACACTTTAATTTTAAAAAAACAATTACGGGCATGTTAATAGATCATTTGTAATAAATGAAAACACTTCCAAGTATGTACAGTGATTTAGTAAATAAATTTTAAGATTTATTTATTCATTTTAGCGTTTACAATGCACAAAATTACAAATGTATTTACACGTTGTGCTATTATTCATCAGCGGTCATCTAAAATGATTTCACTTGAAATTAACAATAACCTTTTACGAATGAATAAATAAACACATCTCTAAGATTAAAATTAAACTTTACTGTACATATATATGCACGGTTTCATTAATACAAGGTTACATGAAAGTAACATAAACGTTACAGTTTTTACACCTTTGTTCATATTCATGGCTGGTTTCACTTACAACGTAACATCTGACATAAATACTTTAATTACACGCTAGGAATGTTTAGAAAGTTACATAAAGTATAACGCAGTCCATTCGATTGTTTAGATTTCAGTAATCTATATTATTTAGCAGTCACTATGATTTTACGATGATAGTTGTCGAACAGGGTGGTCTGAATATTAAAAGGGACTGTTGATCAGTTAATAAAACTTATTAACAAAATTAAGGATACTCAGAACTTTCATCTTCATAAGTAAGAATTCTTCTAGTTGTACACGATGGCACTTATGATATGATGGAGGAGTATTTTTACCGTTTAGTGAATTATTCGATACCTGGTATGAACCGAAAAATCTTATTCTATATTCCGGATTAGAAATCATAGCGCTATTTATAGATCTGACAACCTGTCATAACCATGAAGGTACATAATTAAGAAAAGAAGGAGTTATGGGTAAGGCTTATTTATGTACTTTCACAAAAGCAGTTAACCTGATTCAAACACGTTGACAAACAAATCATTGACAAATCGGTCCTAACATTACCAATTATATTCATAACCATAATATCTGGTCAAATATAAACAGTAATTAATACAGTGAGAATAAAACATCTCGAAATATCCCCTTTGAAATGAATAACTGTATAGTTAACTTAATAAAATATGCACTCACTTGACAGTTTATTAATCGAACAAACTGTTAAAATACTAGCGGTATATTTTTTATGGATTTATTTTGTCTTTCAAATGTTGTTTGTGTTCAAATAAAGACAACACATCACGCACTAGACTATCGATTATTGCACAATTGATTTAGAAACATTCGAGCGACATAGAAATACAATAATAATGAGCTTAGTTCAGTATTAGTCACTCTAAGTTTAATCATGTTCCAAATAGTTTGGAATAAGGTGGTTATAATCATTGTGTGCAATTAATTAGCATGTTAGGTGTACAAGCCAGTAGCTCACAATATCAGTACAAATTTCTGTTCATACAGTAAGACAATCCCTTTCATAATTAGAAACCAAGATATTATTTTGAAATCAATTTTATCATTAACTGGTTTTACCTAAAACATTACTGAAAACTGCCACAGAATTATTGGTGACTGTTTCGGCCATATTGACAACTTATCAATAGCACACATTCACAACTTCACACGTTATCAAGCTACGATCTCGCGGCAACTCAGATGATAATAAATCCCTACCTGAGATTTCCACATCGGTATGGTGATCGAGTTCACCTATCGTAGTGACCCAACAGAAGAATATTAACGAGAACGCTCGTTCCTCTGAGGTCCAATTACGCGAGACCGTTCAGTTGAAGAACGTTATACTGAAAACTGTACTGGAATATGATCGCAACAACCAGGATCCCAAGAGATCACCTCATTCGACAATAGAAAGCAGGGGTTAGAGAAGACAGGTTACGAATATATCACACTTCATCATGTATCAAAGATTCCTGACTGAGAAGGGAATGCCTTTTAAAGTACAGAGCTAACACATTAAAAATCCTCATGGAAGGGTCGCGTGTAACCGGCCTCAAGCACTTATCGCTTACGCTATACAGTCACTCTCCTAAATTGTGTAACTATTTCATTTAATCCAAAAGCAAAACGAGGTCTTCTGGACTGCACCTTAGCTTGTGCGCCGCGCCGTCCACTTGAATAGTATTGTATGAACCCAACACGACAAAGAAAAACACCATTACATTCTTCTAGCCTCTGACAGCGCTCAAACCAACTGCAGTTCGGAACAAGAAAACGACCAATTTTATAAAAATATCCCTAACTTTCATAAGCCTAAAAATGCCCATAAAGAGAAACATTGTCCATTGTAGCGACCAGCAAAGCCAACTCAAACACGAACTCAAGTAAACCACATCGTCATCAGTGCAGAATTGGCACGTAATGGCGTCTGATCGTATTAATTAAGTAGAAAGGACATAAATCCACTTTTGATAACCACAGAGGAATTCCTTCGATCTGTATTGTCTAGAATAGCCGTCTCAAAAATAACCCAACACTTAATTAAGGGTAGTGAACTGGAAGCCTTAGAAAGTCAGCATGGTTTTAGAACAAGGTGTCGATCCACCGATCAAATCTTCGCACTTTTACGAAACATAAGCATACCAATCGACTTCTGATAAAGATAGTATTCCTTAACGCGACGGCAGTATTTGGCTTTAGTGATCGAGACGTTTTGTGGAAGTATTTACCATCAAAAGATATGTCAAAAACGGAGGGCTCTTTACTAGGACATTATTAGTCATCTATCATTTGTTCTCTAATCATATTCTTTATGACTGATCTATTTTACTGTCGCTGATGCTACTACCTCTAGTTGATTGGTAATACTGTAGTGTGGCAAATTGAGTCAATATACTTAAGTACCAGGTTCTACACTGCACATAACTGACCAGCTAATTACCAGGGTCACAATCAGTGTTTTCAATGGTCAATTGTAGACTGCGAGATATTTACCCATTGTGATGGAAACCCTAAATCTAATCCCTTACCTTAACCATCAACTGTTAATGATCATTCTAATTCTTCACACTGGTTTACAACTCTCATTTGGTCATAGTTATCAGGTGGACACTCCCAAGGTCACTTCAGTGTAGCTCAAAGGTAGTCCATAAATTATCGTTACACCGGTAACTCTATTAAACTTCAACATCCATAAGCTCTTAATGTAATACTGTAAGCAAAATTGATAGATAATCTGTATTTTTGTTCCTAATATCTGCTTGGAGGTTTGTGTTACAGTTCAAATGTTTGAAGATTATATTGTAAAGAAAACTCTAAGCAAAATAAAATAAAACTGCTCTATTTTCTTTTAAAAACAAAGTGTAAATGAACTTTACAAAGTCAATTATAGGTTTACCATTTATAAATATATATAACCATAATTTAGAAAAGAATAAATGAAAACACAAAAAATGAAGAGAATGTGATCATAGTCGGATGAAGGTCTATGTCCAGGTAATGTAACACAGTTAAAGAAAAATATTCACCCCTATTAGAGCTGATTTATATAAAGACTGCACTAATTATTTAGTAAGTATAATATTGACACAATCATTTTACTGTTGATAACGAGTGCATTAGTTGGCAAAGATATAGTAACCTTGATTATCAGAAATGTTGTGTGTTATTAGAGAAATACATCAGTAACTATTTAAAAAAATATGTATATCAGTCATTATTCAGTATGATAAAATTAACTATGGATAATCCTGAGAACTTCAGGAATGTTATAAAGTTCGTGAACTTCACCGAATTTTATCAACTTTGATCAGTAATTCAGTTCATCGGTTCACATAATTCAATGAATTTATTTAAGAGTAGAAATAAGGAAATTACATATTCGTTAACAAATTAGAATAATTCTAGATAAACGCATGCATATTTAGTGATAAAATCAGTTAAGTTCACATTTGTTCATAAGGTATATAAAGTGATTGACTGATTTCATAATATCAGAGTCATTTTTAAATGATAAAAAGTTACGATTAAAGTTTCTAAATACTTTCTTGTTCAGTGTGCTAATATAAATGAAATTTAATTCAATTACACTTAATTTCAATATAGTTTTTTTTACATGAATCGTACCATTAAAGTTGGAACTAAACATTTATTAGAGTAGTTACTTCTAAATGAACTAATTTCATGATAAAATAAAGTTTTGTGTCTCAATTAAAGTGAATATATAAAATTGCACTTGTTCAGTTTACGGAATGAACTTAATTTTAATTCACATCACTGTATGATGGATTTATGTTTGTTTCTGAACTATTTGAAATAACATACAGTTAATTCTTTTAATACACGTGAATAATGTGGATGTTTGTCTTATTATAGACTGAATAGAAACAAAGACTGGTGGAACCTGAAATCTGGATAGACTACATGTGGTATAAGTAAATGATCAGAAACATATGACTGATATAAACGGAGAGATCAATGAACCTTACTAATTATATATTCAGCGAAAAAACCTAAACATCCTTATTCAGCATTGATCAAGACTGCGGTTGTATTTCATCCTTCACTTGTAAACATTCACACTAGGAACTAACTTGGAAATACAGAAACCAGAAATGCTTAGAAATTTTTTGTTAGAATTTACTAGTTTCATCATTATTCTAACTGACGGATTCAAAAAACAGTCAGTATGCTAACAGCTATTTCACTGTCTATCAATAAAATAATAAACATTTAAGATAAGAAGAGGAATGACTTTTATATAAATAATAAATGCCCATTTATCCATCACGAACTATTCAAGCCCATTGAGTTGAAACGGCAAATCACAAGGTTATATATATATATATATATATATATATATATATATATATATATATATATATATATATATATATATACCGTTTTGAATAGCAATATTAATACTCAGATTATTTTACTTATAGTTTTACGTAGTCCTGGAAAAGATGTGTTATTTTTGCAAATATATTACGCAGATACCATT